ATGAGAGCAAGCCATTCGGAAACGCTGCATAAAAAACATACTCACCATCGAGGAGTGGTCTAAGAAATAGCAAACGCATTTAGCATTTAGTATGAGTCGTAATCTTCATCTCCGCGAAAATACAAAAAATTAGAAAAAGATAGAAGATCGAAGTTGATAAGGAGAATTTTCATTTAAAATCGTGTGGTATACTCGAGGAACTCTCTTATTAAAGAAACAGTGAGTGCAGCAACTGTCAATTCATTCAAGAATAAGCTGGGTATGGAACTATAAGACATGCGAGCACGTTTCTTGCATTATCCGACGTGAAAAAAAGTTTAAACAATAGCATCATCGGACTTTTCCGACTAGTGGAATATCTGGCTTTTTTGCTCTGTTAGTAATCATATGGGGCAAATTTCTGGCTCCATAAATGCAGTGGTATCAGATGTAGTCTAAGGAGTCTCACAAAAATTTCATGGATTCCTCCGCGTCCAGGTACGCCGCTGCCGGTTGTACATAGCTTGAAGTATTTACTCACATGTAATATACTATTGCTAAGCTAAAATTAGGATCTAATTTTAGCATCGAATGTTGGCTGATGCCTTGTGTAAGTAAACATCCAATAAAGTATAAAGTTACTGGAAATATCAAGGATTTATTCGAAAAGTCATTGCCAAGGTAAGGCGCAAGTAATTCCGACCTATAAATTATGCATTTAAAACCAGTCTAAAATCAATGTAAATTATATTGCTATTCCTTTCTTTGAATATGCATCCATATTTAGTTACATTGTTTCTGGGCAAATATTTGGACGAATTTTAGCTTTATTGCTATTTCAAAAAAGCGATGTTTTGTGACTAAATAATTTACTCCCATGTAATATACTATGGCTAAGCTAAAATTAGGATCTAATTTAAACATTGAATGTTGGCTGATGCCTTGTGTAAATAAACATCCAATAAAGTATAAAGTTAATGGAAATATCAATGATTTATTCCTAAAGTCATTGCCAAGGTAAGGCGCAAGTAATTCAGACCTATAAATTATGCATTTAAAACCAATATAAAATCAATGAAGACTATATTGCTATTCCTTTGTTTGAATATGCATTGATATTTAGTTACATTGTCTCGGGAGTTCTGTTTATGGGATATGATTACAATATTTGGACGAATTAAAGCTTTATTGCTATTTCAAAAAAGCATGGAGATGTTTTGTGATATCAACGATAAAGATTGTTTAGTAAGGTAGATGGACAGTGGGAGGCCACTATAACGAATAAACTATTTACTGGATAAATGAAACAATAAATTATTAACTCTGTTCCCTATTATGTAAATTATAAAACATTTTTTGTTGCGGAATTAATCATCATTTATTAAATTTAGGCCTATATAATACAACAGTCTTAAAACTTACAGTGTAATCGAAATGTCTGGTTATATTACCTAAACTGCATGAAATGTATTTCAATGAAGTTAAACATTACATACTTACAATAATAAAAAAAGTATTCGTGAAAATGCTTTGAAAATAACAATAACATTCAATGGGTCTGTTCCTTGTAAAGCCAAAATGTTCCAGATGGCGTTGGAAATCTACAATTCAATAAATAGGTGTTACAATTTAAAAACCGGTACACTATACCCGGCTTACCCATACAACTAAAAACCAAGTTTTAATATTTTCATGATTCCTTGATATCGTTAATAAGGCCTAGCGCCCTAGCAAAGTCAATTATCAATGTTTGAATGGCCTTACGAGGAACCACAGGCTTTTCTAGTATATTTTAATTAAAGTGGAAATAATGTAATATTTTTTCTGTAGTACCTTAGCAAACATTTGTATGTCAATTCAGAATAAAAAAATTTAAATAACATTTCATGTACCTGAAAACTTACATTTTGCTCTGAGCTCGCTTTATAATTTTAACGTCGACGACCGAAGTCGACAAAGCGAGGGCATCATTGACAAAATAGCCACGCGAGCGACTCTCCACCGCGTCATGAGCTCGATGGGTGTAAATGTGAGAATGTGTAATTTGTCATCGCATGACAACAACTAGGACTTTTTAATAACCAACCCTACAAAGAGTAGGGCCTTCCATGGTCCACCCAACTTATTTTGAAATTGAATATATCATATTACAAACAAAAACTTGTAAAATCAAAATGAAATTGCTCCCACTTGCCGAATCATACGGTACGAAATATCACGAAATTTTTGTATACCTTACCTCCCGAGAATCGAACATTTTTTGAACACTCCCAAACTTGCTTTTTCAATTTTTTCGATGTATCTAAATAAAGTAATCTTCATTTTTCGACGCATCTCTATTTTCACTTTAGAGCGTCTTAGAGGGGTAAATACAGGGTGTTTCAGTTTATTGTTGCATAACTTTAAGATTCGATAGAACTTTTAAAATTAATGCATAAAGTCTATATAAACATGGGTCGAAAAATGCGTGGCTTCCGAAATACAGGGTGTTTAAATTTCTAAAATAGTTTTTTTAAGTATTTCGAACAATATTTGATGTATAACAGTGAAAATTGGTATACAAGGGTTTTTTGGTACGACAAAACGAACCATGGCCATAGTTTTACTGTAGCCGCTAGAGGGCGCTCTCTACTGTACCTGTAGTGTATTAAAATGACCGAAAAATTTTTCTTAGTGCAATTTTTTGCTTTTTGGATAAAAAAATTGATTCTTCGCACTTTTCAACATAAAAAAGCTCTCTTGTGAATTTCCGTTATAGTTAGCCGTTTTTGAGATATTTCGATTTTTAAGGTTCGATGCATTTTTAATTATTTATGATAAAATAACGTTAAAAAGTCAGTATCTTGATCATTTTTAGAAGTAGGCTGTGCCTGCAAATATTTTTGAAATTGAAGGCAGAATAAGGTTAAACGTCAATTAGTTGACAGTTAGTTTTGTTGTCTGTTGAAACCTGAAACGTTTTTTTGCAATTGTGAATGCACGAAATTTAGTTTCTTTTACCTGTTTTTTTGTAAGTTTTATAAAAATGCCATTTTTATTCTCCAATCAAGAGTTAGCAGATATTCATTTTGTGTATGGCTTTGTAAATGGAAACACAGCAGAAGCAGCCAGAGAATACGCACGAAGATTTCCAAACAGACGACATCCAACTCGCTCAGTATTTGTAAGAGTGCATCGCCAAATAATTGAAAATGGTTTTGGAAATCTCCAAAGGGATCAAAACATAAATGTTCGTTAGCGCAGATTTACCCGTATGATTCTGCGTGAGTTTGATAGAGATCCGACCTCAAGTGTTAGGAGAGGTGCCTTGAGAATTTCAGCAAGCCATGTTCACCGTGTTCTTAGAAATGACCATAGACGTCCTTAGAATTTGCAACCTGTGCAAGGACTACAGCCAGGGGGCGGAGAACGAAGAATCACATTTTGTCAGTGGATTCTTGATAGAACTGATAAAAATAGGGAGCTTTTAAGTAACGTTTTATGGACCGATGAGTCATGCTTCACTAGACGTGGAGTGGTAAATTTTCATAATCAACATAATTTGTCGCATGAAAATCCGCATGCAGTTCGGGAAAGAAATTTTCAGCATGAATTTAGTGTGAACGTGTGGATTTGTATCTACCGTAATCGACTATTTGGACCCTACCTCTTGCCTGCAAGGTTAAATGCTGCGACCTTCTTGGAATTTTTAAAGGCTGAACATGCAAATATGTGGGATGATGTTATGTTAGATTTAAGAAGATTGGCCTGGTTTCAGCTTGATGGTTATCCAGCCTATTATTCGAGAATAGTTAGAAACTGACTGGACGAAAATTATCCAGAAAGATGGATCGGCCGTGGAGGACCAGTCGCCTGGCCTCCACGATCCCCTGACCTAAATCCATTAGATTTCTTTGTGTGGGGAGTTCTAAAAGAAAAAGTGTACCAGACTCCCGTAACCACAAAAGATATGCTAATAGACAGAATCAGGAATGCATGTGATGAAATAAGGCCTTATTTGAATAATGCTATACCACGTTCGATCATTCGTAGATGTGAATTGTGTATTGAACAATTGGGTTTACATTTCGAGCAACTACTTTAGATTTTGTATGTTTGTCCTAACTATCCAATAGCATTTTAGTTGTAAATAATTAATTTCATTTGTTAAAAATAATATTGGAAAATTAAACAAATTAATATTCTGTTTTTTGTGTTTATTTGGAGTTAGGAATTATTGCTGTGCTTAAAAACACAATCTAAACGCTCATCTTAATTACTTGTAATGCCCAAATCGAAAATGTAAAAAAAATATTATTTTCCCATAAATAATTAAAAATGCATCGAACGTTAAAAATCGAAATATCTCAAAAACAACTAACTATAACGAAAACTCACAGGAAAGCTTTTTTATGTTGAAAAGTGCGAAGAATCAGTTTTTTTTTCAAAAAGCAAAAAATCGCACTAAGAAAAATTTTTCGGTCATTTTAATACACTACAGGTACAGTACCAAAAAACCCTTGTATACCAATTTTCACTGTTGTACATCAAATATTGTTCGAAGTACTTAAAAAAACTATTTTAGAAAGTAAATTTAAACACCCTGTATTTCGGAAGCCACGCATTTTTCGACCCATGTTTATATAGACTTTATGTATTAATTTTAAAAGTTCTAGCGAATCTTAAAGTTATGCAACAATAAACTGAAACACCCTGTATACATGAATTTTGTCAATTTTCATCTTCTTGTGCAATTTTACATCAATGCGTAGCATGTATTTAGTCAGTCTACTTTTTTTAATATGATACGTGTCTTGCTAAAACTGCTGTTTGCTAAGTCACTTTGGGCTCGAATTTGGTATGCTTAACTGTGGGGTGTTTCAGTACAATTTTAAGAAACACTGTTTAGATCTAGTGGTTACTGAAAAAATGGGTATATCTAAAATTTTGGCATGTTTCCTCTTTGAACTGACGTATATAAGATAATATTCTGTGTAATGTTAATCAGCTATTTTCGGTTCTTTCGTTCCGAATTATTCTAACGTGAACCACTTGTTTGTCGATAAAATCGTGAATGACCACGTCAACAGAGCGGCCTTGATGAAATTCAAGTGATTCTCAAGTTTCATGGTTTGGACTTGGAAAGAAAACATTTATTAAAAAATGGTTTTCGACTGTATTTGTGCTTTGTAGCATATTTGTTGGGAAACTTGAGTAAAAGATGGATTTTTGGCTCAAGAAGACGTAGGTCACGTTTTATTGTAAATGGAAATCCCTTTGCATCCAAAGTGTCAGTTTAGTTATTGCTTCTTCATCTGTGGTTTCATTCACTGTCCAGCTTAAGAAAAATGAGTGAGTATAAGAAATAAACATTATCATCGAAATGACTATCAAAAGTTTCTACTAATTCTCGTTTAAATGGTGCCGGAGAACATACTCTCAGTTAATAATACAAAATCTGGTCGATTCGAGGTACAATTATGATGCAGTCGCCCTTGCGGCTTGAAGTATTGAATTTGGAGCACATTACGAACTTTCACTGGGTCAATGATAACATGACTTTTAAAATACGTACAAAACACTTGTCGGCAGTAATATCTGCAGTAGTCTACCTTTCTTAAAAAACGGTCAAGGGATTTTAAATCGCATCAGTAAGGAAGGTCAACTCCATATTCGCAATTCTTTTTATCAAGCGGAATTTGCTCCTGCACAAGTTTTAGACGTTTTATAAGGTGTACATCACGAAAATCAATTCTCATTAGCCTCATTCTTAGCAGGCCTTTGCAATGACTGAAGTTTCCTCCTGCCCTCTGCAGACCCGGCACGAGTCTTTTGCTAAACCAAAGAGCCTCCTGTGTTGATTTCGACGTTAGTGTCCCGTGTACCATTAGGTAACCCACGGTTTAGTATTAAAGCTAAGCAAGTCATCTGTAAATGCGAGTTTTCGTTCTTTTGAGAACAGTTTTGCCTGCCTTTTCCGTGATTCTGATCATTCCAAGATTCTAGAGAATTTCTTGGGGTATTTTAGGTTTGATGTGTGTCCTAACCACACTACAGAAAAGCTCCGGAAGGTCATTGTGGTTGAAAATGCCTAATAATATGTAGAAGTATTTTACGGTTACACCTTTTTCGCGTTCAAAAATAAAGCGTCTTTTCTATTACAAATAGTGCTTTTATTCCGTCTTAATTTGACTATACCGAGTTGATTAAGTGTAGGTAAAGGTGCACGTTTAGGTTTCTAAGAGAATGGCACAAAACTTGGTAATCCAGATTTTTTCCGGATATAGTAGTAAAACCGAATTTTTGCTTAACTAAGAACTATATTCACCTACGGAAAATTCCAAGATGGCGTCCATAATAAAAATCGAGTTTATGGAGGATAAAAAAATAAACTTCATATTCTAATTATGACATCTTATACAGGTGACAAAGTGGCAATTTGTTTTGAAATCCCACCTCAAGTAATAGTCAGGAAAGAGTGGAATTTTAAAAAAGGAGGTGCTGAGGATTGCGTCCAATGGCAGATACTTAGTTACCTATATTTCCGCAACTTTGCCCCCATTTACCTCACTTTGTATCTCTTGCGGTTTCCAATATCCCAATGGTGAAAGTTTTAAACTGCCCGTATAAACAATTTCTTGTTTTCCTTTCTTTTTCTTTTTTCCAGCGATGGAAAATTGATGAACACATTGCATACTTGACTTATAAGCCCGATGATAAAGTCAATCCAAATTGATGTGAACTAATTAAGGGGAAAAATAAACCTTGGCCTTTCGATATGAACGTCTGTTTTGTGTATTGTTTGTTATATCAGTATTTTTATCATATGAACAAAATAACGATATATTTTTATAGCGTTTTTCCTAAAAAAAAACAGTTTATAATTCCAAGATCTTCGTGTATATTAAGTAGTATAAAAATAATGAATTAATTCAAAAAAATTTAGTAAAGCAGAGTGACTCAATAATTCCTACGCAATGACATAAATCTATTTCTGTACCTCAGAGATAGACTAGATTAAGTCCATTTTTGTCTAAAATGAGATTTATGAGTTCATGATAATATTATAACTTTCCATTTAGTGTGATGATTTATAAAGTCATAACTTCCTGATTATTGCAGGTAGGTGGTGTTTCAAGTAGTAAATAAAAATTCGCAGTATTATGGATTCAACATATAAAACTCATTTTAGGCAAAAATGGACTTAATCTACTCCAGCTCCGAGGTACAGATTGGGAATTAGCGAACCGCGAAAATTCTAAACATCATAAGTGTCATTTTTACGTGAAAATGTAGTACTCGTCCATCAATTTCATCACCTCAAATTTCAGCGTGCTAACTTGACCCGTCCAAAAATGTCCAAGTGGACCTTTCTGAAAAGCACTGTATGAGTATTTATGTTTACTGATCAACTTAGTAATCGATTTGCAAACAATGGTTAAGCATACCTGACATACCTTTTCTCAAAAACCAATCCCAAGCAATATCTTATTATCTTATATGGCAACACCCTTAAAATTGTTTGATTTAAAAGTAATTGACATTGTTGTCTACTAGTATTTATTTTTGGTGTTTGAATTGTGGAGAGGCGTTGAACTTAAATTAAGTCAACAAGTGAATAAGTGACCTTCCCTAAACTGAATTTTGCAACTGTCATGCCCTTGGAAGTTTCTAGACTATTAAAAGGTTTGGATATGGAAGACTGAAAAACTGGATGTTTTTTGAATGTGTGGTTTTCAAAGTTGTTCAGTATTATTTGGTTTGATTTCAAAAATAACAGACAATATGAGGTCTCTTTGTAGAATTCGAAATATAATGATTCAGTTGTAAGCTAAGTTCTATTATAGTATTTACTTTTAAAAACGCATTTATTATTCAGGAAAAATCGTAGGTTGTCCTTTAAAAGATACATTTTTATAAAGTATCTCTCATTATGAATTGATTCGAGTTTAATGCTTGTTGTTATCTGTACTTATCAGCATGCATTAATGATCTTAGAATGTTGTAATTACAGCTACGAGATACAGAACATTGTTATGTCAATTATACTGCTATCATTTCGGAAATATTTCCTATGGTTTCTTAGATACACCTTTATCCTAACTTACAAGACTATTATTGATATTTATTGAGAAAGAAAGCATTGTACTGATATTGTTTACATTTAGACTATCAGCCCTTTGCAGATATTGCACGTCTTTATTGTTATAACGAACTCGTCTCTGTGGCACAAAAGTCGACTTACTGATTTTATTGAAAAAAAAATATCTGATGTGGTAAATCTGTTATATGGCGTGATAAGAATCCTTTTTACGTCGCTGTTTTTGTACCGCTTTTGATATTCTACAAAATCTGGGATAATATCACTTTCGACTATTGTATTTCGGAGTCAGGATGATTCAAAAACCATTTGCAATATTTTTTGCCAGAAATTGCTAACTATAAACCTGACGTACTGGATGTCACCATATTACAATATTAAGAAAAATCATATCTAAAAAATATTCAGTGACCTTAGAAGTGTTAAACCCAGAAAAAATAATTTCTTCAACTTAATTTTTTGGCAATGAGGTAGTCTTAAATCAAGAATGAAACGATAACATGTTCACGAAATTTTATTGACAAGTAATACGAAAAAAATAATGTGTTGGGCGACCCCGCAGCTGAATACACTCCTGTATAGGTCTAGGCAAAAACAGATGATCGATGTCTGGTTGTGGCACCTCATTCCAAGCAACTCGTGGATTAGCTGTGGCAGAGTCTGGGGCGGATGGTACAAAGTGGATAGTCTCCTCCCCATCATATCCCACACATGTTCGATGGGATTTAAATCCGGTGAACTCGGGGTGGCCACGGCAAAACATTACCGCCTGCTTCTTGAAGAAACCAAGAGGCCTGTTACATGCATCTCAACAGCAAATCCAATATCTACGACCATCGTGCGTACCTAGACAGAATCGCGTTCGTCGCTGAAGATGACATTATGCCATTCTGCCTCCCAAAGTTGCCGTTCTCTGCTCCAGTTCAGATGAAGCACTAACCGAGGACGGTATGAAAAAAGTCCAAAGGCTCGAATGCGGCGATAGAGTGTACGCATACTAACAGGTCTACCTTCTTCTCCAAAGTATTGGTCAGCAATCTGACGCGTAGTAGCAAAACGGTCTCGTCGGGCTAGTTGTCTGAAGCGCCTAGCTTGACGCTCTGTAGTTGGCCTTCGTGTTCCTCTACCTTTTTCTATCCACACGACACACAGCCATTACCGTCATTGCAGTACAATTAATACGGCGGCCTATTTCGCGATAGGACAAACCAACATCTCGATAGGTAATACATAATTCTACCCCTGTAAAAGTCGTTAACATGGTGTTAATTTGGGCGTCTTCGAACTCCAGGCATTTTGTTAAGCTTAAAACTAGTAAATGAAAGGGCAATAACTGAAAAGAATATATGTACTACTCAGTACTCAGCTCTCAGAAACTGCTTTCTTCACAAAACCTAAGAGATAACAATTTAACAAACACATTGTTGCCACAGCATGCTTTAATTATAGTCATTATGTTGCAAAAGTTGAAATTATTTTTTCTCGGTGCAACACTTCTAATATCACTGAGTATATATTATCACGCTTATATTTTTCGCGTACCTAAAAGTTTAAATTGATTTAAATATTCCCTTGGGAAGTACTAGGTTAATCGCCTTGACAGCTTTTCTTTTTCTTTGCAGGTTGAATCTGTTACAACAGGGCACGGAACCCCAATAGCCGATAAAGATGCATCACTAACAGTAGGACTGAGGGGTCACATTCTCCTCCACGATGTTCAGCTAGTTGAAGAATTGGCCCACTTTGACCGAGAAAGGATACCTGAAAGAGTGGTCCATGCCAAAGGGGCTGGAGCCTTTGGATATTTCGAGGTATGATTTCATTTTCAAATGAATGGCTCAATTTTTTTTTAGTTTCTTGATGTTGGATTGTTGATTTTGGTTCAGGTTATGAAAAAAAGGTGACATATACGCATTTTAGTAAATTCAGCAAATTGGGAAAATAGATTAGCTGACTGCAATTATTGAATTTTTGTATTTACCATTTATGTGTCATATGTATTTAAAAGTTATCTCGTAGTTTTTTAAATTTAGACAAAATGTAATAAAGTACATATCAAATAACACTTTAATCCAATAAAATGTGTCACAATTTGATTTTATAGCTTTGTAAAATGTTACCTTTTGAAATTTTCTAAAAATGTTACAATATTAAACACATTAAGTGAGGAATTAAAAAATGCTGATTCATACAAATTATGTTTATTCATTGTACTCGTAACATGAAACAAGTCACTTTCTGAACAAAATATTGGCAGATAAAGATAAAATATAACCTTTTGAGTCGTGCCCCAATAGGCACAGAATTTAGCATTTTTCGACGATTTGACTTACGCATTTGATATTTGCAAGTGTTATTTAGAAATTTAGTTAAGGATCCGATTAGAGTTTTCAATTCTGATTTCAAAAATGCATAATATGCTATTGACATTGCTAAGTCTTAGTTATTTCAGAAAAAAAGAGTTTGGGCGACCGGGAAGAAGGGAAATAAATCGAGCAGTGAACAATGTACGGAGAAAAGTTAAGCTACAAAATATCTATAATAAAATTCATTTTGTGTTCAGGTTCCACCATACCATACCTTTTTATTTCCTTATAATTTTTATCCAACAACAAATTCATGGCCAACTAATGAAATATATCACTGAATTCAGGACTGAAAAGTCCATTTAAATGTACAAAATTCCAATATAGCATCAAAGTTGAAAATTTGACTACCCTATCTTGTAGAGGAAAGCACGTAACATTGACAACATGATAATGATTTAAATTGTGCTTTTTGAAATAATTAAGGTTTGGCAATGTTGATGTATGACGTATTATACATTTTTTAAATCAAAATAAAAAACTATTCATCCGTGTAAAAATGCAATATGGCGTCCATAATGAAAAATAAAGTTGATGTTGGAGGACAAGAAAGAAAACTTCATATTGAAATTCTTATTATACCATTTTGAGGAGGACAAAAAGTGGCAATGTTAATGAGCAATTTATTTTGAAATCCCAGTGAAAATAAAGTCAGGAAAAATGAAACAATTTTGTAAATATTCTGTTTTTTTTTATATTTATTTAAATACGTAAAATTTGAAACAACTAGTATAGAAACGGCTAAGACTAGCATTTTTCAGAATATTATTTATAAATGATAATAGCTTGATTCTCATTCTCTCTCATATGATAAACAAGCATGCTATTTTTTCAAAATTATCAGTTTACGATAAGTTTCCTGTTTTCTAAGAAACCCTTATGCTAAATAGGCCTTAGATTCTCAGATCAAGCATTCATAACGAATACTGGTATATGGGTACCCCCAGACATACCGAATACCGATATACCGCATTTGAATCTATGTAATCTATGATGATTCATATACATGTATCTAATATAGCGGTAGCTATATAAAAGGCGTCTAAAGTGGGTTGCTAGATTAAACTATGAAAACAATCTAGATGTGATGTTCATGTGTACTCTTTTCGCCAATAAAAAATATAAAATTTTATCAATTCAAAAGTTCGCAAAACATGATAAAAATGTGATAACTGAGAGATACGCTATTTTGTATTGGTCGGTATGCCACAATGTAGTCTTTCCAATTACTGGAAAATTCTAATTCCACTTGAGTTTTGTTTTGATACAATTAAATGTTGCGGTTCATGATAACGACTGATTATAGTGTTGCTTTTTATACTGTTGCACCAAATATCCGTCCTAATTTCTTACAATGAATAATTGTGAATCGTGAAAAATCAGACAATAAACAAATGCACTGACTTGTCCTTTTTCATTTGGATTGAAGGGATTTGAAATAACTCTCAAAGAATTGCCTTGAATCCATAGTTTCTTGAACTGTGTCTACGAAACTTGGTGCTTTAAAAATCATAATAAAAAGATATTGTAATTATGCGATGAGTATGCTCTGAAGCGCCAAATTCACATCGAATCTTTGCATTTAAAAATATGCTAAGAACTATGTGATTAATTTCCGTTGGTGTTTCTGTCCGCTTTTTAGTTTATGGAATAGCGGTCCAATGGCGGCGCAGCTAGTGGCAAAAGATGAAAACATAAAAATCTCTCTAGCTTGCGAAAATGTAGTTTGTAAACAGTATGATGCCATTGTTTTCTGCACATTATCCCTCCACCTAAAAAATAACTTGCTTCTGTGGCCCTACAACAGAACTTCATCAGAATCGGTGCAGGCGTTTCTGAAATTACAAGAACACCAGCAGACAGACAGACTGACAAACCGATGGAAATGAGAGACATGGACATACCTATTAGACATAATAATCATACAGAAATATTTTATACAGTTTGATATATAGAGATTTACGATATAGGGAACTTGAGTGAACATGCCTAGTCGAGCTTCGATTCCGTTTTTTGAATAGACCTGACTCATGCCTTTACTGTCAAATTTTAAATGAAGGCGTGGGAAGTATAGAGTCAATCTACTTGACGCCATTTTTTGTAATTTGACGAAAACCACACATATTGTATCATTTGTAGTTTTTTAAACTTATCATGTAGTTTTCATGTCGATAATCCCCCATGTATTTAAAATTCTTCTTTAATGTTTTCGTTTCAGTCACAAGCTTTCATTGGCCAGACAAACATGGGGTTTTATATAATGTAGTTTAATGTCCCAATGTAAAATTGTTTGTCTTTGGTCTTTTATTAATTAAGCATATATCACATGACAGGCACAGTACATTTTCCGAGAATCTCTTGTACAGTAGAAGTTGTTTCTCCATACCGCTTGTGGAAAATGATTGCTGCTATCACTATATTCTGTGATTCATCATCAATCGCATGTGTTGTAGCAATTGAAACAATATGTGTAATTTACGATATCATTAAGCGGAAAATGGATATTTTTAAATCTGATCAGATTCGTTTCTGTTTTAAAGCAAAAATATCCATGAATAGAACTTGTTCTGTGCATAGTGTTCCACTTTGTTTTAAATGTTTTTATGATGATTCTGTATTCGGAGCTACATACAGTATAAAACGTTAGTAATTGGTAACTCCAATATTACCAATACATTATTTCTCGTCTTACACAAGAAATTATGAAGTTTGATAAAACACAAATATTAAAAAAATACATAATAACAATATTTAGTCTCATTGAGCCCAGAACACATCAAAACCAAGCATATGCGCCACGTCAGCGCTTCGAGAACCCATTATTTTTGAGCTTATACTGAATGTGTAGATGATTGTCGATCAAACATTGCTTGTGCCTTGGTGTATAATTTAGTTTTACGAAAGAATCTCTCTGAGCTTTAAGATCCACGTAAACTTGAGTAAATCCCCAACCCATAATAATATGAAACAAAAAATAAGGAAAACAAAACTACTCTGAAACTTTCCAGGAAAAAAATTTTCTTACGAGATTTTGTATTGGTTCTCTATTTGTTGGTATTCTACCTGAAAGTACCCAATTATATACTGTATTCAGGTGCCCAAAAATATCTGAAATATGCTAACACCATCTACGAGACAGTTGCAGAGCAAGAATGAATTTAGAAAGCTGCTTTAAAAAGAGTTAAAAGGTTTGGCTCTGCTACTGTCTCCCTTTTTGGCGTCTCTTTATTTTAAGATTTATATTTTAATTGGATATCCTCGGGTGAAATACGTTAATCAATGCTTGAAGATACTCAATCAAAATGCGCATTAGAGAGGCACCAAAAAAGGATCGATGATCGTAGCATCATCTATGAGACTATAGCATAACCAAACTCTCTTTTCAAAATATTTCTATTTCTAAATCCATTTTTGTGTACTGATATAATCTCATAGATGGCATTCGGATCTTTCAAATCCCTTTTTGTGCGCCGGAATACGGTATTTGGGTGGCTTCAGATAGAATTGGTGAATCTATGGTACTAGTCTAATAGATTGATTAATAGGTAAATATGCTTTATTGTCTGAAGAATAACATGATTCTTATTGATAAAGCTAACTTTCAACTATAAAAAATTACACTTGTGGATTTTGAGGACATGTATTGTAGAACTCACACAAGGCATAATGTGGTCTATATTAGAACGTTTTGAAGTTCATAGCGGAATATTTTTAAATTGTTCGTTTTTTTTAATAACATCAGGAAGGCAAGTGTTGATTTAGATGCTATCAATTTAAAATCTTGTTTGTAATTTATATTTAATATAATTCTCCATGTTTAGATATATTTTTAAAAATAAGAGTTGTTTCTAAAATGAATAATGATATTACCGTCATAATGTCAAGAGTTAGAAATAAAGTCCTGCATATACAAATTCATTATTGAAATTTATTTTATCAAAATAGTATTTAAAAGCCATAGATTTTGTCCAATAATATTGAAAGTTAAGTAATTGTTATTTCACCATTTTTTGAATGCTTGCATATCATTGTCAATTTCTGTCTTAATTTCATTTGTATCTGGGTCCTACCATAAAATTGTGGCATCATCACCATTTAGGTTTGATTAACCTAAACAGTTTTAGTTACAACTTACTGCGTTTCAATTTCCCTCTTTCCGTAATCAAAAACGTTTTGAACTCTTTTTCCTTCAAGGTGACGAATGACATAACGCAGTACTGCGCTGCGAAAGTTTTCTCGTCAATCGGCAAAAAAACCCCCATCGCGGTACGTTTTTCGACCGTAGGAGGCGAATCAGGCTCTGCCGATACTGTCAGAGATCCCAGAGGCTTCGCCGTGAAATTCTACACTGAGGATGGCATCTGGGACCTGGTAGGAAACAACACGCCTATCTTTTTCATCAGGGACCCAGTGCTGTTCCCGCATTTCATACACACTCAAAAAAGAAACCCTCAAACGCATCTAAAAGATGTTAACATGTTCTGGGATTTCATTTCATTGAGGCAGGAGACAACTCATCAGATTATGTTTTTGTTTGCAGACAGAGGTAAGGAAGTTTACCCTTTTATATAGGCTCTTAGTCATCAATTCAATATTCTGCGAAATGTCCCTCATGTGTTTCTTGACAGGGTAAAGCTTTTATAGCAACTTTCAGTATTCCAATTAGATGGCAAGTGCGCCTAGACGTTGTGTCTGTCCAAAGTTCTTATATGCTACAGTTTCAACCATCAAAGACCAAAATGTTGAAAATGTACCATTCGAGTTGGTGGCAATTCCAGAACGTGATTACAAAAGAGTAAATCTACAAAATAATGTTCGGTTAGAAGCTCTAGCGTGAACGTCGCGAGATGAGCCCCTCCGGCATAGATGCAAATTAGTAATTACCGTTGTTTTTTTCATAAATAATGGCATTGTAACTATGTTTAGACTTGAATCACAAAAATTGTTGCAAGCGTGGTACTGACATCAACAAAAATGTACTAGTTGGAGAACTTGGGACCAACGTCTGGACGTACTTGTTAGCTGGTTTCAGGTTGTAAGTACTTTCGTAGTATAAGAAATCTCGGACCAAATTAAAGTTAAACTTGAATTTTAGAACGATTTAGTTTTATTGCTGAACTGATGCTGACTAGGTTGTTATTTGGAACTAGTAAATCACTGAGATAAGGTGCATTTCTGATTCCGAAGTGTAATAAATTATTTATATGACAAGTTCATTACATTTTCATTCACAGATTCGTGTAATTTATACACTAATTCTAGCCTTGACTCTAAATACTAGAGAAGCACTTTTAATTTGCGGTATTGCGGAAAAACAAAATAATTAGATTTAGTTTGCAGTAGAAATTGTTTTAACACATTTACTTGACGAATAGGATATAAGTAATCTTTACATTGTTATATGTAGAAATCATAATGGATGAGAATCAGTATATTCTGTCTCAAGGAAATTTGTCTTGCAAATATAAAAGACTACTATGATCGTTTTTGGCTAAGTCATCAAAATTTTGAAATTGTCATCAAGTAGTTGGAATCGCACTTTTTATGGTACTTGGACTTTGGCGAACTGGACTTTCTTTGAATATGTATTTTATTTCAATATATCTCGAAGTTGTCAGTGATAAACCCCCAAAAGGGATTTCCTATAACAACATCATAAAAAATTATGTCTATTGTGGATTTTTTTTTGTAGGTATCCCCGACGGTTACAGGCACATGAACGGTTATGGATCTCATACATTCAAAATGGTTAACAAAGACGGAAAATTTGTCTACTGTAAATTCCACTACAAAACTGATCAAGGAATAAAATGTATTGATGCCAAAAAAGCAGATGAGTTAGCCGGTACTGATCCAGATTATTCTATCAAGGATCTTTACAACTCTATCGCCAACAGAGACTATCCATCGTGGACATATTATATCCAGGTAAAATTTACTGCTTTTTCAGTAGACCATATCTCTCTCCAAGACTATACCATACTGCTGATCGCTAACAAGTATTGAGCATCGTTGTATGCGGTTGGTCATGGTTACAGAGACGGAAAGGGAGCAGAGCCTATTTAGAATCTATTGTTTACTCCTGTATCCATATAACTATGCATACCAAAATAATGCTTATTGCTTCATTCTCAGTGACAAGTTTTTTTTTTATTCTACTCCTCTTTTCAATTACGCATCTTTCAAGCTCAGACCATTAATCAACGTATTATCACCAGCTCATAACTAAAATTTTCAACATGTAGTCTGTAAGTCTAAAGGTGCACACCAATTGGAAGAAGAGAAAAGAAGAAGCGAGAAAATACTTCGCTGACAATCAAATGAAGGCCGCGCACTGTAGCGAAGTTTGAACCTTGCAAATTACAAATCTTGCCATGGTTATAGAACAGAATGAAGTTATCTTTCTTAGAATCAAATCACATATTCGCCAGATATAATGATCTTATATCACCAGAAACATTGAGTGCCCCAAGGAACGATGTTTGGACCACTGCTTTTTACTCTTTTCATATCTGATCTAGACAAAGTGGTAAAATATTGCAATATACAATTCTTTGCCGATAATTCTCAATTATACAACAATTTCAATAATGAAAAATTATAGTTGCAAAATCTCAAATAAATGAGGACTCAAAGGCTACTGATAATTACGCAAAAAGTCATAACCTCCATTTAGATCCTACAAAAGTAATCCTATTTGCTCACAAAAGATTAATGAAATACATTAACAGGTGTACAAACATATACATATATGGATGGCGAATTATTCAGGTAGATGAATGGGTTAAAAACTTCATTCCACATATTACTGAGAGTTGTTTTTCAGTACTTTGCTAGTTATACCTCAATAAAAAGTTTTTTTATGCGAATCATTCAATCATTTCAAAAATTACATATTGCGATATTGTTTACCATTCATTTTTATATTGGCTATCTATGAAACGCTTACAAAAAAATCAAAATTCTTGCTGTAGATTAGTAAAAAACTTGAAAAAGTACCACCATATTTCGACATCTTTTTAAAAACTAGGTTAGTTGAATGTTACAAAATTATATAAATATTACTTAGTATGTTATGTCCATAAACTCCAAATTACCTCATTACCTCCATTTCTAGAGATATTCGCTTCACCCTGCCAATCCACAGTACTTCATTTTTTCCACGAAAGCTTCACTTTAATAATGCGATCTATCTATATAATTCATTACTCCCTGAAGTTAAATCTTTGAAGTTTGTTATCTTTAACAAAGATATCAAGAATCTGCTTTTACAGTGCCAAAATTAAAAATACTTATCTTTCACTTCAGCTAATAAAAAATAGTATTTATTATCAGAATAATTATATTAAATATGTATAATCTTATTGTCATTTATATATTTTATTCATGTTTATATTTATTTATTTTTTTTTGGGTCAAGTGGAGGAATAGCTTAAGCTAAACTTCGCTCAAATAAATAGACATTTATTATTATTATTATGAATTTTTGAGATAGCTGTTTTCAGAATTTCTTATTTTAGGTAATGACTCCTGAGCAAGCTGCCTCCTGCAAATTCAATCCATTCGATCTGACAAAGGTTTGGCCTCATTCAGATTACCCTCTGATCAAAGTAGGCAAAATGGTGCTTAATCGTAACCCAGAGAATTACTTTGCTGAAGTAGAACAGATTGCATTTAGTCCAGCTCACATGGTGCCTGGAATCGAACCTTCGCCTGACAAAATGCTGTTGGGTCGTATATTTTCATATGGCGACACTCACAGGCATAGGTAAACCTGATTCACCTTTCTGCATATGTGCCATAATACATGTGCCAAAAACCAATCCTGGATTAATCTCGTTATATCATTAATGGAATATAGGATGCTGAGATTTAATTCTTCAAATCGTCATTTCGCTTTCGCTACGGTTTATTCTATTTTCAAAACATAGTATGTAGAGACATTGATTAGAATTTCCTTCCTGAAGATAAGATAAGATTTTAATGATATATTCTCGCGTCCAAAAAATTATCCGAGATAAAATGACACAACGTTGCGTCATCTATGAGAATTTGTCACAGCTATTTCTCTATATATATTTACTGTATATATGTTGAAAAGGTTGGCACTGCCTATATGAGCGTTTACAATCATATAGGTGGCTGCAGTGCCATTTATGAGATACTAACCTACAGAGAGTGCCAACCTTTTCAAAATATATACAGTGAATATAGAGAAAACTGGGACAAATTCTCATAGATGGCGCTATGATATCTCATTTTCTTTCGGATAATTTTTTTGACGCGGGAATATAGCATTAGATAGCTATCTTCAGGTAGAATACGTAAATCAGTGGTAGAAATTACCAGTAGGACCAATTTTTGGGCCAAACGTGATCTTCAGCTTTTAACCCAACATTCGACTTCGGTTGTAAAATGTGGGTCGTGTTACAAGTATGAAGTAGTATCGTAATGGACGTTTGTGTCCTTGGTCCTGTTTGTTATAAGTTGTAGCTCCGGATTTAATACGATATTGGATCATTTTTTTAAACTAGAAAAAACGTGATAATTGAATGATTATGGATACCAAACTTCAGTCAAATTTACTGCATTAAGATTAAAATAACGTGAAACCCCTGGTGATTAACATGTGTTGAGCATTGGATGCAACGTGTTACATTAACATATAAGAGTACATTAGATAGTGGTACCTATGAAACAGAGGAATTCGTGAATTATTTTCAAAATTATAGCTTACAAGACAGTCAGTTTTTAACACAAATTGACCACTTGAATCGTTGTATTTCTTGATAGTGGAATGAGATTAAAGAAGAGTGAAATATATAAAAGTCGATAATTATAGTGAATCTTTGACGAAAACTAGCAGGTGTTCATTAAGTTCAAAGCCGAAAAATAGTAGCACACCAACACCACATAGTAAACTGACTTTTACATCGCCTAACTTGCCTGCAAATGCTTATTACAGACTGGGTCCGAACTATCTCCAGCTGCCTGTCAATTGTCCATACAAAGTCAAAAACTACCAAAGAGACGGCCCAGCTTGCTACTACAATCAAGGAGGAGCACCAAACTATCACCCTAACAGTTTTGGAGGACCAGACAATGACGCATGGGTGAAATCGTTACAGAAACCATATACTGTCTCTGGGGATGTTGCAAGGTATTACATAACTTTATTACAGCAGCAGTCACAACATATTACAAAAGTTTTCTAATCTAAATCGCATTTTTTAAGGTTCAAGATTATTTTTATTTACATCAAAACTTAAAATGAATATTTATTATATATTATGTGTTATCAATGTCATTTTTGATTTGTCAATTATTGCTGTTGAACTTTTCAGAGGATTGTCTTATCTACAGCAGTGAAGTTCTTTAAAAATTTCTCACAGTTCAGACCATTGAGATTTATCAATATTTATTATGAAACTTTTTTTTACCTGATAAAGCAATATACCTTGACCTACGTAATATCTTACTTGGAACAAGATTTAGGATTAATATGCCTTCCATTTAATTATTGATCATCATACTCTCCAAGAAAATGGCCAACCATATGCTGTATTTGAACGCCCACATACAGTTCACATACAGTTTCCATAGACACAGCCATGTCGCCAACTGGGATCGCAGTAATTCCCTTAGAAGTTATAGAAACAAACACAATTTTCCTTTAAAAGAAAATTGTTTAAACTTGACATCAACCTTTCAAGGAAAGACCATCCCTCAAGCTCCTTCGTAATTATTCCTAAGATTTGGTATTCTCAGAATTTCTCAACGATAGTAAAGGAAATGTCATAACCTGCAGCAAAGGGGAGGTGGCAACACTGACATCTGAAAACGGTGGTCGGTATATACACTACTCAAAAAAATTAAGGAAGCAAGAAAAAAATCCAAATTCTTGACAGGTTGTATTTCGGTGAAAATGGTCGTACCTAAAAGAAGCATTTTGAAGCTTCAAGATTCTATTGTTCAGGTTTTTTAGCCAAACAATTTTAATAGCAACTGTTCTCATGCAATTCTGGGCAAGAAAAAATGTCACCATAACTTTTGTCTTCTTCTTTTTAGTCCACGGGTTTGAACAAATTGTTTTCTGTTAGGCTATCACATCGATCAGTTAGCCCGTTTATTCAGCTTCAACATCCTGTTTTTAAAACCTCGATACGATTTCTCGACGAGATATCTGACTGAATTAAAATGGTTCCTTTTGTCCACTGATATCTCGGTAACCAGTGATAGCACAGAGAATGTGAGGGTATTTCCGAAAACTGGAATAAACCTCGTATAAGATTTGATTCCAATCTTTGAGGATTTTTTTTTGTTTCCTTAGTGTTGATTTTAAAAAAGTCGCTAAGCTACTTTTTACCTTGTTTTAAAAAATTGACCGCATTTTTGGGACTGCTAACGAGAAGGCTAAAGTTTTTTGTGTACCTCACTGCAACCCTAATAACCCTGCACGGAGCAGATAGATCCATTGCACGGTTTCTCCGGACAGATTGGTCAACATTTTTTGAGAAATCAAAGGAGCAAAATTTGTGTATCAAAACATCCTGTAATCTGGTTGAAAATGTAAAAATCATTTTTCTTCTTTTGTTGTCACTATTGGATATCTGTAACACCTTCAACTTTAAAAAGAAATTGAAAAAATGTTGTTCCTTCATTCATAGAATGTTCCAAAAAACAAAAATACTGACCATGGGCGGATCTAGAAAATATTTTTGGAGGGGTCTCAAAGGCGGATTTAGGAATTTGTCGGTCCCGAGAAGCAGTACAATGGATCGATCTGCTTTAGTACAAGGTTCTTGAGGTATAAAAGTCCTAAGAACTTGGTATTCTCATTGGCAGTACCAAAAATGCTGTCAATTTTCTAAAACATGACAAAAAAGGTTCTTTTGACTTTTTTTAAAATCAATATTGAGGAGACAAAAAAATTGCCTCAAAGATTGCAATCAAATCTTATAGTTTCCTGAAATATCTTTCCATTTTCTGTGCGATCAGTTGTTACCGAGATATCAGTTGATGACGAAAGGATCCTGTTTCAAAATCAGATATCTACCCGCCAAATGATCGTATCGAGATTTTAAAAACAGGATATTAAAGCCGAATATAAACGGACTATCTGATACATATGATGACTTAACAGGAAAAAAATTTAAACTTGTGGACTAAAAAGAAGGCAAACAATGTTTGCGCTGTCTGTTAGGAATGCATGAGAACCGCTTTTCCGACTGAAAAACCTGAAAACTAGAATCATACAGCCTCAAAATGTTTTTTTAAGTCTAGATACGACCATTTTCACTAAAATATAGCCTGTCAAAAATCACCGCAAAATTTGGATATTTTTCTTGCTCCCTTAATTTTTTTTGAGTAGTGCAGTTGTAAGCATGGGTTTGTCTGCGCCACGGTACTTAACTTTTGCTTATTTTCGCGAACGCTCGGCTTTCAATTGATTTGGTTATCTTCTAGTGAAATATATTAGTCAATGGTCTGAGTCAAATATAAAGTGGAAAATACTGTTTAGATATGATACCGGCGATGAAGACAACTTCTCTCAAGCGAGAGAATTCTACCAAAAGACGTTAGACAAAGCGGCCCAAGAGAGGATGATAGCAAATATAGTCGGACATCTATCAAATGCTGCCGATTTCATTCAAGATAGGACGGTTAAAATGTTTTCCAAAGTGGACAGCAGCCTTGGAGAGAGACTTGCTGAAGGATTGAAGAAAATAAAGACCATCAAAGCGAATTTGTAGATTGAGTGATGAACTTTATATTTTTGTGATTTATAAATTTAAGGAGCTCAAATAGAGCAAAACAAAGTTTAGCTCTAATTATTTTTATCTGCTGTATGGTATATTACCTAGAGGTGCTAAAGGATTTGGAAATTGTTGCATAAGCATTATTTTTTAACAATGTATATATAATCACAGATTTTGTATGAACCTCCATTTTTAACATTGCAGTCAAAATTTATATTTTTGTAACTGATTCACTGCACGATCTACATATTTCTATAAATAAAAAACATTAAGAAAATTAACTTGTGTTTTTCAATTTTGGATGTAGATTCCTAGGCCCGGTTTTTCAGTCGCAGGTTAACTACCAGCTTGGTCTATGAAAAAGCGTTTTTCAACATCATATTTATCGTGAAACAGAATATCATCTATGAGTTAACTAGAAAGGCTGTGGTTAATTCAGAAATTCACAAATTCAAAGAAGGCCAAAAATGCTTTTCACTCTATACAAGGCTCAGATAATGCCTAGCCTCGAGTATTGCTCACACGTTTGGTGTCCTGCCGCCCCGGCTACATTATTTACGCTCGATGCTGTTCAAAGGAGGGCTGTCCGACTGATCGATGACTCTTCTATAACAATCAGTCTCGGGAGCCTTTCGCACCGGCGGGCCGTCGGCGATCTAGCTCTCTTCTACCGCTAAACCAACGCGCTTTACTCCTCGGAGTTTCTTCCATGATGCCTAGACAGACCCGCCTCACCTTGGCCTCCCATTCTAACCGTGTCGAACTTCGTACAAGAGGAAAAGTTTTCCAGTTTCCTTAGGCAGTTCAACAATCAGATAAACAAAATTCCTTTGGGATCCTCAAAGCAGCTGCGGTGTCCCGGCATTTAGGCTTCTGCCTGCGCGGCTGCTTCGGTTAAAAAACAATCCGCCATTGGCAGAATTACAAAAATTTGACGACCTTGATTTCCTAGCAAGATTTCGTTTTACAGAAAGGACTCTAGAAACATAACTTTTCTCTTTCCAGGAAACTGAGCCACTTTTTTACTCTCTGTCATGATTTATCCGCTGCTGAAGACCTTTATTTTTGGGTGCTGGATTATAGAAGTGGTACTAAAAAAGGTGACAAATAGATATTCAGCAGATATTTACAAACTTAATTGTATGTTTATCGTATTTTTTCGAATATGTAAGGTTGCATTCTTGCGTTCTTTACGACCATTTCTATAATCCCGTCTATAAAGTCTATTTCTGAACACTTATACAAGCCATGTTTGAAAAACCTTACCTTGCTTGACGAAAGTTTTATTTGAATTACGACTATTTTATCAAAAATAATTAAAAAAAGATGAGCTGTCATGTACGACGATATGACCCAAGATAGAGGCGCCCAGTGCACAAAACAGATGCAGGATTGTAACATAAATACAGAGTGTCAGTGGGAAAGTTCACTTTTTGATTTAAGAAACAAAAATACAAACTTAATAAAAAGAAAATATTTATTACTATCAACATATGTGTAAATTCGGCGGGTTTTATTTGTTAAATATCATTCCGTCCAAATGTTTGCCATCCCTCCTAATACCGCGCGCAAATTCTGAAACACTCTCTTGCAGAGTTCCAGACTGATGTTTATTTCTCGTCGAATGTTGTCTTTAAGCTCTTCCAGTGTTCGTGAATTACTGGACTACACTTTTGACTCTAAGTAACCCCACAAAAAATAAAAGCATGGCGTGAGGTCGGGTGATCTAGGAGGCCAGTGAATGTCCCCAAACTTCGATATAACTTTTTGAGCAGAAAGTGCTTTCACCGTGTCCATCGATTCTCTGGAAGTATGGGCAATCGCCCCATCCTGTTGAAACCATGTGTTTCTGTTAAATCGACGTGCTGTTCTTACAATAGGAGCAAAAAAAAGTGTCAATCATGTCCTTGTATTGCTCGGAATTGACTGTCAATGCATGACCGTGTTCATCTTCAAAGAAACACGGCCCAATAATACCGCTAGAGGATATGGCGCACCAAACAGCTGTAGCTGCCCAATATCTGCAATTTTGCTTGTTCACATAAATGTCTAAGTGAAAATGGGCCTCGTCACTGAAAACAACGTTCACGAGTCTGTGCTGCGTAGGAAAAAGATTCAACATCCGTTCAGCACAAGATTTCAATACGTAATCACTTTCCTTTGAAGGATGGACTGATTGGATTTTATTAGGATGAAACCCCATTTTTTCTTTATTATGCTGTGCAGTGTTGACCTAGGGATGCCCAAAGCAACTGAATGCTTGCGTACAGAACGCTGAGGATTTGCAATGACCGAATACTTACTCGACGCACATTTTCTTCGGTTGATACAGCATGTGTGGGGCCAGGAATGGGTTGACTAAGAGTAGAGCCTGTTTCACGCAACCTCTGAATCCACTTTTTCCATAGGTTCTTACTTGGGGCATCTCTTGGTCGGCGAATATTGTATCGTGTACAAAATTTCCGAAGGGCAACTGCGTATGAAACATCACTCTTAAAAGTAAGCCTCGATAGCAAAAGCACGTTGGGCTCCGATCCAACGTTCCATCGTGACTATTTAACGCCGAACGCGTCGATCAAGACCTCTTCCCACTTCCTCGCGTATACGGTGGCCGCATAATTCAAATTTGAAATGTGAACTTCCCACTGATGAACTTCTGGCATGTTCACAGGCGCTATCAAAATACTTCAAAAAAGCATTTGCAAGCAACTACAAGATACCTCCCAGGTTATGGTTAACTAACCAGAAAGTTTACTTGCCATTGAAAAACCAGATACGGTTCACTGAAGACGCATATAGAAAAAATATACCTACCAAACTTTGACGTCACTTTATTTTTTAACACATTACAAAACCGATGTTTTTGATAAAATTTATCACAATGCCAATCCGGCTTCCAAAATTTTAAAATAAAGAAATACTTCAATACTATAAAACAACAGTGCTGTCAAGTACAATTAACTTGTAAAGTTAATCACAACTTTCGCAATTTTGTAAAACCTACTTGTAACAACAATGTAATAGACTGAACTATAAAGTCATGACAAGTTGGAAAAGGTGACATGATCCCACCGGAATGCTTAAATATTATGTAGGAAAAATGGTACATAATACAATCTCACCATTTTGGTTCAGCTTTAAGGTTTGCATTACGGACATACCAAGTCCTTCCTGATAAGATCGAAGAAAAAGAAAACTTTTACTCATGCGTAAGTATAATTTAGGTTTAATCGTTGCAAAATCTGAATTAGTAACGTCATGACGTCAAGCAGTTTTTGTTTCTTTTGTAACCTTATAATAGGAACGATTGAAGAGTGCATCACAAATAAAATATTCCAAAACCGTAATGCCGAAGTATGGATTCAATCTCGATATTGCAGTTACTGAATTCTACATTGTAAACTAACAACTCGTCTAAGTCACAAATCAAAATATTTTCTGGTGCGTTATTTTTTTGGAAAAGTAAATCAATTTTAAGCAAAAAGAGACCTTATATTACTGATAGTAGCTGATATAACCTAGCGTAAATCATTCCACCGAGTACCCTGTCCCTGGAAAGCATCATCCACATCCCATTCAGACCCAGTACCTGCCTTGGGGTGCCAAAAAGCACAATAAGGAACCAAGTCAAAGAATACGTAGGAAACCAACACAAGGACCATTGGCAGTTAGTGACTGGATGTCGTGCATGGGAAAGAATTACTCTCGGGACCCTGTCCAAACAAGACTACTGAACTGCTTTCAATGGGTAGAAACCAACTACGCGCAGTTATAGGCCTTCTAACATGACACAATGGCCTGAAAGAAGACCTGGGCAAAATAGGACAGAACGTTAGAGAACTAGATGCAGACAATGTGGAAAAGGGACAGAATCAGCCCTACATGTCTTATGTGAGTGCGAAGCGCTGGATCACGAAAGACATCAACTCTTCGCGAAACTAAAACTAGAACCGAGGAAGTTTAGAACAGTACCGGCAGGAAAACTGTACCAACTGCTACAGCACACTAGGCTGCTGTACTCGAAGAGCAAGGCACAATGAGCCCTAGAGGCTGCAGTGCCATCGAGGACGGCTCCCGGAAGGGGAAAACCCTGTACCCGAATACGCTGTACTACTTTGAAAAAATGAATACTTGATGCATCTCCACTTTCCATAATGCGTATGAAATTTTGCTAAAGTATTACCAGGATAAAAATCATTATTATTTATTTTAAACACGATCAACCCATTAATAAAATGGATTAGAAAATTGCATCGTCACCCTTTCCAATATTTCACCAGACTTATACAATACAAAAAACCTCATATAAACTCGATATTTACAAATATTCTTACTGTTAGTATTTGGTAATATTCGTTAATCGTCTGAGCATTCATTGTTGTTCCGCACTCTCTACGATGAGCATTATAGATTGCTGTCCAGCATCTGTGGTCACACCTCTCACACACTCAACTTGATGCGAAGCCCAGTCTTTCCGCTGACAAAACGTAGAGCAATATGGCGTCCGCCGACAAAGGGAACATTCGGCGAGGGCTTCTCTGTTGCAATTCGCACACTGGAAAAAACAGTACGCTGTTTGAGGACAAATTATAATTTATTCACATCATGGAAGGGTTAATTACACATTACGTTGGATTTTTAAACAATTTCTGTGGCTTTGAGAGCTCGGCTTATGCAATCGATTGCGTGGCTGATGCTGATGTGCGCGGTAGGATTTATGCGACATTATGTAGGTTTTTCTACAAGATGTCAACTTAGAACTAGATGTGCACTTGAACATCAACATACTTCAGGTATCAATGTTTCCCTCTGATGTGATGTAACATCTGCTTCAGAGATGGCATTATTGGAGGTCTAAGCTGTAAGTTGTGTACTTCAGCTGGAAGGAAACAGCAGTGCATACTGAGGATTTGTGTGCCAATAATCTGAATTGATGATAATTCCATTGCTTTCTTGGCTCAAATACACTTACTTGAGATGTATGCAAATCTAGAAATTAGTTACGCATCCACTTTTTCTTATTCACACCGGAAATTACATATGCAAATTTGCTGAACTTCAAAAATAAAAGAGAATCGAAAAAAAGATCCCTGGTTGGTGAAGTATATTACAACCAACAGGTGAGAAAATATACCAGACATAGAAATACTTATGAAACGTGAAAAAGTTATTACAGTTCACATAATTTTTTATTTCCAGTCATTTCAATTTTATAGAAATTTATTTTGCGATGTCAAGTAGAAAATACAATCAGCGCATAGATATGAGGCACTGCGAAAATGTATTGTGTGTGATGCGTCATTCCTAATTTCACTGTGATCTGGCTTAATTACGCACAACACGGGCAAACGCAAAAAACCGCGGAAAATAGTAATTTATAACTTTAAACCCTCTCTTCAGAAAGGACAACACAAATAACCCGTCTGGTACATATTCACTAATAAGTTTCTCTCTCTCTCTCTCTCTCTCTCTACTCGTTTGTTAAAGACTGGTCCATGGCTAAGGACATTGTTTCTTACAATAGATAAATAGGCGAAAAATTTGATATCGAATTATAATAAACCCCACAGCAAATTATTTCAACTTCATTTTAACACCAAAATTGATTTTTTACCCGACGGTACTCTGTAAGAGTATCGATATCCTCGCTCCTAATAATGTGCTACAGAGCTGTTTCAAAACAAAATGGTGCTCTGATTCGGTACATGCATCCTAAAGGTCATCTAATTATTAGCCCTCACATCTAACGGATTCATTTCTGGTAGTGCGCCCACTGCGTCCAGACAGTGCAATCGGATTTCCAGTGCAGCTTCAGGATTCTCATTTATGCACAGATGGACAGTGCCGTTGATGGCGATACGTCCACTGATCGACAAATCTTTATGAGCAGCGGTAGCTGCAGTGGTAGACTCTTCAGTCGCCGTGCGTTGCGCGGGTTCGAATCCCGACCCAAGAGAAATCTTTCTCTTGGCGATGGATGTTGTGATTGTCCGTAGGTGGCAGACGGTCTCTGACTGTCGAACGCGAAGGTACCACCCGGCGGATCTCGTAGGCGGGGCCAGAATGTGCGCATATTGCATACACACGTGTTCCCTCGCCAGAGACCGTGTGGCGCCCCCCCCCCTTCCCCCTATAGCGCCACGGTTCCCCATGGGTGTTTGTTTAGGCTTTAGGCTTTCGTGGTAGTTGGAATATAAAAAAAATGATATCAGCAGAACACCAAAAATGTTGATCCGACAATACTCTACTTCCCGGTTCCTTTGACAACTAGTCCAGAAATTTCCGGTTCTCTGTTGGAGTACCGGTTCTACATTCCTTAATGGGATGCATGCACATATCATATCATCGAAGTTGTGTTGTATTGTGTGCTGTGGTTTTGCTACCCACCTTCTTTATGCTGTCACTGTCTAAAGCAGGTTGTAAGGTGGAATCTGTAGCAGCTTCTGGTTGCAGAGCAGCTACTTGAGCCTCCACCCTCGCAGCCAATATGGCGGCATCCTTCTCTCGTTGAAACTTGTCATTCTGTTTGGTCAGGATTTCCCGTAGGTCATCTACTCCTCGACGAAAATCCATTGCTAACCTGTATGGAGGGAAAATTCATTGAACATTCACTATATCGTATCCAACACCTATCAGCGTATGCACAGTGTTTGGCGGTGTTGTAAAAAACACGATTTAAAAAAAAATCAAAAAATCCGATTTTTTTGGATGGAATCGTGAAATTTTTGATTTCCTTCAATTTGTACTGATGTTTTTTTTTTAAATATGACAATAATGTACTTTGAAATGAGTTATTAGACTAATATATGTAAACTCTTAGGTTTGATTAAACCATCTTCCTTTTTTTTTGAATTTCCGGATGAGTCAAAATGACTAGATTTTGTTATCGGTTTTACAGGGACATTAACTAAAGAAGCGACAATTCCTATCATATTTTGTATAAAAATAAAAAAGGAATCTCATCTCCTCTCATTTATTCATTCCAACCTCCATCTGTGGGATGTCGTTGACCAAACGCTTATCACCTTTGTATGTACTATGTTGTGCCTTCATCGCCCGTCAAATTACACTACGTTCATGGCAAAATACTATTATTATACGGTGATACTTGATATCATCGTAGAAAGCCTCGAGGGAGGACAGTGTCAAACACAAACCTTGAATGTAGTAGCATAAGTGATACGAATCTAAGTCTTGAAGACATCGCAAAACATAAGAAAACGGCCACAGTGGTGACCCGGCTGACAATTCGAACTGGGATACAAAAGAAGCTTGACAAAAAACTGAGGAGTTGCCAAATAGCTCGAAACAGCTACCCATGGTTGGCTGTCTGTGATCGGACGACCGAAATCTAAATTACTAATAAGAAAATGTGTTATCTGAAATTCTAAAATGTTTGTGATCATAGTACCTCCTATTATTCCATATTCCAAAATATAGTAATATGTACCTTTTATTGAAGAAAATGCTAAGCTTGGCACCAATATGAAATAATAAGTGCTTTCAATATTCCAGATGTTTACGTCTACTTTTTGAATGTATGCAATACGATACCTGTTGATCTGACAAGCCATATCCTCCAACCTCTTCAGGTGGATGAGCGGGTCAATGGCAGGTACAGGTTCGATGAGTTGGTAGTCGTTAGAGTCTAGGCCCTCAGCTAGGTTCTGCCAGGCTTCCTCCTTCGTTTGGACATCACTATCGTCCCCGTTGGACTTCCTACTGCTGGAATCCTCCTTCCGCCTTTTGCGCTTGTATGGGGTGAACAGACGTACGGGTCCTGTGGCTGTATCGTCGTCGCAACATGCTGCGCATGTGCAACTTGTTGCGTGGGGAAGGATAATACCTACAAAGCAAGGGTTGAAGTGAAATAAGGACATTTTCAATCACAGGTTTTACTGAAATTTTCATCAACTGATGGTGCATTCAAGTCTCAATTTTTCTGATACACCTGAATTCCCTCATAGAAAAAGTTGCATCATGCTGCTATGAGCTAGTGCTGCGACAAGTATAGCTTAGCTCAAATGCTGAATATTGCTCACCATCGAACCGATTTGCTAACAACTAGGATAGCTCAGCATAAGCAAAAGCTGTTTCAAATACGTGACTTCTGTCAATCGATTTGAAGGTTTTCAAAATTTTCATAGTTGTCGCTCGGGACTCTATAGCTCCTAGCATCAAGTCTACAACAGATTTGGAATCTGGGCGCCCGATTTACAAAGATAACGAATTCTTGTATTTAAAGTTTGCTCATTTAAAATCTAAAATTATAGGACTTTGTCCATTTTCCAACCCTTATTTAAAATGAAATTTGTTCCACTTAGGTAAGGAGTGATAGATTCAAGTATGATGTTCAAAGAATGGTGGTGTTGGGTGGATTTGAGGAGAAAATGGATCTCCATGGGTCCTAGCATTGGATTGGAATCTAAGCTTTTATACAAATTGCAGATACACAGAGATCTATCAAAGATTTCTTAAGGCAACGTTGATTTACAATACAATCATTCTGCCTCTCTTCCTATAATGTAACTATTCTATATTTGGCAAAATTCTTTAATGATGCAGCAAAATAGATGCAATTAAGGGAAACCAAAAACAAATGATAAATGATATGTTGCTTGGTTGTTGATGTTAAAAATTTATAATGTAACTGGTGATGATTTTTGTTTACAATATTAAGAATAGATTATCACCAAAACACCTTAATGAACAAAGAAAGTTAAGTTTCATGTATCATTCATATGGAACTTGAGGAAAATTTGAAATATTTAAAAACTTGTTTTTCACAAAAGTATGAAACTGGTGTACATCATTGAATTCCATATAGCGTCAATTTGCATGAAATATGTTTCCATATATCCATAGGAGCTAAAGAAATCTATATGATTACTTCTAAACTTGTTATAGAACCTTATAGGTCAAAATTTCCAATTTAGCCACCCATTGTTATAAGTGGAACTTGGTATACACAGATAATTTGGATTCCTAAATTTGAATTTGACCAAAAATCATGAAGTGTCAAGGGACCGAATTTGAGGTGAAGTGACTCCTTTTGCACCCTCTGTGGGTCCCTGCATAAAAAAGTGATGTCAGATATGTAATCAACATACTCAAGGTATCCCGAAAAGGAATTCCTGTAGAAGTCACAGATAAACAAAAGTCTTACAAGTGAATGAATCTTGATACTCGTGTAATTTAGTGAGCAGAACTAGAAAATGACCGTTAAAAATTGTTTAGTGTCATGAGTCCGAATTTGAGGTAGAAATTGGGTCATCTACACACCTTCATCAATCAGAGTTTGCAAACTCCTTCCTCCAAAACGTATGCTCCTCTTCCAATCTTTACTTGATGCCCTCCCACATAATGCTTCAAACTCACTTGGTGTATACCAGGAATTGCCCAGCTTGATGCATCTTCCTCTACCACCTGACCCAAACCTGCTCTTGTATAGTTCGGCTGATGTATTTTTGCACCGTACTGGAAGTACTGCAGCACTTGCAGCATCGCTCCAACTACCAACTACTGAAGTTGATACTGAAGTTGGTACTGACACACTACTTGCAATATCCTCCTAAAAGTAAATTGAATAATACAATATTCAGATAAGAATGAAGCAAGTTTATGAAGAAAAATGTTCAAAATTAAACATGTTTGAAACAGAGGAGAGTCAGGTATTTAAGATTAGACTACACAATTCCAGTAACCTGGTATCTTGTGATTCCAGAATCTGCCCTTACCTCGCGGGATGCCCTGTATATTATATTTATTATCTTTTAATGGTTTTTGGCAGGTCACATCATTTGTTTTATTTTTACTAATATAATTTATTTCTGGTGTAATTTTACCAATCTATTTTATTCTGCTTTGTTTCAACTAATGTACAATATAGGACCCAATTTTATTTAAGTTTTTTTGAACTCCATATTTACATAATGACATTATTTTACGGATCTGTACTGTTCTATTTTTGGGTGGGTGATTTGAGTTTCGCTTTGTCCACATTCAATATAATATAATAATGCCTGAAGATACTAACCACAATGTTGTTAGTCAGTATCAAGTTTACATGTAAAAGTATTTTCAGTGGTCCTCTATCACCTAACTTGTATGTATGTGCAAGAGTGAGTAGTAAATGCACCCAGTGTGCAATTTCCTTCAGAATGTTAAGCTAAGCACATGGTCATGGTACAGTTAGTCAATCTGTTTACTTATTTCTTATGACACTGTGTTGTAATAGCCAAAAACTATGAGGACTATAGGTGTTTTTTGTACATGAGTTTGTAGTGAAAAAATTATTTTATGCTACATCCTTTCCACGTTTTTGTTATGTGTAAAGTGAAGATGATACAAATGTTGCATGTTTAATTTGAGAATTAACTTGTTTTTTTACTATTTAAATCCAGCACAATGAGTAGCACATATAGATTAGTGCACAAAACTTTGAACAAAATCCTAATCTTGCAAATATTTAGCTGAATGACACTTCCCAGGACAGAAGAAAATAGTCTCTAGAAAAATCATTCATATCTCACTGTTTTGTATACAAAAATTATATGGTACACGTAATTTTTGTATTTAACTGGCTTCATTTTTTTCTGCAAAATATGAAGCATTATCGAATCTTTTCTGGAAAAATAGAAAACAAACCTCAATTTCATGTTTAGCAGTACCAATGTTTGTCATTTGAATCATATAAACATAAATTAACCAGACCAGCTCGACATTCAATTCATCTTCTCTAAACCGAACACCCCAAGTAGGGAGCACCTCTAACCTAATAACCAGACTAATAACTATTTTGACTTCAGAGAAAAACAAACCTGTTGGATAACGATAGTCTTCAACTCTCCACTACTTCCATCAGTGGTTGCTATGTACCCGTTGTTATCCACACATAACATGGGCTTGAAGTGCTGCAGCTGCTCCTGGGTGATGACATTGAAGGTGTTTGCAATGAGGGATCCCACAGGAACGGACACTGAAGGAACCCCCGCCGCATGTCTCACGGAGACAGCGGACACTCGCTGATTCTTCCCTTCAGCTGTGGCCACTTGCACGACGGATTCGCCATTGTCCCCAGAGCCGCCATCGTGTTCGCTCGCAAGTTGTTCGGCTTCGGAAATGTCCGGCAGGACGACACCTTCCGAGTTAGAACTCTCCATCATCGGAAAAGACAAAACTCCGTGATTCCGGGTGTTTTCCGGGCGGTTTTTACATGGAGAACTACCAAAAACTGTTTTTTAAACACACGTACGCCATTTTCGTTGTTGTAGCCTTGCGTTGAATTGGCTTGTCCGTCTGTGGGATGGAGTTGTAGGCGGGTACGTCAAGCGCGTGCGCCGCGCCAAATTGGAATTTTTAAATTTACGCATCATGCCACCATTTGTATTTTTTTATCGCCAGGAATATTTGGCGAAGCATTTGCCGTCCATCTGTTACCTCCGAATGCAATATATTCAAACAATATACAACACATAACACAATGGCATAATGTTCATAAATCAACCTCAAATGTCCGTCCAATCAGATAAAAATAAAGGCAATACAACATGTATTAATATAGAAGAACATCAAGATTCACCATTTTATTAGAGTTTTGCTGAGAAGCTTATATAGTTTTTTTGTAAATGTCAAAGAAAATGAGATTTAAATCTTTTTGAGTTCCACAGCGCCAAGTTGGAATTCATGTAGAGGTTTTTTTTAACTTTCTTAAACACTCTGAACTCCTAAAGATGATTAATGGACTCGAGCTTACGGTAACTTCTTACATTCTAAAAATAAAAAAAAACCTTTTGGAATGGGAATGTGTTTTGTGATGGGAACCAACCATTAGAGGTTGCTGGGTTGCTGCCTTCTTCTGAAATGTCATAATTTCTAGGTTAGAAAACTGACAGTGTAAACGTCACCGTCACTTTTTCACACACGTTTTTTTCTCTTGGAAAAGGGTTTTTCAACTCGTTTGCCGAGGTTGTGGATTTTTTATACAGATAATGTCAGAGGACGCAAAGACTATAGTTGAGAATGGGGGTGATGCTCCCCCCAAAACAGCAAAACAGATTGCCAAAGAAGCTGCAAAGCAGGCAAAATTGGATAAGCTTAAGCAGAAACTAGAAAAACAGCAAAATGCCCCTAAGAAGGAGAAGGAAGAGGTGAGATTATGCAATATTTACCAAGCCCTGGTAATACAATATTAATTTCTTTAGAAAAAAGAAAAGAAGAAAGAGAGTAAAGGACCAGCATTCTATGACGTGAATACTCCAGATGGAGATAAAAAAGACACCCTAATTCCCCTTCCAGATGCTTACAGTCCTAAATACGTTGAAGCAGCTTGGTACAGTTGGTGGGAGAAACAAACATTTTTCAAGCCAGAATATGGGGTAAACAGTTATACTACTTGCACAGCAGTACTTGCAACATTTTTGTTTTTTTTTTTAGAGGAAATCTATAGATGAACCAAATCCTAAAGGAAAGTTTGTCATAGTGATACCTCCTCCAAATGTTACTGGCTCCTTGCATTTGGGGCATGCACTGACTAATGCTATCCAAGACTCCATAGTTAGATGGTAAGTTATGTGTGAATGCAACATAAGTTACGGAACAAGCCTGTATTTTTCCAGCTGAGGTATTTTTTAAATAAGTTCGATGTCAAGTCTGCTAAATTCAATCAAGTTCAATTCTGACCTTGAATTGACCCTAAGCTTGACCTTCAGGGTTATTTCTAGTTCAACATTGGTTTTTTAAATGGAAAGAACTCTTTTTCTACCTTCAAATGGTTATTAAAAGCTCTGAAGATGAAATGGAACTGAAACTTTAAAATTGAATTGAAAAAACTGAAGGGGACATTAAAATTTGAATCGAATGTTACCATTGAAATCCATGATAAAAGTTCCTGAAGACCTTTCCTCAATATTTTTTTCATCAATAATCCTTCTAAACTTCTTCTAATTTTCCATACCATTAGACCTCTCAGACATCGAGTTTCTTTTAGTTTGATAGCTGGTGTAAAAAGGGGGCATTTTGGTTGAAAAACAAGAATTGGCTTACAGTGCCTTTCCATTACTTTTGATGCATTTTGTTATAAGTATATAGGGTAGGATATAATGAGTAATCCTTTCAATTTAGAAAGTACTACATTTTTAAGCTTGTAATTTCAAGAATGTGTAGAAGTGGGATAGGGCCTTATAGTAAAAACTAGTAATAATATCCAATGCATCACTTATAAGAGCTCTTTCTTTTCTTACCTGACATTTAAAAGCATAACAATTAGTATTGTGATCTTCATCTTTAGTAAGTATTCAGCTGTCTTGGAAGTATTTTGCGTATCTATGTATTGTTTTTTGCAAAAATGCAGGCATAGGATGAAAGGGGAAACAACTCTTTGGAACCCTGGGTGTGATCATGCTGGCATTGCAACTCAGGTAGTGGTTGAAAAGAAGTTGTGGAGAGAAGAAAAGAAAACTAGACATGATATTGGAAGGGAGAATTTTATCAAGAAAGTATGGCAATGGAAAGAAGAGTAAGTGGTTATAGAAATTTATGCAACTGTTAGTTGTGTGTTTAATGTATTTTTCTACTTGCAAATGTCATGTTTAACACAATTCAGATAATCATTTCAAAAAAAGTCTCTCGAATATATATATATTTTTTTAATCCAGAAAGGGTGTTAGAATCTACCACCAGCTAAAAAAAATGGGCTCCTCATATGATTGGGACAGAGCTGCATTCACTATGGACCCTAAGCTATGTAGAGCTGTGACAGAAGCATTTGTACGACTGCATGAGGATGGAACTATCTACAGATCTAACAGACTTGTAAACTGGTCATGCACCTTGAAATCTGCCATTTCTGATATTGAGGTAATTCAGTAATTCAAAATTTTTCAAGGTTTTTTCCAATAAAAACAAAAAGTTTTTGGAAGGGTAACATGTATTTTTGTGAGACACTATAAGGAAAGCATAGATAAATAATCCTAATTATTTTGTTGGCCATAAGAAGGTTTTACTGCAGACTTGTAACCCTATATATCCTTACATAAATAGATAAAAATATGTATGACAAGTGACAGAAAAAAGAACACCCAGTAATACTGAATTTATTACAACAATTTTTTGTACATATGCTTCTTATTCAACCTTTGAAAAAATGTAAAAAACTAATAATTTGTTGCGCCGCCATGTGATGATCGATTTTCTCTTGAGGGTGTCCAGTGGGAAAGTTCACCCCACCAACCGTATACGCGAGGAAGTGGGGAGACGTCTTGATCGACGCGTTCGGCGTGCTGGTTAAATAGTCACAACGTTGGACTGGAGCGCAACGTGCTTTTGCTATCGGTGCTTACTTTAAGAGTGGTGATTCATACACAGCTGCTCTTCGGAAATTTTGTGCACGATACAATATTCACCAACCAAGAGGTGCCCCAAATAAGAACCTATTGAAAAAGTGGATGATTTTTGCCTTGTATGTTTGGCAGTGTGTTTGTGTAACTGGTGGGCGTATTTTTCTGTTTTTGAGTAATTTGGTTGTTTTGCTGTGTTAGTTGATCTGCCGTCAGTTCGGTAATTCTGAAGTTTGCGGCGGGATGGAAGTCGATGGAAAAACTATTTAGACTATTGGTTGGTGGGCTACTTGTATGTTGTTGGTATGTTTGTTTATTGGTGGGTGTACTTTTGTTTTTGATTCAATTATTTTACTAAGTTAGCTGCTTACGTGTATAGTGACTAATTGATTGGGGATTTTGTTTCAGGGAAAAAGTGGTCTTACAAAGATTTGGAACGTATGACCTATGAAGAGTACAAGAATATATTTTTTGAGGACATACCTTCAGGAAATGAATCGGAAGATGATCAAAATGGGTCAGATGAAGTCGTGCATTTTGCAGCACAAAAGCGGAACAACACCGTACGCGATGGTCGTGCAGTACTTGCAATGTCGGTTTGTGTCTCATTGACCAAAAAATTGCTTTGAAAAATATCATAGCAAATAAGTTGTATGTTTTTACTTCAAACTTCTCTTTATAACATTATCTTAATTAAATATATGTTTCAGTAATATCTGCATTGTATTATTTTAGTGCTTGGTGGTATCATGGTGATACCACCTACTAATTCCTTTTTCTCCAAAGTTAAAAATTTTCTGGGCTATTTTTAATGCTTTTGAGATCTTATCACTTCATTTTTTTCAGCTATAAATGAAATAGCTTAAAAATTTAAAAATATGCCTTGAAAGGGTTAAGAGGTTCCGTGAAACAGGCTCTTCTCTTAGTCAACCCATTCCTGCCCCACACCTACTGTATCAACCGAAGAAAATGTGCGTCGAGTAAGTGATTCGGTCATTGCAAATCCCCGGCGTTCTATACGGAACATTCCGCTGCTTTGAGAATACCTAGGTCAACACTGCATGGCAGAATGAAGAAAAGAATGGGTTTTCATTCTTATAAAATCCAATCAGTCCATGCCTTAAAGGAAAGTGAAATCTTGTGCTGAACGGATGTTTTTCCTACGCAGCACAGACTTGTGAATGTTGTTTTCAGTGACGAGGCCCATTTTCACTTAGACAGTTACGTGAACAAGCAAAATTGCAGATACTGGACACCAAAGAACTCAAAAGTAACAGCTACAGCTACAGCTGTTTGGTGCGCCATATCCTCTAGCAGTATTATTGGGCCGTATTTCTTTGAAGATGAAAACGGTCATGCATTGATAGTAAGAACCGAACGTCGATTTAACAGAAACACATGGTTTCAACAGGATGAAGCCACTGCTCAAACTTCCAAAGAATTGATAGACACGGTGAAAGCACGGTTTCCTCAAAAAGTTATATCGAAGTTTGGAGACATTGACTGGCCTCATAGGTCACCCGAACTCACGCCATGCGATTATGTTTTGTCTAAAGTCAAAGGTGTATTCCAATAATCTACGAACACTGGGTGAGATTAAAGACAACATTCGACGTGAAATAAAGATCACTCCGGAACTCTGCAAGAGAGTGTTTCAGAATTTGCGCGCGCTATTAGAAGAGTGTGTCCGAAGGCATGGGAAACATTTGAACGGAATATTTAAGAAATAAAACCCGCCCAATTTACGAATATGTTGATAGTAATAAATATTTTCTTTTCATTAAGTTTGTATTTTTTTTCTTAAATCAAAAAGTGAACTTTCCCACTGCACACCCTGCACTTGTACCTCACGCCGAAGTGCCACTGAAGTCTGTGGACGATGAAGTAAACGGAGTTATATTCTTCTGATAATGTCTCGGACGTGTTCAGTGGGTGAAAGATCAGAAGGGGCCAAGGCGACAAATCGACTTGATTGTCAAAATGGACCAACGTAATTCTGGCTATACCTCCAGAATGTAATGCACGGCAGTCCCGTTGCCTCACCAAAGGTCCATGCTTATAGAAGCAATAGCCCCTGATACAATAATTCCAACAGTGTGGTGGCGTTTCCATATAAAATTGAGAATCTCGACTTTCACCTAGCACCTCTGCACGGCCACCATGCATTGCCAAACAGAATCTGGATCATTACTGCAGACAAACAGGACCATTCGAGATCCCATTTCAGCGGTTATCTTCACCAAGCCAAGTCGATTACTTCGCTGCCTAGGAGTGAGAGGGACGACAAACGGACAATTCGGGTTGTAACAGGCTTTCCATGCTCTCCAAACCATTTGTCCGCAATTGACCTTGTGGACGAGAATACGATATCACAAAGTATACCGTATTTCACGAGTATCCGTCACGGTAGAATAACAGCTGATTATCTAGTAATATCTCAAAAATCCCCATATGTTTTTTGTCATAACCTAAACAAATACATACCTAAAAAATCTTTTTATATATTCATTATTACTGGGTGTTTTTTTCCTATATCATATAATAGTGTCAATAAGTAAACAAATATTTAATTATTGGACAAACACAAACATATTAAGATCAATTGCAATGAAATAAATAGTTCGGTTGAAACATTAAAAAAAAATGGAAAAACAACTGTTTCATATCCAGGAAGTGAATTAGAAAATAACTGTGCTGAATGGTCATGCAGTAAAGTATTTGTCGAGGGAGCAGTAAAATTTTTTAGATAGAAATCCTCTCAGATGCTTATTTATTATAAGCATGTTGGTGCTTTTGCAGAATTCGGTTTGTAATGTATTATGAATTTTCGTACAAATAGTGAGAATTTCTGAAACTGACATGATTTTTGGACTGGTATACTTAAATCAAAGCCAATCTGGTGTTGTAGTATATTGTTATTGATATTAAAGATTAACCTGAGAACTTTTTTCTGCAAGATGAAAACTTTGATCATGTCTACTAGTCCCCACATTATTATATTATTGCTGAGACGTGGATAAACGAAAGCGTAAATTATATCTAAAATTGGTTTTAGTTTTAATAGTGCAAATTTTAGAGACAAATAATTCATGCTTCAAAAATTCCAAGAATTACCACATATCTGGAGCATTAATCTGATTAATGTAACATCTGGAACTTATCCTGTGATTTTTATATTGCTAATTATCCTTGTTTCTCTGGCCGCAAAAAAAAACATATGTTTCAAGTGCTGTTTACTGATAATACCAGTGACCTATTTCAAGTACAAATTGTACTTTTTATTTAGCGGCCAGATAAACATGGATGGTTATTGTCCTTATAATTAGGTGGATAAAGTAGAACTTCCTGGGCGTACCTTCCTCTCAGTACCTGGTTATGATGAAAAAATCGAGTTTGGCGTTTTGGTGCACTTTGCCTATCAAATAGAAGGATCTGATGAGAGACTAGTTGTTGCAACAACTAGAGTTGAAACAATGCTTGGTGATACTGCGGTAGCTGTACATCCTAAAGATGAAAGGTATAGATTTAATGCTAAACTAAGAGAAATATAGAAGTATGAGTATGTACAAGTCCATTAATGATTATATTTATTTCATGGTAGATACAAACATCTCCATGGAAAGTTTGCTGTGCACCCATTCTGCAATAGGAAGTTACCAATCATAGCTGATGATTTTGTAGAACTAGGATTTGGTACTGGAGCTGTAAAGATCACTCCTGCTCATGATCCTAATGATTATGAGGTTGGAAAGAAACATAATTTGCCATTCATCACAATATTCGATGACGAAGGGAACATTGTTGGCGATTACGGAAAATTCACTGTAAGTGGGACATGCGTCTTTCAGTATGAAATTCAATGATAGCAATATTCAATTTTGCTCTCGGTAGAGAAGGTGGAAAAAAGGCAGATTTGATATGAACGTAAACCGTTTTCACGACTTCGTCACATTTTGACGTCTATTGACGTGAACAGCTAATCAGTCATTGACATCATTGTTTAGACATGTCCTCCAATATAACTAGCGCCATCTACTTCAAGATTACACCGCATGCTTTGTATCCATATTGAAGGTCAAAGTTCATAATTTGAGAATTTTGTTTACTCAAGATCTGAGTTCTTTATTTTGTCTACTTTTTATCTAATTGCATCATTTATTTAGGGCATGAAACGATTTCATGTGAGGAAAGAAATAGTGAATGCATTGAAAGAAAAGGGACTTTATGTAGAAACTACAAACAACCCAATGGTTGTACCTATTTGCAGTCGTAGTAAAGACATTGTAGAACCAATGCTCAAACCACAATGGTAGGTGTTTCCAATTTCAAGTTTCAAGACAGGTCTTATCTATTATTCTCAAGATTCATGCTATGTTTTTTTAGGTATGTGAATTGTGGCGAGATGGCGAAGAATGCAATAAAAGTTGTAGAGACAGGTGAATTGAAAATAATTCCAGAAATGCATATAAAAATTTGGAATCATTGGATGGAAGGTATTAGAGATTGGTGCATTTCAAGGCAGTTGTGGTGGGGCCATAGGATACCAGCATATTTTGTAACATTGAAGAATCAACCTTCTAACAAAAATTCCCCATCTGTAAGTACTGTTAAAAATACTCCATCGCATATGTTCCCACCGCCCATCCTTTCTAAAAGCATACCATACATAAAAGAATTTTATATTTTAGGGAGATGATAGTGAACATTGGGTATCTGGTAGAACAAAAGAAGAGGCCATGGAAAAGGCAATAAAAAAATTCAATACCACTGAAGATAATATCGTTTTGGCTCAAGATGAGGATGTGTTAGACACCTGGTTCTCATCTGCATTGTTTCCATTTTCTATTTTTGGTTGGCCAGAACAAACTACTGATCTTAAAGTTCTATACCCCACTTCTCTTCTTGAAACTGGACATGACATTTTGTTCTTTTGGGTAGCCAGAATGGTGTTCATGGGTCAAAAGTTGATTGGAAAGTTGCCATTCAAGTAAGTATTCTATTAACAGTAAAATAACTGTTTAAAATTTGCATTGCACAGTTTGGAACTGTAAAGAAATATGAAGTTTCTAAGGCCAATATATCTGCCTACTGAAAAGCATCAACTATGAACTCCAAAGTTTTACTTTCTAGGGAAGTGTACTTGCATCCAATTGTTAGAGATGCTCATGGACGAAAAATGAGTAAGTCCCTTGGAAATGTGATTGATCCCATGGATGTTATACATGGCATATCACTAGAAGATTTACATAAGCAATTATACGATAGTAATTTGGATCCAAGGGAGATCGAGAAAGCAAAACTAGGACAAAAGCAGGATTATCCAGATGGAATTCCAGAGTGTGGTAAGACAAATTCTAACGTCCATTTTTACTGTAATGTATAGATATAAACTTTCAAATTAATATTTCTCTGTATGTATCATTTTTCTTACATTATGTTTTTAATGGTTGAATGTTATTTTCAGGTACTGATGCGTTGCGTTTTGCTCTCTGTGCCATGTGCTCAGGCAGAGATATTAATTTGGACATCCTGCGTGTCCAGGGTTACCGATTCTTCTGCAATAAAATCTGGAATGCAACTAGATTTGCTCTGTCATACTTCACATACAATTTTGAGCCACCTACTGATAACAGATTTATCGGAAATGAGTGCCTTATGGACCTGTGGATGTTGAGCAGGCTGGCAACTGCTGTCAGTGAGACTAACAGAGGTTTTGAGAGTTATGATTTTGGTCTTGCTACTACGGCCATTTACAACGTCTGGTTGTACGAGCTTTGCGACGTGTACTTGGTAAGCTTGAGAGACAAGTAAAATTTGGTTGGTGTGTCCCACAGGTACATCAGTATTTGAATTTGGATTGGACTATGACATTTGATATTGCAATGTAACATTTAGAGTCCCGAGAATTAATTATGGATCGTTTTCCGATTGAGGAATGCTTACGAATTGTACAAACGTTCCATAAAGTTATTCCCATTTTTTTATGAAAAACATGATGGTGGAAGAGTGAATGTTCATGTTACCACAAGATGGGGCCACCTGTGATTGGACTAAACTTTGAAAATGATACCCATTTCTTGGTAAACGCGTGATTTCTCTCAATAGTGATGCCAACTGTCTTTCGAGATCATGCAATCTAATATTTAGGTCTCTTGTTGGGATTCATCAAGTGTCATAGCTACTGAAAAATGTTAGTCAAAGAATGATCATCTGTAGAAACAGCTGAGGGGCATTTCTAGATTATTTATAAAAACGTACTCTTAAATTTTGATAATACAGGGTGGCCAATATGTAACTGATTTACGTTGTACCTTAAATATTTTTGAAATGAGATAAGATACGTCAATTTTTTCCATCTTATCATTTTATTGAAACTTAGATATTATGGATAAAAAATAATATCACACAAATGTCCACATCTAGAAGCCGCGTAAACCTGAGCCCTCTTGATTACATTTTCAATCACTTGTTGGTAGGTTTCGGGAGGAATATTTTCAATCGCTTCCATAATATTGTTCTTCCGCTGCTCTAGAGTATTTGGTTTATTGGCATAAACCCTATTTTTCAAAAATAATAATAATAATAAGTCTTTTTTAAAATAGTGCAGGGAATACCCAGTTTTTGAGAACGATGTCTGGTAGACGTCTCAGGGCGCTCCACTACACTTTCTCTCTCTCGTTATTTTCCAGAGTACGAACAGTTCGAACACGGCCCAACCTTGGCAAGTCTTTAACTTCACCTGTTTTTCAAATTCCCGCACCAACTGATGAATAGTGTTGACCCTGGGCACATTATTTCGACCGAAATCGACTAATTATTTAAGTAATACGTTTTAACAAAACTGACGCGTTGCGGGATCGGGTAGCGCTCCATGATGAATTGGACATATGTGCTTTAAACAACTACTACGGCGCCACCTACTGAAATGCGTGTATCAAAAATGGCGCGCAATTTAAATCAGTCAGTTATATATTGGCCACCCTGTATAACCATATTTACTGAAATTGTTGATTTTATTTAAAATTAAACTCCGGAAGTACATATCAGGACACGCTTTGGCTTCAATAATTTCCAGGTTTTTCTTGCTTATCAAAATTTCCATGAAGCAATAAATTATCGTACGTCATGCGCGATAGAATAGTGTGCCTTTTCTGACGAAACTGATATTAATTCTGTTCCTTCACATTAAACAAAACTATTCTTTCAGGAATGTTTGAAGCCAGTTTTTGCTGGAGAGGACGAGGAAGCAAAGAAAACTGCCCAGATCACCCTGTATAGAGCACTAGAAGTTGGTCTACGACTGCTTTCACCATTCATGCCCTACATTACCGAAGAACTGTATCAACGACTCCCTAGATCAAAAGATGTTGCGAAAATCCCTAGCATCTGCGTGGCACCCTACCCTGAATCCAAAGACTGTAGATGGAAGAACGAGGATGTTGAAAGTGAAGTAGAATTTATGCAGAAAGTTGCAAAGAGCATAAGATCTGCAAGAAGCGATTATAATCTTCCGAATAAAACTAAAACTGAAGCTTACATCCAGTGTTCCGAGGATACAACAGCTGAGATAGTCACCAACTATACGTCCGCTTTACAGACCTTGGCATACTGCTCGAAAATTGCAGTGAATGAAGAATCTCCAAACGGATGTACGATCATCACCGTTTCCGATAAATGTGAAGTGAATCTGCTCTTGAAGGGGTTAATCGACCCTGTGAAAGAAATAGCTAAGATCCAAAAGAAAATCGAGTTTTTACACGGGACGGAAGAAAAGCTGAAAAAGGCAATGACAGTTGCAGACTATGAATCAAAAGTCCCATTGGAAGTGAGACAGGCTAACGAAGAGAAGTTGAGTCAATCCACCGCAGAGCTTACTAGGCTAGAGGCAGCTCTTCAATCTTTAAAGTTGATGTAATAGTATACTGTAGGTTTTGGTACTTTTTTAAATATATCCTGGTTTATAAGCTTAAAAGCTTTAATAATTTATTTATTTATTGTTTGCAATCTTTTCTTGGTGATATATACTGTGTAATGCATTTTGTACCAAACTTCAGTATTATTTTGACATATTTTGCTATGAAATTTCTGACACAAATATAATTTCCAAATGACATCGATGTTTTCATTTCCCCATACCTTTCCTTTTTTAAAAGGCGTCCTGTTTTGAGGACGTGCTAGCTGGCGATATTGACACGATACTATGTGAAATTCTGTTGCATTTTGGGCGAATTTATGTGAGCGTGTGCGCTGGCCACAGGCAATGTTATCACGTGGCTGACGGCTATTTCACGAGTATCCATCACGCTTTGACGTCTACTGAGGTCAACAGCTGATCAGCAAGTGACATTTTTCTGTTGGTCTGCGACGTTGGCAATAATGAATCGGGTGTAAATCTAGTTAAACTTGTTTGTAGCGTTTTATTTTTTGTAGGCAAACGAACTTTTCTAAATAAAAGAGATATCGGCAAGAACAAAATGAATCTGTGGCGTACAAAAAAAAACAAAATATGGCTCTGACTACCTGACGTTGACGGATCCATCAGAGTTATGTGTCCTGTGCCTATATAGGGAATTTTAAGATACTAGATAATAAGCTGTCATTCTACCGTGATGGATACTCCTAAAATAGGAGGAATTTTTGTCAGGGGGATTACTGAGACATCGGCAAGAGGAAACTTTGTATATTATGATCATGTACCAACGTCAAAAAATGTAAAAAGCGAGGGATACTAATAAGTTCTCCGGAGAGGTGAGTCTTAAATATAGCACACGAAACTATGCTCAAGATATAAATTTTAGAGGGCAGCCGTTATTTCGGCACATCTCTCTCCGCAATTCAGATCTAGAGAGGTATTTTCGCGGGTGTTTAGATAAGAAAAAAAAAGCACACGCCACTCGTCTTTGCTTAAAAAAACGGAAACCCTATTAAATATATTTTACAACTTAAGCGGGAGCCTTGTCTCCCCCAAAGGGCGCCCATGGGAGGTGTGTTACTGTATTCTTATTGGTTACATCTTTGTCTTACTCGGTTTTCGAAGTCTATTCGTTATTGTCTGTCAGCGGTCCGTAGGACCTTTGCTCTGGGTTAAAGTCTTGTAAGTTAGTAGGTGTAGTTGCCCAGATACCAGACAAAGTCGGGGAGAAAGAAAGGAAGGAGAGAGAGAGAGAGAGCAAAGAAGTGCATCAATTTGAGGGGTGCCTTGGCATTGCTAACTAGTATTCGGCAATTTTAAATTGATCCTAAAATTAATTCAGTTGTTGATGAAAAATTATACCTTTGGTTGGACCTAGTCGCACGATTTAATTTTGTTTTACAGTGCGAGCCGCGGCCTTGTGTACTTGCGAACTTACTCGACTGTGTAGTTCGGTTTTCGAACTTAAATACCGGATTATCTCCTATAAAGCCATCTAGACATTACTCAAGCAAAAAAATTAGAAATCTGATATTGCTAAATGCAACTCAATAAAGAAATAGGCAACCTTTGAAAACAACATTGGAATCTTGTGTCTGACGATGTCCAATGTATTATCAGACCCAGCATTGGTATAGCACCGATTAACGTATTCTGCAGGTGGAATACGTAAATCAACGGTAATTGGTAACAGCTGAAGTACACTTTTATAATAGATTTTATGCTTACCTGATTCAGAAGCAATTTCTTAATTTTGTTTGAAGTTATCTTGACAAAATTTCGAACGTAAATTCTCTGCTTCTATTGTTTTGTTAGTTGAAAAAATACTGAATTGATAAATCATGATTAGCAAATCAAAGAAAAAGAAAAATTGTTAAACGGTGAAATATTAGTACATATTAGAATATTTAACGGTCATGGCCGCATTCATCAGAAAGTCATCACTACGTTTACATGTGCTCCTCAAAATGGCTTGACATACAGTTACACCTCATGCATGTACAGGTCGACATATAAACGTAGTAATATCAATGTGAGCGGTCGCTCGAGTGTCGGTGAACACAACCAATCTTAAATAAGAAAAAATTAAATTCTTGTTTGTGAAACGTTTAATCTACACAAAAAATAATAAATATTTTCAATACAAAAATGATACGTAAAAATAATAAATAGTGGTAGTATTAAGGCACAGCTTTTATAGGAAGAGTGAGTGTAAATGATAAAACATATTTTGTATAAAACTGGATATAATTTATGTATCAACTATGTGTACATTTTTGAATAATACACATGAATCTTACAGTTTCGGCTTATAAACAAAATATACAAATTAAACAACATGTAAAATTTTTGTGCTCTTCATTATACAGTGGTAAAGTAAAAATAAATTAAGGGGGTTTGGATCATAATAGAAAATGGTCATTTTGTTCATATTTTATATTTATTATAATAACTTGTATCATGTAACATGAAACAACAAATGGCTTGTGCTTTAATACTTGCAATAAAAAGGATAATGTACAACATGTACGATCTATAAAAAACATATAATCGATATATAAAAAATAAAATAATTACACAACTATTACAATAAAATCTCTTTTAAGTAAATTTATACTACACTGTCCGTTGGACAACGAGTTTAAAATAAATCTGTACATAATAAAAATAATGGCTCTCACAACAATAACTGATAAAATTGCACTCAAGCCATTTGTTCTGTACAATATTTTTGATGGATCTATAACGAGTCTAGCTATCAAAATTGTCAACACGAGTTAATCATTTTAAATGAAATATATAAATTATTAGTACTATATGTATATTCACAGATACCATAATTACAATATGTACAAAAATATGATTACACGTCCGCGCCGTAATTGACTTTGTACACCGAAATTATGAAGTACAGGATGTTATCACACTTTGAAAATTTTCTCGAAGACTCAGCTCTCTAAATGGTGCTCAACGTTAGAAACACAATTCATCACTAAATTATGCTCTCATACTACATTTATCCTAGTTCAAGTACGGCTATCAATTACAATAATTCATTGGATAAGAAAAATGTTTTTTACTCAACAAGTGATTCAACTAGACCAACAATGAGTTTGAATTGTGTATAGCTGTTTTTCTTAGATTCATTGCGTAACTTTAGAGTATTTCTTTTAGCTACATTTGATTCAAATATTATTTTCATAATAATTATTTTACAACAGTCTTGTATTTTGGAATAACCTCAATTGTTTTTATTTGTATATATTTTTTAGGTTTCTATCAATTTACTAATTTTGTGCACGAGATATACAAAATAAGGTAGTTAAATAATAAAACCTATTCTAAAGAGATCAAAACAAAGAGAGCTCGCGCACAATTTTTGTTTTATTTTGATATTTGTCAAATTATAGCCAGAAAAAACATGGATCAAGGTTTTACAGATGATTTCATAGAAGATATTTGAAGTGGAATAAATATAAGTGATCAAAGGTCATGTGAAAACACATTTTAACATAAGCAATATTGGAAGCAATGATCTACTATGACATTATTCAACTTAAAATTCAAAATTGAAAACGAGATAATGAAACGCTCTGGACAACAGGCATTAAAATACATTATTTATGATTAGAATCTCCATCTTAAATTGACCTCCAAGATCTCAACAAACATGTGAGTAAATCAAAGTAAAATACATATTAAAAAGAATATTACGAAATTAATTTTTGAATAAGGCGATTTTGGTCCCTATTGAGTTTATGCACAATTTCTGCAAATGTTCAGTATGATGAAAAAGAAAAAAACAAGGATGCCACAATTTTTCATACCTATACTTTTTTCATACAGCTTCGAAAAGCCAAATGGAATAAATTGTCAGTTTAACACGATAGGAATGAAGGTAACGACCCTGAATTTTCAAATGGGTAGGTGATACATCTTTTTGAAGGTATTTTTAACTGTATCATTGTTATTAGATCTATTGCAAAAATTGAGGATTAAAAAATAAAATCATTTGAGCGATATTTTTTCTGTCAACTAGCCGATTTGTAAATTCAGGAGCATTGTACTCACATTACTGAGGGTACTAATAATAGAAAAGATTTTTTTACGTAATAAGATGTAAGTTTTCAAGGTAAATTCGAGCAGTTTTGGTATTTTTCCTAAATATGAACAATAATCGAAATACCGATTTTATTCAACACTGCATAATTTGGTTATTCCAGGGTATACTCACCATTACCTCACCAACATTTTGCACCATTGAGAAAACACAATCTCATATAAAAGTAGTCAAAATTAAATATCCAACCTGTACAAGACATGTGCTCATTTAGCCTACACATTCACTAGACAGCTTAACAATGTGGATCGAAACAAGTGAATAGCAGCTAGCCTAGTCTGTACAAGTCTGCCTCACTGGTCACCTAACTTACAATATATTACAAGGCGGTCATGGAAAGAACTGCATTTAGCTACATATAAATTCGCAAAAAGTAACATGACTCAGTCCATGAAGGAGCTTACCAGAAAAAGGTTCAATTATTGCAAAAAAAAAAGTCAGTACAAAGCATGATTAGAGATAAAAGTCGTGAACGAGTGGTCAACAAGTTCAAACATACAGATAGAAAAATGAATGATTATGTTCACTTGCATCAAGCAGCTGAGGTAATTGCCATTCAGCACCTGAGCTAAAGAATAACACAGTATTTAGCTTTGTATGAATTTATAAAAGTGCTGTAAGACATCACCGGTCAGCTGTAACGTTGTAGTCAAGCAGTTGCATTGGCGTAGACTACAATTTAGCTGGATTTGTTCATTTTTTGGTTGCCGCGTCAAAGAGCTTATTGTTAAAATAATTACCTGGAGTCAGGTTTGATCCATATTTGATGAGTGTGCAAGATACGCCCTCATTTTTTCCGTTTATGAAATGTATGATAGAAAATAAATAAAAATTACTTGCAATATAAATTGATACCCTGCTAATGACAACTGTACTACTCGTTGCCGAGACCTTCACGGAGGGATTTTGATAAATTACAACACTTTTATACCTATAACCAATAATTCATCATCTGTGCTTTCATTCACTGTCCAATTTATGAAAGACCAAATAGAAACATGATGAAATGATACATTAATTGCTCGTTCACACATTTTTCTAGACCATGTTCTCGACGTCAGCCTTCCGTTTCACTCGTACCAACAGAACCTTTTCCAGATAAAGACATCAAGGACCGAGTCACGTTGTTCATACTGCAGCTAGCTCTTAGATCTTAATCATCTGTAATATATGAAGAAACTCGCAATCCTCACCTTGACCAAGTATTCACCTATATTACACTAATTATCATCTAACTTCACAATCTTTAGTGAGCTCCATTTTTGGGGCGGTGGCAGGTTCCACCGCACTACCTTTTTCTTGGGCGGGAGGTTGCGACACCTCGATGGAGGCGGGCGGTTTAGTAGGGGGCGGCGGCTGCCCCGGTTGCGTCGCCTGCATTTCCTCTTCTTTTTCCATGCCAGGGATCGCGCTGACATGTTTCATCACGTACGATCCCTCCTGGCACCGAGACAGCTTCAACTTAATCGGCGTCAGCTTCGGCGGTTCGTCGCTAGGTGGGGTGCATCCACTGCTACCCGGCAACTCGCTTTCCTTCACACCGCACGCACTTGCAGTCCGTTTGTCACTGTCCGCGTCATCACAAGTCCGTTTCTCGCACTCGTCGCTTTTCTTACCGAACCGAATGATGAGTTTCGTCGACGTTTCATGGTTCGCGATAATTTGTACCTCGCTGGGGAGTTTCTTTTTCTTCTTCTTCTCACTGCGGTCTTTCTTTTTATGTTTGATTTTCAGGTCTTTGCGCATCATCTTCCTGAACTTCATGCTCTCTCGCTTGAGATCTTCCACGGAGGGCGTCGCCAGGGTGACGTGGCGTTTTTTCGGAGGGCGTATTCGGTCCTTTTTGTCATCGGAACCTTCGGCGCCGATAATGCTGTTCGTCGCTTCACCTATTTTTATCCTAACCTTGGGTGCGGTAGGCTGTTGCGTGGACCTTGGTGGCCTACCACGTCTCTTTCCGGCTGTCAAACTATGATCTAAGCTGCCGGATAGGCCAGAGTTGCTGCCCACGGAACCTATGCTCCTCCGCCTCTCCAAATGGCTGTCGTCCGAAGACAATTCTAGCTGCCGCAACTCTCTCGACAGGCCTCCAGGTCTTGTTTTGGACTCTTTTTTGTGATGCTTGGTTTCAATGAAATCGTCAGTGTCCGTTCTATAATCCCTATAATCCTCCTTTGTGGGAATACTAGTCATGGAAGCCACAGCCTTCGGAATAGTGATGATAGTACGATTGACAGGTGGTGCTGCAGGCGCAATGTACCCAGGATCGTCCATGTTCATATCCTGAGTCAGGTACTTGCTCAACAACTCTTTCTTCCTCATTCTACGCAAACTGGACGTACCGCCTGAAGGTATATTCACTGATGTGCTACCTAACGCGTTGCTCGTTATCGAATTTACGCTTGGTACGACTATTGCATCGACATTAGTAGGTGCAGCAACGTTTGAAGTATAGTTTGCTATAGGTCCTTTGATTTTAACTTTAAGTTGATTCCTTGAATCTGATAACGATACTTTAATGTTACTACTAGTTATTTCTGTAACAGGTGGTGGCTCGGGCTTTTTAGCAGTCAAAGCAGACTGTAACTCTTTCTCGAAATCATCGTCAATATCCTGCACTCTAGTTTCAGCGGTACCGATAGCGAATGCACTGAGAAGATTTTGTTCATTGTAGTTTTGTTGGTCAAAATTGCTATTATACGTCCGCATATCAACAGGACCAGGTAGCACAGGCGTAACATCAGGGAATATTTGGGGCGGATCGTTATCAGAACTAGTAAGAGAAACATCAGTCTTTGATCTGCTGTCTTCGATAGGCGTAGGCGGCCGCAGTTCTCTCAAGTCAGCATTGTAGGTACGTATTTTATGTGATGTCTGCGAAGGACTGGAGAATTTGGGCGACTTTGGAGATTCTTTCGATGACGAGAATGGTTCAAACCTCCTTTCATGGATATCGATGGATTTCCTTCGCTCCCTCATGGATTTCAAATCTGTCATATTATCGTTGGACATATCATCGTCAAAGTCCAAATCATATACGGTTCCGACAAGCTTGTTATGTATCGTACCGCCGCTAACGAAGTCGAAATCTCCGAAGCTGGTGCCTCTACCTCTTCCCCGTCCTCTGCCTCTACCTCTAGATGCCGATACCGTTCTAGAAGTTCCAGATTTCCCAGAACCCCTTTTACCTTCACCTCTGCCCCTACCAGGACCACTTTGTTTCAATGCCGTTTCTTGCCTGGGACTCTTTCCAGGACTCTTAGCAGGTGATTTATTTTGCTGTTGAGAAGTGACTCTAGCTGAAGATCTAGTTGGTTTAGTAGGAGACTTCTTCCCAGCAGAACTGTTTGATTTCGAGGAAGTACTGGGCGATGGTAACGTACTAGATGCAGTAATGCTAGTTGCCACAGTTGTCGGAACCTCTTCAGCAGATGTAGTGGGAATAGGCTGATTGCATGCGGATAATTCCGCATTCGATAATGGTTGGTGATCTTGCATCAACGTATCTTCTAACTTATCAACTGGAATGGGAGTTGGCGTGGTTGTAGGTACATTGACCATAGCTGCTGTAAGTGCCATATTGTGCTGTGAAGAAGTGAATGCTGCAGTACATGGTGATGGGAAAGGCATAGTTGTTTCTTCTGTTGGTTTCGTAGGGATTGGCATCGAATGAGGTGGAAACGGAGCACCAAACGCTGGAGGAAACATCGTTCCTGCACTCGCAGGAGGAAAAGGTAACTGAGCATTCATATTCAAAGAAGGAATTAGACTAACCGGATAGCAAGATTCTGCGTATCCCCCAAAGTTCTCCATAGAATTTGGAGGAAATGGCGGAACTTGTGCAGGCAAATAGGTCCCCATATCCATAGAAGTATGGTTAATCATCCGTGCTTCAGGTAGCTTGACTTCGTCCTCTTCCCTCCTCGAACCAGAGCTAGACGTGGAAGCAGCAGAACTAGTGGAGGACCTACGATTCGGCATTAGCTCACAATCAGCCCATTTGGCTTGCGGATGAATGTTCGCATACGGCATCGGACTCGACATGCAATCCATCGAAGCTGGATCTATCAAAGGAGTTTGTGAGATTTTTCTGTCTATCCTCTCATGCAACGAGGGTGACTGAGTTTTTAGCGATTCTTCTCGTAACCGCACATCAAGTTGTACGGGTAAAGAATTAAGCTGTTCCTCTGTTATTCGCTGATCTACCACTTGATTGGTGACATGGTCCACCGGCGGACCCTTTTTGACCTCTTGTGGGATAGCGTTGGGGTAATTTTCTATGTATCGAGTATCCATAGTGAGCACCGAATCATTCAAATAGTTAGCAGGATCGACTGGTTGTATGTTAGGGTAGTTCGCCGAGCTTGGAGGTACCCATCGCTCATCACCTTGAACGGGTGCGTTGTGATCTGTGGCTGCACCGTGTTGATCGGAAGGAATGTTTTTGTTAGATTCGCTCGGCACGCTATCACAGTTGAGGTAAGGATACTCTGAACGAGGCTGGGGCTGTTGAGTGACGTTTTCGAACGGCGCTGTTATAGGAGGTTGTTCTATCGTGGCAGGTTCTATTTCCATGTTCACGTCCGACTTGTCCGAGTCAGGCTTAGACAGAAGCTCAGTTTGAGGCTCGGCTATTGATTCGGGTTCTGAATAATTTGCTGTCTCATTTCTTGACGCAACATCATCACCTTCACCACTTGTCGATTTCTTTGACATTCCCATTCGAAGTTTCTCCACGAGATTCAAGGTTTCTCTAGCGCTATCTTCCTTTGTATCTTCTTTCACAATATTCCCGCTATTAAAGTAACAACTGAGAGAACCTTTCATAATTTCATCATCCTTGGTTATACCGATTTCTTCTAAATTTACGAAATCCAATAGGTCATCTTTGACTTGAGGCTGAGGCGAGAATATTGATCGATTTTGTAACACCTGATTTTGCTGGACTTTGGCATTCTTCTTTTCCATTTCTAATTCATTCAACAGTGTTTTAGTAACATCTGCTGACACACTGAAAACCTCTTCGTTCTGTCTGTTGTATAAATCATTGGCTTTATGAGTTTGTAAGTGATCATCTACAATTTTATCTGCTATACTAATTTCGTCTGATTGTTTTTGATGCCTTAGTGGGGAATCCAGCTTGTTCTCCTTACTTTCACTGTTAAGTAGCTTGTTGGAGAAGATATCGTCTATCGATCGGTATTTGGTGGACGACTTTTTGTTGCCTTTTCTGTCGATTTCTTTCGTGTCAGTCGATTTTTCTACTTCTTTGGTTTTTATTGATTGAGATTTGGGGAGGGTTTCTTGGATTTCTGGTGTCGGAGGCCTGCGAGGCGTAACATTTTCTTCTATTTGTGGAGTGGGTTTGTCTAGTTTTGACTTATCAGTCACTTTAGAGAGCTTTTCTGGTGATTTTTCTCGCGTCTCCAAAGACGAAGCGCATTTTTCTGTAGGCGATTTATGCTTCTCAGTAGGGCTAGACTTCTCAGATGACAGAAGTGTTAGTTTCTCTGGTGCTATCAATGGTTTTTCGGAGATCTTTGTAGGCTTTTCCGTTTCTTGTGGCGTTGGAGGTTCCTTTTTGAGCTTTTCAGATTCTTTGCTCTTATCACCGAAAAGTTTTTCAAATGCCGAAGATTTGTTCTTAGGCGTACCTTCCTTGCCAGCTTTTCTTTCGAGAATTTCTTTTTCTAACTTGCCGATTTCCGGCTCATTTTCTTTCACGTTCTTGTCCTTTTTCCTGATCGGAGAGTGCAATTGTTTTCCTGGTGCGGCAGGTGTCTCTTTCTCATTTCTCTGGGTGGACTTTTGCTGTTGATGCGCTCCTCTCTTTGACTGTCCGTCCATACCGACACGTTTGCCATCAGACAAATCTCCAGGCCTGACATTAGCATCTCCGACCCGATCACTAGGTTCGGATGTACGGGTAGAAGGTGCCCGCCTTCTAGGGGGAGCTCTTCCGCGTCCCTTGTTAGCGGGTTGCTGTTTCTTCTGTGCTGGCCGTTCCTCATCGCTGGAGGCGGACGAAGCGGAGGAGGACCTGCGTCCGGAAGTGGGCACCTTGTCAAGAAAGGGCCACTCCTTGGCGGTGGTGCTCCGCTTGGCCGTTGGCTCCCCAGAGCCAGAGGAATGGCCCTCCGATCGCGGCTGTGCCTGCTGTTTGGCTTCTTTCTCATCCTCGTCATCGTCAGTATCGGAACTCGAACTCGTCGAGGAGTCTGAGGAGCTGCTCGAACTGGAAGACGAACTACTGGTTGAGTTCGTGGAAGACTTACGTTTAGACTCGATTTTGGCGGGAGCAGGCTTCACGTCCGGTTCTTTCTTCGAAGGTGGTTCCTTCTTCACTATTTCCGGGTCTTTTTTAACACTCTTGACATCACTTTCTTTCTTCGAACTCTTATCAACCTCTTGATTAGATTCAGGCGCTTGCGTCGCTGGAACTGGCTTACCTAGCCCACTCTTTATATGCTCTGCAGCTTTCTTGGCAGCTTGTCTTTGAGGAACATACGCCAATAGCTCTTGTGCATCCTTTTCCGCCTCAGTCAGCTCAACTTTAGTTTCCCTTTTTCTGTCTTTACTCTCTTTCACTTCCTTCTTTGCCTCCTCTTTCGTCTTTTCTTTTTCCTTCTCTTTTTCTCGTTCCTTTTCTTCCTCTTTCATGATTTCTTTATCAGCTTTCTCTTTACTACTTTTCACTTTAGCTTTAACTTGCTTGCTCTTATCTTCGACCTTGTCTTTACTAGCCTCAGACTCCGGTAGATCTTTAGCTCTTGTAACTGTTGTAGTTTTCAGATTCTCCGAAGCTTTCTTAGCAGCTTGGCGTTGAGGAACAATCAAATCAGATGGAACATAATCTTTCTTCTTAGTGTCTCTTTTATTACTATTATTATTCGGCCTCTTTTTAACCTCAGGACTACTTTTCTCAGGGCTACTTTTTGCTGCAGCATCACTTTTAGACGTCGAAGGTTTGTGCGAGAATTCCTTCACTGCCGCTTTAGTTCTTAACTTGCTCTCGTCTTTCGCACTTGATTTGCCGTCTTTCGTAGAAGCATCCGAACTGTCAGAGTCAGAATATATTGACGACATTGACTTGATGTTTTTATGATTATCACTTTTCCCGCTAGTCCGAATAGGCATCAAATCGTCACTATCACTGCAAGAATCACCTAGTTCTTTTTCTACTTGGCTCAACCGCGATTTCGATCGTTTCCAATCTTTTTCCATTGGTTTATCATCCTCCTCATCTGTTGTCGTGACATCTTTGTTTTCCGATACAGGCAGCTTCTTTTGCCTCCGCTTTTCAGCTGCCTTCAACAGATTATTCTGTTTTCTTGGAGACACTTTCCGCTTATTGGAAGTAGGCTTTTCATCTTCTGAACTGCCATGTAATCTGTTTTCCTTGTTATCTTTGGGACGTTCGTCACTGCTTCCGTCGCTGGACATACTGCTGCCGTACATGCTGACGCTGCGCCGTTTGGAAGAACCGTTGAAGTATACTTTCTTGTATGGGTTGTTCTTGACATCCTTGAAAAGACCATTGATCTCAGCTTTGGATTCGTCGCCAGATTGTGGAGGTGATTTCACTCCCGCGATCCTAGCGAGTATTGTGTCAAAGTCAGCGGTGTGATCTTCAGCGTCGTTATGTGAGTAGAGACGATCATATATCGAGGGACCGTGGTTGGCCTCGATGACAGCATCTACAACTGTCGAAGCTAGATTGTTTGTAGCGTCAAGCACGGCAGCTTGTTTGTGGAACGTTTGCTCGCGCATACGGAAGAAAGTCCGCGAAAGTTTTTCGCGCCTGCTCACCATATAGCACAAGTTCCTCACTCGCTCCAGGTCTTGTCGGAGTTGGACGAACATCTTCATCTTCTCCAGGTCGGCTTGTTCGCGTTTCTGAGACAGCATGTCCACGTCTTCCGACTTTGGAGGTAACAAAGGCTTGTTGTGGCCAGCCTTCCTCTTCAGCTTCCAGTAGTTGTAGATATATTGAAGCGCCTCGTTGTCGATATCTGTATGTATAGAGACATCGGCAACCGTAACGTGTTTGAAAAATTCAGCTTCGATTTCCTGAAGTCGGATTGCTCGAGCTTGATTCTTCTCCTCGGAGGTCATGTCCTTGCGCTTCTTCCGTTTGGACTCGTCGTCTTCCCCGGAACCTGAGCAAATGCTCTTTTCTTTTTTACTAGATTTACTGTGCTTCTCACAGTAAGACCTGAAATAAGGTGAGTTTATTTAGTTTTTACCACCTACTTCATTTAAAAATTCGCGAATTAATTTACGAATTGGCTTGTTTTCTCCAGTTTTGGTATTAGACAATAAGTCTCTATGGCACAGAAGTTGAAGGATTTACTGTTTAGGTGGATATAATATATATCTTAACAAATACCAGGACTGCATCTAATGTACTTTTGTCATCATTAGCCAATAGACAAATTATGTTCATGGGTAATTGGTGTTTGTTACGATTAACAAGGTTTGCCTTGCGTGAGGATTGTTGCTAAAGATATGATTTAATTCAGCAACTGACTCACATGTGGAAGTTAGAGTATCTGCTAGCCCAATCATGTGTAAATGAGCAGAGAATAGATCCCTGGTTATGATTGAACAGCATCTCTTGTTACATTATTATTGTAATGTTTGGTATATTTTTTCTTTTGCATATTCGGATATAAGAAAAAATGTGAACTTTTAGGTTCCCTGTCTTTTAACAATATTTCCCAGTAAATGATCATATGAATCCACAAGTGAGAAGTGAAATCGAATCGAATTTCTATTGGATAATAATAGAACAGGCAGCAGTGGTGGCTGCAGTGGTAGACACTTCGGTCTCCTGATCAGTCGCCGTGCGCTGCGCGGGTTTGAATCCCGTCCCAAGAAAAATGTTTCTCTTGTTGTTGTGATTGTCCGTAGGTGGTAGACTGTCTCTGACTGTCTTACGCGTCCACCCTTTCCCCATGTATCCCCCTATAGCCCCACGGCACCTCATGGGTGTTTAGGCCATAGGCCTGCGTGGTAGTTGGAGTATATAAAAAAAGAACGATCTGCAGGGTGTCCACATGCCGGAGCCCTCTGAAAAAATGGGAAAAACAAGTCATTTGGAAGAAAACATCGAGTTTTTTGTAAGGGAAAAACAAGTAGTTCAAAAGCTTTTCTCTGGTCATATTGAAATGAATGAAAAATGCTTCATCCCTATGTTGGGAGTGGGGGGGCTGCTTCCTTCGAACTGCCATGGTACATCAAATATCAAATGTTCGATTCATTATAAACCTAAGCATCTTGGAGTAGGAGAAAGGGAAAGAGTGCTCACTGTATTGTAAAACATTTCAAAATAGTAATAGATGAACAAAAAGCAGAAAAAATATATAGTGAAATCGAGAAATATGAACCAGTGGAAACCCTGATAATCCAGTGATTTACTGACGCAACACAGCTCTGTAAATTTATTACCTACTAACCAGATGTGTTTGTCAAATCAACGTCAGATAGCGCTGAAGTTTAAAATTGTATGGACACTCACCGAAGTTTGACCCCATCATCAGCATTTTCATCTTCAATGATAGCCCTCATTTCCAATCCGTGCTTAAAGGCACAGGTCACGTGGTACGCCGTTTTGCAGGTCTTAACGGAACACTGAATACACGCGCCTACTCTTTCTCTACACAGCACGCATATCAAAGCCCACCTGCTACCAGGTATGCTGGAAATCTTCGTTATGGGCTCCATTTTTTCCACACAACCTATGCTCACCTACGAACAAGAAGATGGTATAGGTCTCTTCGCTTACTTTGGAGGGTAACATAAAACACATATATTTTTCGGTTTTGTTCTACAGAGACGAACATTTTCTCATTTCTATAATTATGCTTTTCACTGTCAGTTTGACAACTCACTTTCCATGGACAAGCTATGCAAGTAGCTTTTGTTGTTCTTTTATGAAAAATATAGCAATATCTCTAAGTGCAATTAGTGCACAATGCCGATAGTGTACTATAAAGAAAAAAAAAAAAATATGGCAAAAGGGGTACCGCGCAACTCGTTGAATTTATTTATTTAAGCAGATCTATATTAGGACCTTCTGATTAAAAGCCTTATGGGCACTAGGCTTTCAAGCAATCAAAGATTTAATTTGAAAAATATAGGTGTCCACCGCCACCATCAAATCCGAGCAGTACTTTGCAAGTTAAAGTGGGGTCAAGCATCAGCGGACATACAGACTGACGAAAATGTACATGACATATAACATTAAAAAAACATATATCATTTTCGATATGTTTCGCGATTACAATACTTCCTAGGCAGTAGCCGTATGAAGTAAAAGGGGGAGGTGAGCGTTTGCTGATTAAATATGAACAATAATTGTATGGTGCAAAGATGTGTTCCAGTGCGCAAATTAAAACTCATTTTGTTCTATGGTACCCTCAGCTACAACATCCGCAGATACCTGTATTCCTATCTCTGTGCAAACCAACACATATCAAAAACTGTTCATTATCGAACTTTGTACTCATGGAGACCGTCCCACATATTTTGTGCCATGATCTTTATTGTAGTATTTCTAGACAATGAGTGTGTTGCAAGAGCATGTGAAGGGTACAGGAAAATAACAGGGAATGTCCTAATGAACTGATTTTGAGAAAAACGCCGTTGAAAGTTTCAAAGTATATATATATATATATATATATATATATATATATATATATAATTTTGATGTTGACGTTGGACCTTTTAATTATTAAACATATTTAAATTGAACAAAAACAAAATGAAACAATTAAAAAACAAGTAATGTCCAATTCAGTTATCAGAATCTTTGGTTTTTGAATCATATTTTAGTTTCCTACAGTCTTTTAAACTGTAACAACTCAATCTTCCTTTAAATGAGTTTATACTTTTCCTTAACCTCTGGTGCAATTTTTTACGATTTTCATGCTCTTGTCTTTGATCTACTGGAGCTTTCTCTGTTGTTTTTATGATTTTTTGTAGATATTCAACCTTTTCTTTGATAATTCCATGAAGTGCGATAAACGCTAAACATACAGACACATCTTTTATAACATTATTGTTGATATCTTCATCTTTTACCCCCACTTTATAGCTGGATGCAGCTGTATGAAAATTCAACTTGCTGCTTGTTCTTCGTTTCACATCACAATCATTTCTAAGCCCTGACAAATACAAGTTCTGTTCACTGACACTACCCAATAAATTGAAATATTTAATAATATTTCTTGGATTATTTCCATTTATATTTTCAAAACTTTTGAACGTGTGCGACTTTCTTCTTTTGTTCATGAGAAGAAAGTCGCAACTTTTTCATTACATCTTCGGTTCTACCAGTTTTCTTTCTTTCATTTGTTGGTTTGTTAATAACACTCTGATTATTTTTATCATTATCTGAATCAGAAAACATATTCAACTTATTATTATACCGCAAACTTCATATAAATTCTAATCTCAAAATTACAACTGTCATTTGACGCTATCTGTTTACTTATTTTAAAGGCTAACAATTGGAAATTAAAATATCATATACAAGGATTTGCTTCCAATGGGAAACTAAAAAAAAAATAAAAATTGTGATATTCCCTGTTCTTTGCCTGTACCCTTTAAAGTAGCAACTACGTTAAAAATCGGCTTATACACTGGACAATTCTGCTTAGTTGGGAAAGTAAAGCTCAGCTCGTGGAACAGTATCACACAATCTCTAAAAAGACCTATATAAACGAATTTTTGCTAGACTGGATACAGGTAACAAAGCAATGATGGGTGGAATGGAATATAGAACAACTATGAAATAAACACTTACCTCTGGAATCCACAGGGCACAGGATACGTGGGCCCATTTTTGGCCTGACCTGGTACATTTCATAGCACCTCCTTTGTTTGGACACAGAACGCAATCTGGTCGTTTCCCGATATTGCAGGTACAACAGAGCCATTGACCTTTGGGAAAAAAGAAAATTAGTATCCTAGAAGGCATTGCATAGCAAACACTAGAAACAGGCACGTAGAGCATTTTAAAAATTCCAACCAATATGGTTTCCTGTAAGAAGCCACAACTAAAAAAAAATTCATTAATCATTATGATTAATATAGAATTTTTCGTGCCTGTTCATTCAATAAATTTGATAGTTGATGGTTGTCTTTGACATATCTTTCTTTTTGAAGGTAACTGGAAGGTTAATGTTACAATACTGATTCAGACTTTGTACTGAAGTAACACTATCAGTAATCAGAAAAAGTTACCTTCTGGAATTCGAGTAATGCCATAGCACGCTTGATGTACACATATATTGCAGCTGTCACAGAAGACCATTTCATTTCCTTCTTCACTGTCTGGCGACCGACAAACGTCACATATTACGTTCTCATCATATTCTATGCCCAGTCCTTCTTCATTTCGAAGTATTGACTATATAAAAATAGAACTTGTTACTCTAGTAAATGTAGATGCAGAAAATATACAGGTGTTCCAGAATTCGACGTCAAGCCGGAAACGGGGGATAGACCAAGTCTTAATAGTTATCAGGAAAATATAAAAAAAGTCGTGTATTTCTCAAATTATAAGATTTAAAAAAATCGGAACAATCGGAAAAATCTACACCTTGTGATGATTTTTCAGTAATCATTACTACAAATTTCAACTTTTTCTTAGATGGAGTGACGGACAGTGCATTCTACGTAATGACAGATAGTAACGCCACTTTCATCAATTTGTGAATGTATTTATTAAATTCACAATGAATGTTCAAACGGGCGAATCTTCAGTTAGCAACAAATTCTTCTGTTTCCGTTATTCTGTCCCATAGCTCAGCTGAACTTTCGATTGGCTTTGAGTAAACTTTTTCTTTCGACGCTTCCAGTAAAAAAATCGAGTGTTTTTAAGTTAGATGAACGGGCTGGTCACGAAATTGTACGAGGCCGCCCATCTGTTCGGGTATTCCCCATGTCTCTGTAAATGATTAGTGGCACGTCTTTCAATAAATTTTGTAAATGATTATATAAAAAATCTAAATATATTTCGCCATTCAAAAACTCTAGCAGCTCAAAGAGTACAATGAATAAAATCCCAATCCATATGTTCACTTTATAACGATACTGTAATCTATCTTGTCTCATCAAGTGTGGGTTTTCTACATGCCACTCGTGTAAGTTGTGTAGATTCATGTAATCGTCTTTTTTAAATGTTGACTCATCAGTTCATAAAACGTTCTATAAAAGTCGCCGATCTTCCCGGTTCGATTTTGGAGCCTCCCCTCTGAGACTATGCTGTGCACATTCACAAAATATCGGTTATCGGGAAGACGACCAGCGTTTGGGTACCTCTCACGATAAAGCTTAGCTGCAGCGGTAACATTACATCTACATTCCCCATAAATGAGGTGAATTCTTGTATGGTGTACAGAGATATGGTGGCACTACACAATCGTGAATTAATAAAAGTGGCGTTACGGTCTTGCTGTCACTACGTAGAATGACACTGTCTGTCACTCCGTCTAAGCAAAAATTGAAATTTAAGTAATGTTAACTAAAAGATCATCACAGGTGTAGATTTTTCCAATTTTTTTCAAAAGCCTCTAATTTGAAAAGTAGACGACTAAGATTTTTTTATATATTACTGAGAACTATTATGACTTGTCCTATCCCCTGGTTCCGGCTCGACTTCGACTTCTGTATTTTGGAAATCGATAATCTAGCAGCGAAGTTATCAAAAAATAAAGAAAGAAATATGTAAACGTCTTCAAACTTTGTCTTGTAGATTTTTCATCAGGAAACATCAACTGACACACTGCAATGTTTTTTGTTTTAAGTTCTACAAAGCAGGATTTTATAAACAATATGGAAGATGTAAACATATTTAACAAAAGATATTGAAAAATCAAGAAAGATGAGTTACTACATTTCTTTCATTTTAGCTAGCAATGATTGTAAACAGCAAACAGGGATTGAGTTACCCGAAATGGAACATGCTATTCCACAAATCAGCATTATTGTTGTCACTCCTGTTGTGACATGATATCCGAGAATATGCTCACTGTTATGGCAGCTGTGACAGAGGACAGGTAATCTTATTGCTCTGCCTAACGCGTTCTCTGATAGAATAACCAGGCTTTACAAAGAATACAAATTTTGCACAATTTTTTTAACAGCTAGGGCACGTTTCTTAACCAGATATTTTCATTTCTGACAACCTTCTTGCAATGTGACAACAGAACTTTATGCTCCGGTTCGGAAGTTTCTATCCTAATACGGATATTTTTCTGTAACTATACACATACACTTTTATCACAAGAGTGGTTTTTTATACTGAAGCCTAAATACCAGGGCCCGCGGCTGCTTTGAGGAGCTTAAACAAACTTTGTTAATCCGATTTTTGAACTGCATAAGTTTAGTAGAACTGGGAACAGCCTCCTCAGATAAAATGTTCAATCTCGATACCCTAGGGACAAAGGAGCGGTTGTATCGGCCAGTTCTGGATGTAAAGTTCGACACGGCTAGGAAGGGAGGCCAAAGCCTTGGCGTAGCGGCAAAAGCCAGGTAGAACAGCGACGACTCGTCGATGCGAAAAAGTCGCGAGACTGTTCGTTAGAGAAATTGGACAGCCCTCCTCAGAACAACATCAAACATAGATAATGTAGTAGGGGCAGCGGTACCCCAAGCATGTGAGGAGTACTCGAGGCTAGGTCTTATCTGGGCCTTGTACAGAGTGATGAGGTTCTGTCGAGAAAAGTAATTCTTAGCTCTAACCAAATAGCCTAGCTTTTTCCGGCAGCTGTCGCTATTGACGAGAGATGTATTAATACCAGATCGGTGATCTAGACTCCAACCCACCGAAATAAACGGCTTTTTGGTAGAATTCGGCCAGTCATCGAAATCGGATGAGCGCTAGTAGCGTTTTTGTTAGTTCAGGTACATTACCAGATTGCGCCTCTAAGCCATGATAACCTCCAGGTCACTCGTCGTGCTAGTCTTCTTTTCTCCAGCTCATTGGCTAGTCTGTATTCCTGCATGTAAAGTGGTCATCAACAAAGCTGAGGATCATATAGGAAAGGAGGCGCGATCCTTACGGAACACCCGCGTTGTCATTGTGGGATGAAGAGGAGAACCCGTCAATTGCGAAGGATATCTTGCGACCAGAGAGGAAGTCAGCCACTGATCTGCAAAGTTTCTATGGGAGGCCATAGAATGGAAGTTTGCATAAGATGGCAGCATCCCACAGCTGATCGAACGCTTTTGTGATATCAATGAGCCTCACAATATAACTGGATGAGTTTATTCCACTGTTGTATAAACGTAAGCTGAGGTCCCCGAATGCTAAATCTAGATTAAGTTATGAAGTTATGTTATTCAGAAACTGTAGTGACATGATTTTTTTTAATACAAAAGAGAACAATGAGAAATATTTTTGGTTTGAAGTTAATTGAATCATGAAAAGATTATAAAACTAAGTGCATTTAAAAAATATTATATAAAATATAACTAAATCTAGCACCATGCACATATGATGACTTTTTCAATACAGATTTGAATAATATGATATAGATCAAGATTTTATCGTTACTTTTGTTTGGTTGACGCTGTTTGTATCACAAGTGGTTTACGCTTTTGTATAGCATTTGTATTTGCAAATAAATATTACTGTCATTTGTATAGATGCCGCCACGCGTCGCGACAGCTTACATTACATTAAGTAGGATTCCAATAGTTCAGCAATCTGAGAAGCAATATATGGAAGTACATCGAAAATTTCAAACATGTATAGCAATATAGTAGCGCCATAATAAAAATATTGTCGTATATTGTTCGCTACTCTATTGCATCTAGATAATGTAGTGAAAGTATTGCCAGGTTAGGAGTTCCATTAGATGTCTTCAGGCAGTGTAATCCTACACATATCTTAGATACCCTGTAACAGCTGTTCCAGATGAGTGATTACTGTTGAAGACAGACAACAGGAGTGACGTTATTATAACTGTAGGTTCGTTTTCGCGGACACATTTCAACTATTGTGTTGGCTTGAAATTGCATTTTACTCCACAAAATTTCATGTTAACATTTTTTCATAACTATAAACTTTTCCATGTAGAATCCTTTAAAATAAAAGCAGAAACAAAAATATAATTTTCTTGATGAAAAAAAATTACCTGTATCTTTTCCCAGCAACACAACTCGAGCCTTTCCAATACTCGTTCGAGCTGTTCTTCGTAGATGGACCCCAGGCCGGCAGCGGCCCGTTCCGCATTCAGAATTTTTAGCCACGCCATGTCGCACTCGTCCAAGTCGTACGAACACGCTGCTTCCGATTGGGCCGGTGCATGCGATAAGGCGTGCTCTTCACTCTTGAAGTTTTCGTCTTTTGTTATGCGGATGTACTTGTTTTTTGGCCTGGAAATAAGAGATTTTTGGTTATTATGAATGAATAGATCGGAATAAACAACTTTAACAACTTATCCTATATTTTCTGATCTAGTACTTCCATAAGGGCAACCAAAACATCAGCAAAATAATTCATTTAATTTATAATCTGAAGTTTTACTTAGCCTGACCAGCGCAGATCAGTTGTATCAGTAAGAATTATAATCAAATGTTAATGCTTTTAAAGTGTGATTTTTATATATAACAGCACTTCAGACCTGCTTATACAAAGGGTACTATAAAAATTTTGCAATATGACAACAAACGGACGCAGGAGGTGTATAGTCAACGCCAAACAAAGTGGCGTGCACGTCATCACGATAAAAATTCCCCCGACCTAATGCCTAGGTTTCTATCACAAACAATTGCTCTATTGCAGTTTCATATTAATGTGATATATAAATTGTAAAATGGTCATTACTCTCTTATTATGGTTAATAGTCATATAAACATTGTTATTAAAATATCACATAAGTTGCTTTCTGATAAATTTAGACGCATTATGCGAAATAAAATGTTTTGCAAACGCTCCAATCACTTATCGACATGTAAACGCACTAAACCGATTTCGCAGCGTTGACACATTGTCACCTTGAAACTTATTTAAACTGGGAACTGACATTTGTATTAATTTTGACACTGAATCAATTTGTGGCATTTCAAATCTTTATAAATCCTTTGGCCCCGCATACTGTAAATCAACAACTGTTTGTTTCAAAACAAAATTATTCATTTTACGAGTAGATAAAGGCAATTTTGGTATATAAAGATGCCCAAACAGTTAAATAGTCGGTGTAAGGAACTCGTGGCCTCGTTAATGCACTACTTTGAGCAAGAAAGGGACAACAACGGGCCTTTGTTGCCTTTAAATGCTGTTCAAGAGGTAGGTTACCAATAATTATATGTAATGTATATTAATAATAGTGAAATTTTATTTCATTTTTTGTAGCGTGTTGCTGCTGCTTTAAAAATTAGTTTAAGGATAGTTAGTCGTATTTCCGAGGGTGTGAAAAGTGATGCAAATTTAGAATCGCCCAAGAAAAAGCGGAGTTATATTAAACGTGTAACCAACACAGCGACATTGGATACAAGTGCCATTCGAGAAGTGATCTATAATATGTATCACAAAAGTAAGATCTTATTATAATAACTTATCAGAAATTTGCATTAATTTGTTAACTAAATTATAATGTCATATTACACATGGTTTCAGAAGAACAAGTTACGATACAAACTTTATGGTCTCGATTAAGAGATAGGGCATTATTTGATGGTAGTGCCACGTCTTTAAGGCGGTTGCTTAGAGATCTTGGATTTAAGTGGCTTAAGGACAATCCGCGACGAGGGCTCATGGAACTACCAAGTATAGCTTTGAAAAGGGTGGAATTTCTAAGGCAATACAATCAAGCCAAGGTTGAGGCCTTATACCAGTTTGTCTTCCTCGATGAAACTTGGATATTTCAAAATGGGACCATAGGTCGCTCTTGGCAAAATGGAAACCAAAAAAGCGTGAAAGCTATTAAAACAGATGGTAAAAGGTATGTACTTTTACACAATTTGCACTATAAAATTAAAACTAATATATTTTAGATACATTATATGCTGGAAATGAAAATGGGTTTATTGAGGGTAGTGAAGCGGTATTTTCTTCGAAAACAAAATTGAGCGATTACCATGGAGAGATGAACCAGGACAATTTTTTGAAATGGTTTCAACATCAGTTATTAGAAAAATTGGAGAGTCCATCTATGATTATACTGGATAACGCCCCTTATCACAGCATGATATTGAACAAAGTGCCCAACAATGCATGGACAAAAAAAATATCCAAGACTGGTTGACAAATCAAAACATACCATTTTTAAACACAATGTTTGAAACAGAGCTATTGAGTATTGTTGCTCGGTACATAATGCTTCTTAATTATATATATTTTGGTCGACAGTTTATATTTCTTTTGTTTATTCCTATTCTTAAAATAACTGCTTTTTTAGAAACAAACCACCTAAAATATACGTGATTGATGAATTGGCGGAACAACATGGGCACAAAGTTCTTCGTCTGCCTCCTTACCATTGTATATTTAACCCTATTGAGTTAATTTGGGGCATAGCAAAAGGTTACTATAACAGACATATTGGTAGAGATGGTAACAGTGAAAAAGACTGTTTGGATATGTGGAACGAGGCTCTACAAACGGTTACCCCAGACATGTGGAAAAATAGTGTTCGACATACTGAGCAAGAAATTTTTAAATGGTATGAAAGAGAACGAATTTTTGATCGACCAGACATCGAACCTTTAATAATCAACTTTGAGAGTGATGAAGATTCAGATTCAGACAGCGCTAAAGAAAGAAACTCCGACTAACTTTATTGTACAGAAAAAGCTTACACCAGTAGCTTACCTAATTTTAGAATGCATTTTTCTGTATGAATTCTGTAAAATAAATACCAAGCATAAAATTTGGAGGACCCCATTTGGATTTTTATTCAGTACCTTTAAGCTATCAATTAAATATGGTAGCTTCATAGTGTCATCTGATCAATAATTGTCATACTTAATGATTATGCAAGTACAGATCTATAATTTTATTATACTATTATTTTTGTTCTCATTTGAGGTTAATATTGTTTATAAACCTAGATATGTAAATAATAAATTTTATTATTTTACAAAAAGTTTGGCAACAATGTAAATTTTTCAACACACCCACCTTGATGACGTGCACGCCACTTTGTTTGGCGTTGACTATATGTTACTGGATGTTGAGACATGTCCCTGAGTGCATAGTAGCCGCCAGTTGTTGATTCGTATTGACTGTGTAAAGTGCGGACTAAGGCAGTTTTAGGGTATAACTTTACGCGTGGTTAAGCATAGACCAGTGCTTAGAAGAAATGATGCTTGCATTAAAGAATGATTGTCCTCATCGTACGACAATACTCAGGTGGTACAGAGAATTCCAAAGGGACAATTTCAATCTGGGTGACGCTGAGAGGGAAAGAAGGCCGCGAACGTCAATAACAAAGGAAAATATTACCGCTGTGAGAAAAATGCTTGACGAAGACCCGAGAGTGACATACCAACAGATAGAGGTGACATTACTCCTTCATGCGCATGAGTACACACCCTTAGGTGTCAGAAAATCCGATCTGATAAAAAAATGAGAGCTGTATTTTTCAAATCGAGCGGGATTGTGGAGCGTGTCGTTTTGGAAACACAGAAGGCAGTCACAGCTAAGTGGTACATGGGACAGTGTCTGCCTAAAGTCATAGAGTCTGTAAAAACCTGCGTCCGAAGTCAAGAATGGACACTTGGTACCTCCACCATGACAACGTTCAAGCTCAACGCGCCAAAGCGTGCACCGAGTATTTGACCACTACTGAAGTGAAACTTACAGTCCAGATCTTGCTTCCTGAGACTTTGCACTGTTTCCGCATGTGAAAATGAAGCTAAAAGGAAAACGGTTTTCTAGCGATGAGGGCCTTCTGAGGGCTTGAGGCGAGAGTTCCGCACTCCCGGGTGAAACTTGGCAGAGCTGGTTTAAGGATTGATTTTGGCGGAAGTGTATTGAATGTAGTGGAAATTACTTTGAACGAAGCCAATAAATAAAGCTGTATTGCAAAACTTTTATCCCTTTGTTTTCTCTGATTACTTCCATGCTTTTCTGTTTTTGATGCAGTGTTTGAGCTCGGGTTATTTGTATTATGCTGGGTTGGTTCGTTCGTTTTCTCCATGTACCATCATTGTTCTTTGAGTCCCCATATATTTTATGCAACATTTTTTATAATACTTATTTTTGGACGGGTTTAAATATTGATTTGGCTTCTTGAATATTATAAGTGAGTTTATCATGTAATTTAAAACCCACTTCGTTTTAAATCGCCCTGAAGGAAAACTGGTTTTTTAAGTGCGCTTTCTTCAAACCAGATACACCGCCTATACGCCCAAAACAAAAAAATTGCATCTTAGCTCTCCTAATAAATATTTATTCATCTTCTTTAAATTCAAAGTTCTGCGGGCCTGAAAAAAACTAAAAATACTTCTAGATCCTAGAGAGCAGTGCGGTTAGATATAACCAGAAAAACTAATACGTTTTAGTACAAAATTTGCGCTAAAATACCACACTTTTTTTAAAAGTATACGCGCCAATGTGTCTGGGCGAAATGGGTAGGAAGTTCTAGACAAATAACAGCAATACCACATCCATCCAGCCAAACCACATCTTTTATAATTATCTTTTATGAACTGCTAACGAGAAATCAATACGCAAATAAATTTTGCTGAATAGTAAACTCATAAAGATAACCGAGAAATATGCAACCGAATATCATAAAAAATAATGCTTACAGTTTAAATTCATGCTTGACTTTACTGCCAGGTATCCTATTGATTGTGACTACAGGTTCAGGAAGTTGGTCTGGATTCACAGGCACTTGCACGCCTCGTTCCCATTCCTGCTTCCACTGATCGACAATCAACCTGCCGACAAAAAAATATAAATCATGTCATAAATAAAGAAATCAGCCGTTTACGCTTTGTGTAATAATTTATCCAACAATTTGCGTTATAGCGCTTATACGATAAATTCGTTATCACACATGCTATCTAAAAACATTCAATAAGTATGGGTGATTCATAGGTACCTGGTGACCTAAATATCCAGTTTTTTAAATTGAAAGTCCTACATTTTATTGTAGATTGGGATAAACCCAAGTTATAGAAATAAAGACTCAATTTTGACAACCTGCACGTCCTCAACTTTTATAGCTAGAGTACCAAATTTTTTGTTAATAAAGAATTATGATCCCATATTTTGTTATCTACTTTTCATTTTTTGTTGACGATTTATACAGGGTGGTTAACAACGCAAAATTAACTGCTTCTCAATATTTTTAAATGGAACACCCTGTGTATTTTCACAAACCTTTATTCTCCCTTCTACAAAAAATATTTGATACAAGGTTTGTGGAGGCTTTTACGACTGGCTTTTATCAATCAAATATGAATGTAAATAAAAAATATTACAATACATTTCAAAATGAAAAATAGTATGCAGTTGGTAACAGGAGGAGATCTTTAGAATTGGTTTATTTTCATTAAATGTACCAAGCTTCATGCAATAACGTCGAAAAGCCAATGTCCCTGTGTTTTTTATAACTCGAAAATAAAGGGTTGTCCAATAGGGACGCAGGAAAGTAAACGTCAATTTGACATAGACGCCATCTTTGTTTTCTGTCACCGACATGTCATTTTGTTAGTTGAATGTTTACCATTGATTGCTATGGAGTCGTATTCGATTAAAGACCGCATTAAAGTTATTCAAGAGCACTACAAAAATGGTGCAAAAATAAAAAACACGTTTCGCGCGCTTCGTGAACATTTCGTTCGCAACAACCGCCCAAACGAAACAACCATCGGTCGTCTGGTGCGTAAATTCGAGGCAACAGGTTCTGTGGCAAATCTGCCAGGCTCTGGCCGGAAAATATTGCTGTTGTGAAGGAGAGTGTGAGAACCAGTTTGCTGCGCATTCTCCACAAGGATTTGAATGTACACGCCTACAAGATCCAATTGACGCAAGAGCTGCGTCGGGCCGACCATTTTTCGCGCCGAATGTTCTCAGATTGGCTCCTTGAACACCGCCAAATTGATGTCAATTTTTCATCAAAAATCATGTTCAGCGACGAAGCGCATTTCACTTTGAATGGGACGGTAAACAAGCAAAACTGCCGCATCTGGGCGAACGAAAATCCCCGTGAGTATCAAGAGCAGCCGATGCATCCTCAAAAAGTGACTGTGTGGTGTGCATTGTGGTCAAAAGGCATCATCGGCACCTTACTTTTTCGAAAATGCGGCCGGGGACGCCGTTACCGCCAATTCTGAGCGATATCACGTGATGATAGAGGACTATTTTTGCCGCAACTTGAAGGAATGGATATGGACGATGTTTATTTCCAACAAGACGGTGCAACATGTCACACAACCAACGTCAATATCCATCGATTGCAGTCCTTCTACGGTGATCGCGTGATTTCGCGCAGAGGAAATGTGCCATGGCCACCAAGATCGTGCGATTTGACTCCCTTGGACTTCTTTTTATGGGGATATTTGAAAAGCAAAGTCTACGTCAACAAACCAGCCACCCTCCAAGAACTCAAAAACAACATCGTTGCCGAGATAAATGCCATAGAACCGACCATGTAGCAAAATGTCATTGAAAATTTCGACCATCGCGTGGACGTCTGTAAATCCAGTCGTGATGAACATTTGAGCGATATTATTTTTCATACATAAATGGTATAAATGAACCTTCAAAATAAAGTACCCAACTTGATTTGAATATCAATCTTTCTTGTTTTAATATGCCTTTACTTTCCTGCGTCCGTTTTGGACAACCCCATACTTAGTATTTGTACTTGCGGTGAAAAATTCCAAATAATTGATACTTGGTACTTGAAATACTGTTCACTGGTGACAACTTTTCCACGTAATAATGAAACGCCCTATGAAATAAAAATATTTTCCAAGCTAAGAGCTTACTCTTGGCTACAACTTTTGCATTCAACTTTTTAAGACACCCAGCGTAATCACTGAGTTAACAACCAAGCCCACACTAAAAAACCTCTCCCTGTAGAGTTTTATTGTAAAAAATTGATTTAATAAAACCCTGTATATATGACGTCATGTCATTGCACTATGACAATGTCACTTGAGTCAACAGATACTTTTATCTTCAAAAAAGTCCAGCTTTGAATATGTCGGTAGAGACTGTAATCGCAGCCATACTTAAAGTCAAGTTAGAAGTTATATTGCTTTATGCTCCATCGTCGATCATAGTATTGACTCAGACAGAAAAATTAAACTCGTAATCGGGGGCAAAAAACGTCATGGGTAAACTTACCAATACTCGTCAGCCGCTAAAGGCTCTGAATCCGGCAACTTCATTGCACTGATCAGATCCTTCCTGAACAGCTCTGCAGGCGCTTCTGTGGTCGTCCTGTTGTAGATGCCTTTCAAGCTGTCGTTGGACGCGCGTGGTGCCCATTGTGCCGCTACCATGGAAGCAGAAGATGACGATGAACCACCACTTCCATTACTGTTTCCGCCACCTGTATCAACAAATGTATCGTTTTGCAAATTGGTATTGTTACAGCGCACGATCTGCAAATACTCGCACTCCTAATGGATAGCAGGCTAAGAACAAATTTATCGTACTGCGACTTATTAGGTAGTATTATTACGTTTCGGTAGATACTAAGCTCCAAATCTCATTTATTCTCTATCCCAGTACGATGCAAGCCATCATTATTACTATCATGCGATATTTGTTAAAAGTATTGTGTGTTATTGTATCATGTCTTGGGAGTCAATGGATTGCTCATAGTAGTGACGAAAAAGAATAAGAGGTTTGAATTGGTTGTAGATAGCCGCAAATTCGGCGGGAGCGAAGGGCGTAGTGAGGGTAACTGATTCTATCACCACTCACGTTGTGGACAAACACATAGTGGAATGTAGGAGTAGTCTCTATGGTCAAGTCTGTGTAATGTGTGGCTTATGTAAATATTTCGCTGTGACTTGTCCAATCCAAACTGTCAGTTTGAAATTCCAATTGTTCCTAACCTCAAATCGACTAGATGTCTGTCATATTTTTTCCATTTTATTTTCTGCTAGGTGGCGCTACAAATAAAACAGTTGGGCCAAATAGTGCCATTTGGCCCAGCCAAACAGCCCCAGTGGTGTAGATACATTGAAGCTCAAATTTTTAATTTTTACGAGGTTTAAGCTTGACCTATATTTGATGAGTGATTATTATACTGCTAGTTACGCCGTTCATTTTATTCTGTTTATAAAATATACAACAGGATTCAAAATCACTCATAATAAATATGTATACATCTTCACCGACAACCTGTTTGGAATTTACCCTATGGGTCCAGGGCCCCAGCTTGAAGCGGCCCCAAATGCCCAAAAACAATATATATATATATAACAAAAAGTGAGAAAATAATGGGCAAAATCCGCAAAAAGGAGTAAAGTGGATTGAGCAGAACAACAAAGAGAAAATGTATATCCTTTCGACTTGCAGTACCACAGCAAGTGGCTATAACCGGCCGTGTGGTTGTGGTTAGATGTCTCATTGAAAATTCGAAGTCTTCTAGCCATTTTATACTACAATGCTCTTGTTGTGGACTTCATGTGTCGATTTTTTCCCTCTCCATCTTCGTTTCCTCGGGTTACACCCGAACCCGGATGTGTTTTTTTTTTATATTCTACTACCACGAAGGCCTAAAGCCTAAACACTCATGGAGTACCGTGGGGCTATAGGGATACAGGGGAAAGGGGGAACGCCACACGGACTCTGGCGAGGGAACACGTGTGCATGCAAAATGCACACATTTTGGCCCCGCCTACGAGATCCGCCGGGTGGTACGTCTGCGTTCGACAGTCAGAGATCGTCTACCACCTACAAAAGATGAAGAAGAAGAAACGAACTACGTTTGAATATAGGATCACTTTATTTTTTAAACCAAATGGGCAAAGATACAATTATTATGTTTATACTGATCGAAGCTCAATAAATAAATAAAGTACGAAATTTTGTGAACTCGTATTGATAATATATATAGAAAAAATTATCATGACCTATCCTATTTTCTGCTCAAATCCACTTTACTCCTTTTTGCGGATTTTGCCCATTATTTTCCCACTTTTTGTGTGTAAAGGTATATAACAAAAATAGGAAAATAATGGGCAAAATCCGCAAAAAGTGGAAAATAGGATAGGTAACCCGAGCAATACGTATTTCTGCTGGTTGGCTTCGTCAGGCCTGAAATGAATGTACATATGCCACTACAAAAGTAGATACACATGTTCACATATCCGGATACGGGCGTAACCTGAGGAATCGAAGATGGAGAGGGAAGAAATCGACACACGTCCAAGTCCACAACAAGAGCCAACCTACACATTGTAGTATAAAATGGCTAGAAGACATCGAATTTTCAAGGAGACATCTAACCACAACCACGCGGCAGGTTATAGTCACTTGCTGTGGTACTTCAAGCTAAGAGGATCAACAAAGAGAAAATGATCATGCGGAGAAAGGTATATAACAAAAAGTAGGAAAATAATGGGCAAAATCCGCAAAAAGGATGAAAGTGGGTTCGAGCAGAAAATTGGATTACCTATCCCGTGCGATACGTATTTCTGCTGTTTGGCATCACCAGGCCCGAAATGAATGTACATATGCCACTACAAAAGTAGATACACATTTCCACACATCCGGATACGGGTGTAACCTTAATAAACGATTGTTTCCCTCTCCATCTTCGATTCCTCAGGTTACGGCCGTATCCGGATGTGTGAACATGTGTATCTACTTTTGTAGTGGCATATGTACATTCATTTCGGGCCTGATGAAGCCAACTAGCAGAAATACGTATCGCTCGGCTTACCTATCCAATTTTCTGCTCAAATCCACTTTACTCCTTTTTGCGGATTTTGCCCATTGTTTTCCCACTTTTTGTGTGTATTTTTAACAAAAATAGGAAAATAATGGGCAAAATCTGCAAAAAGTGGATTCGAGCAGAAAATAGGACAGGTAACCCGAGCGATACGTATTTCTGCTTGTTGGCTTTTCCTAATTTTGTTATATATATATATAATTCAGCGCTTCAGGCCTGAAGGCCCATGGCTTCTATCTTTTTGACAACTTCTTTCCACGCGGTTATATATATAACTGGTTTAGACGACAATGACCACGCCTCAAATTATATATATATATATATATATATATATATATATATATATATATATATATATATATATATATATATCCTCCATGTAGGAGGTTAGAACGGACTTTGTCAGTTTCTGTCCCCAAAATTACTTGACAATAATTTTTAATGTGTTCGGGTGTATTGATATATAGTGTTAACACCTAACGATGGTTTCCGTCGTTATCAATGAACCCAATGTGTCCGTCCATTTGGTTTTATATTTGTAACAAGTGCTCTCAACGCTCGAGATTACCGTTAAAAGAGTTTATTAACCGATAAAAGAGTTTATTAAAGTCTAAAATTTTGCCAATTTCCCAACTAACAATTAATTGTATTTTTTGCCCAACTGGTCGTTGGCAATGGCGATGACTACTCCTCGCATATATATATATAGTTTAAGACGGTCCTGCTGACAAGTGTGCTACTAGTTCCTGAAATCTTCATAGAATCTTGGAACCGTATAGCACTATCAAGTCTGTATACTTTGGTATTATTCTTACCTTTATCAGGTGCAGAAGATGCGGCACTCGCCGTCGTCGAAGCTCCGCCTCCATGGTGGGAGGAGGCGGCGCCTTTGGAGGGCGTGTCTTGGTGCAGGGAGGATGATTGGTGGTGGCTACTGTGGTGATGGTGGTGATGCGACGAGTGGTGAGCATGATGGACTGAGGAGAGCGTGGTATTGGAGGAGTGAGATGCCGTCGTGGATGGTGCCGCCGCCGCAGCTGATGAAGCCGTTTCTTCCTCTTCGGCCACAGGCCGCTGCAACAACAATTGTGGTTGGTTATATGCAAAATGACTTGAAACAATGCTATTCATCCACTGGCTTGTATCGATTTCAATCAAATGATATGAATGAAGATTCAAATTAAATGATTTGTTTTAATTGAAATCATTATTTAGGTAGAAACAAGTCTCTGAAGTAGATGAAATGCCAGAATGGACCTTTTTTTTACCAGGACTTATATGAGACACAAAACAGACAGGATTTCTTGTGCAAACTCAGGTCTGGTTGAGTTTATGCAAGAACTATTCTGATACTACAAGTCTGAATCAAGTAAATAACTGAAAATAAAATTCTTGTAAGGATATAATAACTACACCTGATAAAAAACTTGCTGAATCAATAATGTCGAAAAAAATCGTAAGTTTGGTTTTTTCAAAAAAAAATCTTGGTTTTAATCAACTGAGTAACCACTTGCCAATCTTTCATATCAGATATTAGATAAAGGTGCCTTCTCTGAAGATGCTTTATTAGCAACTGTCTTCTGTCCACGATCTCATCTTGCTCTTATTAAGGTAACATTTGAGACACCAAGAACTGCCTTAATTGAATAGTTATCCACTTCATTAAAAAACTATAAAATCTGTCATTTTATAGCATAAAATATGAGCAAAGCTTAGGAAATGGTTGCCACCTTTAGAGCTCCTCTATACCCATACCTCCCATAGGTGTAAGTCTATCTTACGATAGAAACAGGGAAACACAAATCACTTCATATCTCTTTTAGGAGTCATCACATAGTGATGTAAGAACAGTCATAAATACTTTGATATTATTTAAACCATTATACCTGATTAAAACTACATTAATGTGTTGATGATTAATAAAAATAGAAGATAATTTAGTTATACAATATCTCCATTCACTGCATAAGGATATAGACCAGTGAAAATGTAAACTAGTACCTATATAATCAAAATTATAGCCCAAGACTTATTGATTAAAAGTATCTAGTCTAATTTAATCATTCACTGTTTTTTACATTATTAATGAATATAAATTCTATTATAAACAACTACCCTGTATGAGCATAACAAAGAATTTAAAAAATGCTTTATCACTGTGATTAAAATTATTAAATATTTGATCCCAAAGATTTTCAGAAACTCAATACCAGATTTTTTCAATCAAAGTTATACTATCTGAACAATGTCTAGGTACCATCTCTTTGGACAAGTGTTTCATCCTCCTTATTTAATTTTTGAGAGCTGACCTGGTATCTAAGTAGTTAAATAGCTTATTTTTAACCCACATAATACAGTTGCTTTTCAACATATGACATTTTGGACAAATTTATAAATTCAATGCGATTGACCTGTTAGAGGAACAAATGGATTCAACATGGCATTAAATGCTGCTCAATGCAATTTACAGGCTGATCTAAGACTCAATAACCAATAGGTTCACATACTTCATTATGATGTGCATTATGTGCTTTTGACATTTGTTTATCATCTCACTTTATAAAACATGTAATATGATGTAATATATCTTGTACTCACTTTACGCCTTTTAGTAGGAACAGGACCATCTTCAGAACGGTTAGGCCTCTTCACCCTCTGTGACATCGCACTTAAGTGGTGCAGGTAGGTCGAGTCCTCTGCACAGCCTAAAAGTATAATTAAATAGATTCTACACACCTTCAGGTTTGTATTGTACAGAGTACAAGCAAAACAACATACATGCAGAATAAATAGACATAGGTACTCACTACATATTTATCCAAAACTTGAACATCAATAATGTACACATATATCAAGTCTGCAACAAGAAAACATCAAAATTAGCAAATTCCGTCCATGGAAGTTTGTTTTGCAGCTAGTATTCATCATTCACCATCGATTTGGTGCAATTTTAAAGCTACTTCATTAGCTTCTACGATTAAAACTAAAAAAATAAAGGATCTGTAATAGCCTTTGGCCAAACATCAATGTTAAGAAGGGTAATATCCCAGCACCCAGGAAATAAACGTACAAGTGCTGTAGCATGCATAGAAAATAACAATCATGCTTCAAATACATTATATATTCTGCCTGATGTTATATTCTTGCAAATATTTAGTGACAAACAGCAGAGGTGTATCTCCCATGTCTACATTGTAAACATTTCACATTGTAGCCAGCACTAGCACATACACATTTTTACACTTCTCCAATGGAATCTTTTTATTCAAATAGTTCATTTCTTTACCATTTCCCTTCGGTTTTTCATGCTTTCGATTGATTTTTCACAGAATTTTGATTAAATCGACTCCATTAGACTCCATTTGGTAAGCCCAACAACATTGACAATGTAGATGGCAGCACCTTCGGTAGTCGACACAGCAAGAACTATCAAAATATACCGTTGTCTTTTTCTAATTAAAAATTATTTGGAGCATTTATTTAAAATAAATATTATGAGATGATTCTCAAAAATCATTAATTCTAATATCTACGCATAGAACATGTTCAGATGCCGACGCACAATTTCAATACAATCTCACTTTCTTAAAAGAAAGTACTCAATTGTAATATAGGCCATCTCTTTTTATCTTTCACCAACATGTCCTCATTTCCAATTGTTCTGAGGAAAGCGCATTCATTTAGGAAATTTCATAAGTGGGATTCATATTCATTTCTTTTTATTTGAGATAAATTAACAGATATAAGAAGCAGGATTAAATATGCAGGAATTGAGTTTTCGTTACCAATACCTATTGAACGCGAATTGGCGCCATCATGAGTGAAAAAATAACTGGTCTTCGTTGGTCACGTGACTAAAATGCGGAATAAAACAATTTTGGCGGGGATAAATATTTATTACAACAAAATGTATACGTATTTCGGTATCTTGATTTTGCACCGGCAATAGTGTTTTAAGTGCATCGCACAGCGAAGCTATCAACGGCTAATGCTATTTTTTTATCGACCACTTTCATCCGGTTTACCTGTTACGCCCACTCTTAAATAAAATACACAGGCCAAATAAATTTAAAGATGAGCGATTCTGAAATAAATCCTTAACTTCAGTATTTGATTCTTATAAGCATGTTGTTCCATGAAACTTAGTTAAATTTTACTTGGTTTCTTTTATTTTTGTTGCACTATTATATTTAACAATAATAGATAGGTATAAGAGATTTTGCAGGGCCAAAGAAAATTGAAACAAGAAGTGGATCACATCAAGTGAAACCGCCAGCAAAATGCTTTAAAAGGACAAATTCCAAATAATTTTCAAATATTGACATTACTTGTTTTTGATTTTATTGATGTTTTACATTACTTGTCAGTGACAACTTGACAACTACGGTTTTGACATATGTCACAGTCGCACTGCACCCCCTTGCCTGAGTTGCCACGCTTCCAGGTTACTAAGATCTTGAACATTCCATTTCGTAATACCAACGAATCAAAAAAAATATGTTATCTCTCATCTTCTAGTGTAGCTAGAATATGTATACACTTATACGGAGTGTCCCAGAATATGTGAATTAATCTCTTGGAAAAAGTAATAAGTTGCCTTGAGAAATATCATTCGGTCATTCCTTACAGATTCCCGAAGATTTAAAAAACGCATCTGAAATATTATTTACCTAAAATAATGACTAAGCTGTAAAAATATGGAATATACTTTTGGGCAACCTAGCAACCAATGAAGGATTTATGCACATACATCTTGGACGTAGCAGAGCTCGAAGCAAAACTAATGTGTTATATACTAATCAAAGAACCAATGTAACACACAACTTTTATACAACACAAATTATTCCGTCTACCACTGATTAACGTATTCTACCTGAAAATAGCAAAACCAATAATATTTATCGCGCCCGAAAAACTATCCTCGATGAAATGAAATATCGTACCGTAATCTACGAGGATTTATCACAGCTATAGTTGTAGTCACCGTTCTTGGCGGGTCAAAGTAAGACTACCAGTATCCCTTTATATATCTCCATCTCCCTCATACATACACATGCAACCTACCCCTGTCTGTGAACATTTTTTCAGTGAGCTCGAAGACGTACGTTTTTTAGTTGAGTGTCTCCGGCTGGAAAACTTTGCAGTAACGTATGAGTGCCCTTCAATCATATTTATCATAGTGACAACTTACTTGACATCGGCGTGCAATTTGAGTAATCCTGTCGTTATCAATCTTCAATATAAAATTGTACAATGCTCGGAAATATGATCAATGGAGAAGGCCGACAGCTCGCGCTAAATTTATTAGAGTATTTTCAGGAAGAGAATCAAAACAGCGGTCCCCTGTTACCCACTTCATGCGTACTGGAGAGAATAGCAGATGCGCTGAAGATTAGCCTGCGCAGTGTTCAGCGAATAAAATCACAATGTATGAAATTTTTTACTTCAACTTCAGAAAACATCAAATGGCGTGTCATACTCTACCGATGTTTATATGCTAGATTGGAAGACTGTTGAGAATTACGATTAGTAAATGATTTTGAATCGGTTACCCTCAGTTAGGACAATTAAGATCCGCCCATGGTACGGAGACTCGATCGGTTTACTTATCTCATATGGCGATGTCGTCGGAATCGCCAAGAATGGTGACGAAATAATAATAATAATAATAATAATAAATGGGCTTTATTTCGTACTTAAGTAAAAGTACAAAAAAGGCGAAGTGTCGCTAAGATTAGCGTTTTTCAACTTAACCTTAAATCTATATCCTTCTCCTCTCCGCAATGAATATGAAATCACATTTAAAACGCTAGTGTCCCATAGATGCCGATGTAGTCAATTATATAATAAATGTACTATATGTATATGATCATATCGCTACAACACCGTATACGGGACACGAGCCTTTTCAAAGTAGACTTCTAAAACTGCGAAGAGGAGAAACATAGCTGTGACAAATTCTCATATATGACGCTACGGTATCTCACTTTATCTTGAATAATTTTTCAGACGCACGAATATAGTATATTACTATTAGTTATATTCAGGTAGAATATGGCCGTGCGTCGAGCTGTATCTCTAATGCGAAAATTCGCGACTTGGCAACACTGCAGTCGTAGTCTCTTCCAGCCTTGACAAGTCATTTCCTCAACTCAATTGTCAAACTTCTAACCCCAACTTGTGTTTTCAAAGGGCATCAAGGAATAAATTGAAAATTTAATTTTTATATGAATGATAATTGAATCTGTTTCCAGATAGCATTCTGGTTTCGGGTGCCTTTCTTCCATAGGTCACTGATATATATTCTGAAGATAGCATAATGGATCAGGTATGTTGTTTTGCCTTTTAAACCCAGTTAAACATTTACTTTTTTCCTAGGCAAGAGCGAAGATTAACGACGCATGCAGGGTAGCTGAAGAATTCACAAAATTATACTACGAGACCGTGGATAGAAAAAGACATGTAAGGTATCATTTCATGTCAATGATCCAAATTTATATTTATAAATTTTAGCTGATATCCAGGCTATACCTTGACACTGGTCTGTTATCATGGAATGGCAATGGAGTTACAGGAAACCAAAACATACTCAAGTTCATGATAGATTTACCCACAACAGATCATTCCATAACTACTCTTGATGCACAGCCTATACTTGATTCTGCAGTAAATGGACAGTTAAGTTTTATAATACAAGTGAGTGGTTCTGTGAGGTATCAGGACAAGCCTTTAAAGACATTCCAACAGAACTTTGTGGTAACTGCTCAGGGTGACAAGTGGAAGATTGTGAGCGATTGCTTCAGATTACAGGAACCTTTAAATAAATAATATCTATGCCTTTATTTTGTAAATTTTAATTTTGAAAATGTCAATAAATGTGTATGTTCTTATGAATGGTTTACCTTAAAATATTATACATTCAATATTGCACAAATGAAGCATAATAAGGAGTGACAAATTAGTTAAGGCTTTCGCAGCCAGTTGATAAACTACTGTCTTGATTCGGGTCTAAAGGCTGTCGTTAGTTGAAATTTCTTAACATTTCACTAGCTCGAGTGGCAGGTTTCTTCAGAGGTCCTTCCATTTCTAATGCTCGATGTAGACAGTCTACATCAAATCAAAACAGCAGTTTATAATAAGGAGTGTTGTTGATGATACTGCTCACTTAGCAGCAAAATTAACCTCTCTTCCCAAGTTTCCTATAGTGCAAAACTGGATGGAATTATTTCCTACTGAGAAAGAAGGCACATTTACATTCAAATTCCATGTATTTGTAATAAATGAGTACAAAACCTTAAGCTACAGGAGTTATATAAAAAAAGTAAGCAAAGATTGACATTTAAGATTAATTACAGTTTTCAAAATAGAAATCAAAAGACAAGATTACTGCTGAAATAAATATGTAATTCATATTCAGCATCTAGATATCAAAATTATCAGTTAACTTTGATCATTTTTATTAAATATGCAGAGGGTTTCGTAAACCATTGTCACAGAACTCAACATAATATGATAGAAATAAAATGAAATGTTTTTTTATCTATTCAATGTGATCAACACAAGATGAATAAACTATTAATAAGTTTATGATTATTTTTACATATAAAAATATTGTTAAAATTTGATACCAGGCAGTGTTTTCTTCAGTACTGATATGAAATATGTGTGTAAATTTGAAGATAATTTGATTTAAATACCTTTTGTTTTAATAATGAAGCATATGATAAAAATGTCTATATTCCAGCAGTACACATTAAACAAAATATCTGACAACTGACACTTGAATATAAACCCTCTCTATATTTTCAAAAATGAGTAGTAATGATATAAAAGATATTAACAAACAATATACAGGATAAGTGTTAGTGTTTAAATCCACTCATTGTATAAATATCTAGCTATGTATAAAATAATTTTAAAAAATGAGCAAAATAAAAACACATTTAAATCTCAGTCTCAAGGATTTGCATTTGCAGGGGAATGTGAATGAATATATGTGGTGATTAACATACTTTCAAATTAAAAAAAATATATGGTGGATAGCTGACATAGTTACAGCCTCATAATAGTTTTATTATTGGACTTTAAAAGTGAAGAATATACTGTTAGAATTGTGCATACATCATATTGCTGAAGCAATAATAATGTGGCTAGTCCGCAAACATTTTGAAAATGATCTGTTATCAAAAGATTGAAGTTACCTTTAGTTTCTGAATCCAGACACACTATTGTGGAGGCAAGGGTTGATATCAAAAGGAATACAAAACTCCAGGAATTTTTTTCTGGAGGCGTAAAATTACTCTGATCCCCAGATTTCAAGGCAAATGGAAGTTTTGCGAGGTGGTAAGCGAAATCAGCGATCTACCTTATATTAATTTATGAGCACAACACAGCCGAAAAATTGCGCTAAGTACCATAGTAATATCCATTTGGCATTATCAGCAAACTACTTGAGATTACAATGATCAGTTTTTATAGATTTATGGAAACTAACGTGAGTTTAAGTTTTTTTTTTAAACGAAAGGTTTTCAACCATGCCATCTTTTTTCAATTACAATGCACTTCTATGCTGGGATCGCACGAAAATTGTCAGCAATTTATTTCACATATCAGCTTACTAGTTGGAATTATAGCTATTGATGTCAATCTATTCAAGTATGCCATCAAAAATCAGTACGCATGTATCATCTCTGTCGTTTCAAATATAAATGGTATGGTCGTGCAGACATGGAAACTCGTTTTTACTCATATTCTAAAAAGGACAATATAAGGTTTATAGTCGATATTAGCAAGACTTACAGGTTTCTTCTGAAAACGCAAGACTTCAATACCCTGGCTTAGTATCAGTCGTCATGGAATTTTTGATTTCTACAAAAGTTTTAGAATTTGACATCTACTGGGTGCAGATGTTAAAAGCGCAGTAGCTCGCATCTTTAGAAGCCGAGTATGGTCCTGACTTTTCCCAACTTGGTATTTCTTGGTACGTTTGTATGTGGTGAAGTTACAAGTACATTAGACTTTACTTTCAAAATGGATTTACTTTGAGGAACTATATAACAAATATGTTAACATCATCTGTTGATATGATGGACTCAAGACAAAAAGATTTCCAACTAAATCGTTTATCAAGAATGCTGCCTTTACAACACCATAATATACTTTAGAATAATTTCAGTTTACAAAATTTCATATGTTTACAAAATTAGTACACTTATATCAAAAACGTATCTTAGCGCAATTAGTACTACAAAACTACACGTTGAAGGGGACATTTTATTTCATTTTTTGCAGATTGCAGATGCTCACCTTGTTTGTGCAATCGTGAAACGTTTTGATATATTTTTAATAAAAACAGAAAATAGATTTTTAGTAAAAAATAGCACGCACCTATAGACAGTCTTGGGTGTAACAGTAAGTATAGTTATGCCATGTGGTTAAAATTTAAACAGGTTTTTTCTGGTGCAAAAACGGAAATATATATATATATATATATTAGAAAACTACTTTAACTTATCTTGAAAACTAATGTAGGTTCTTCATTTTTCTTTTTTACCCAAGGCATAAGTACACTTCCGTGAAGCGACGAAACCCCCAGACTTGCAATTATCTACAAAACACCCAATTCATCAAATAGATTACATGAAATGTGACTAAAGCAAACAAGGTACTCTAGAAATTTTATAGGAAAAAAACACGTTCCGACACAACTTTCATAAAAACCATGTTAAATGACGTTTGAAAAGTGGTTAAAAATTGTCATATACATATATGCCAATGTTTTCGAAGAGGTCCAAAAGTATCCCTTCGTCATAACTTTTACCGACATCTAAACAAAAAATACCTGTGTGTAATGTTGGATTCTTTGACATCACTATGTTTTACCACTCGCCCGACCTGTGTTTCCCTGAAGATGATAACACAGCGAAAAACCTGTAAATAAACCGGTATGACGAGTGGTAAAACAATGTTGTAGTGACATAAAATACTTGTACAATAGTGAAGCAAAACGTCTGTCATAACATAACCAACTATATTTTTGTTGAAAACAAAAGTTATGATTAAAGTGGAGGAATTTGCGACAAACTGTATCGACGTAATCTTACTTTATCCTTTTTACCGATTATAAACCTGACCAATTTCTGCATTTTATTTGTGATGATACGGAAGCAACGTTTTTTACCATGTATAAAAAAATGTAATTCCAAATCAACATTTCATATAAAAATCAACAACCCGACTATCTCTGGAGTACCTTGTACAAAATAATAACGCGAAACTCAACCGATTTGGCGTTTATTTTTCGCACTGGATTACAGGTTTAGGTCGTCAGGCGGCAAATTATTGGCCCCTTCGATTTCTGAAGGGTCTTGCTGATCTATCGCTCCTCCTACAGCCCCATCTTCGTTCTCCAGTCCTAGAGGAGCATCCGATGGTAAAGGTGGAGGCAGTGCCATTGCTGACACTAACGGATTACCTAATAATTGCAGAGATTCTGATTTGGATTTTTACAAGATGCTTGATGCAAATGGAGGCACGTATTTGAATAAACTCATGTCCTCACTAACTTGAACGTGAAGTTGAACTAATGACCTGTTAGGACAGGTCGGCCATCCGTTACAACTAGATGCTAGTTTAAAAGAGCATTTGACAGTAAATAGTCACAAGAACTTTCGGGGCACTGAACTGCCTCGGGCAAAGCTGACATCCAGGGCTTGCGTTAGAAAGAACACAGTCAGACTTCTCCGTGATTCATCCGCAGATCTTAGTTTTGTTCGTACAGCGGTCGGCGACTTGTGTGAATTTCGTCTACATAGCGTAGCACAGTGAACGGAATTTGTGTGGCGGGATCTTGGACACGGTCACTGACAGGTTGGCGACTGCTGTAGTTCGTCTTCAGAAGACGAAGCATTGTTTTTGAGGAGTTTGCATCCGATCAACTGTGAGAGAGATGATAAAGGAGAGTTCATAGTTCTTTTTCCTGCAATGCTTGAAGATGAAGAACGATTTTTTATTTACTTCCGAATGTCATTAAGTAGTTTTAATGAGTTGCATGATTATATAAAAAAGGAAACAGAGAAACAAGACACCAACTAGAGAAATGCTATATCTACAAAAGAAAGAGTGGCAGTATTTTTTCCTATGAAAGCCATCTTGCAAACGAGGCGTTCCACGAGTTCTTTGTATTTCTGACAGTAGAACGAGAGCCTTCACACTGACCGGCGCGGTCTGACTGCCGCTGTGTCTGCGCGACGCTATAGAGATCTGATGATTCTGTCAGTGTCACTGGGCTTCTACTCAACCTTATATATCAATAAATAGCACATTTCATGATGAACACTGACGGATTTCAGTAAATGTTGAGTTACGCTAAAAGCGCGGAAAACAAGGATCCTTTCTTCGATGTTCATTTGAGAGCTAAATCCATGGTGCTAGAACGGTCCCTATGGGTACGTCTTTTTTGGTAATGAACATCTAGCTCTTTTCTATCGCTACACCAACGGGCTTTGCTCCTCAGAGCTCTCTTCCATGATGCCGCCGCGCGATGTGCCTGCCAGACAGATCCGCCTGACTTCGGCGTCCCATCCTAACCGTGTCAAACTTCGTACATCCAGAACTGGCCGATACGACCGCTCCTTTGTCCCGAGGGTGTCTAGATTGTGGAACAATCTACGGGAGGAAGCTTTTCCCAGTTCTACTAACCTTAGGCAGTTCAAAAATCGTATTAACAAAATTTCTTTGGGATCATCATAGCAGCCGCGTTGTTCCGGCATTTAGGGTTTTGCCTGCGCGGCTGTTTCGATATAAAAAAAAATAAAAAAATGACGCTGAAGCTCGACATCATGGCCAACGTGTTGAGCACCCCATTCACAATTGTTCCATAATGCCTTTGTTGCAAACATAACCAAAAGCTATTTACTAATTTCAGAGATCTGAATTATTCAGCGCAATATAGAGTCGGAACAAATATTCACTCACTCCATTCCGAACCGGTACAGATGGTTCTATGTGAACAAAGCACCTGTATATGGAATGTCGTGAAGTCAAGCAATTTGAAGCAACCGTGAATGACTTTTACTTTTACAGCGCGATGAACGCTCGGACAACGCGGACGCGATTGTCGTTCGTATAATTTGGATTACTTGGAATGCCGTTTACCTGATAGACCGACGGCGACACTAACATGGCGTTAAAAGCACGATGTTTTTCGCGTTCGTGTTGCATGTCGCTAAAGCCCTGTTTTTCAATTGCAGGTTAATTGTAATTTTACTATTACCCAGATGTTAACTCTCAAAATGCGTATTTCACTGTCAACTTTATCCTAAAACGGTGGTTAACTTGAGATGTTTAAGGATGGCACGAGACACAAATGCGCCATAAAACGTATATGACAATATAGTTTAGACGTAGAATCAGCGTTGCTAGATTAAAAATTACGTTTTAGTTAACCAAAACTTGAAAAACGAATTTATCATGTATCAAACGTGTTCCAAATTTTTCCTATGCCTCTCAAGTTCCAGGATCCCCTAAGAACCAAATACCTCACCTCTAGAATCAAGCTCCAAAGCTGGATCTGCGGTGGCCTCTGCTAAATTTGTGACACTTTTTGATTTGACGCATTGGAAGTCCACATGCCTGCTCTTCGCCTCTTCCTTTTCCCACGACATGTGAATGAAGGGTCGCTGTACGTAATTGTAGATTACTTCAGCCCTACCACCAGGACGCTTCTTAACTTTTTCTTTGTACGTCGGGTACCCTTTCGCAAAAATATTTTATAGATAGAATGTTTTCATAAAACAACACATTTTGTCACGTAACATAAACTCACAAGCAATCAGGCAACCAGGACCTGCTTTCGCAAAAGAAGGGTATGTACATATGTACAAATATACGTAGTCATGCCATAAGTTCTGTCGCTCGTTTTCAAACAAGTGTAGACCTGTTAATACTTGTCCGATTGTTTACATTGTGGTGTCAGTTGATTAAGCGCTTTTCGGGTAATTACATATACCTCAGTTTGTATTGATCTCTCGAAGCATAACGATGGAGTGGGGCAAGGCAGAGAACCGTATTGCAGTGATAGCTTTACATAAGTGTAATCACAGTGCTAGTCAGATTTTTGAACTCTTACGCGGCCTTCAAATATCGCGTAAATTTGTGTCTAGGACCATTCAGCGGTACAATGAGACGTCCTCTGTTGATGACAGGCCAAGAAGCGGAAGACCTCGTCAAGTAAGGACTCCAGCAGCCATCAAAGCCGTAAAAGCCAGGATTCAAAGGAATCCACTCCGGAAGCAGAAGATCCTATCCAGGGAAATGAAGATTCCTGTCCGGACGATGTCGCGCATCATTAAACAAGACCTAGGGCTAGGGGCTTACCGGAGACGTACGGGCCAGCGACTTACGGCCACCTTGCGACACATCAGGGCGACAAGATCCAAGAAGCTCTTGGAGAGGTACGCAGCTGGGGGATTCCGAAAGATTTTGTTCACGGATGAGAAAATCTTCACCATAGAAGAAAAATTCAACCGACAAAATGACAAAGTGTATGCAAGGAGTTCACAGGAAGCTTCGGAGATCATTCCGAGAGTTGAGAGAGGCCACCACCCTGCGTCAGTCATGGTTTGGTGGGGGGTGTCCTACGAAGGGGTCACTCAGCTCCATTTCTGTAAACAGGGCGTGAAAACAAAAGCGGCAAACTATCAGAGCGACATACTGGATCCTATCGTCAAGCCTTTAAGTGGTACATTGTTTGCCAACCAACACTGGGTCTACCAGCAGGATTCCGCCCCCGCTCACAAGGCTAAGAGTACGCAGCGCTGGCTGGAAAGCAATGTGCCAGAGTTCATTGCTGCGGAAGATTGGCCCTCAGGGAGTCCGGACCTCAATCCTTTAGACTACAAGTTGTGGGACCTGCTAGAGCAGTTGGCCTGCTCCAAAGCCCACCGTAATATCGAGTCCCTGAAAGCGGATTTGATCCGATCAGCGGCAGCTATTCCTTTGGAAGCTGTGCGTGCAGTGATAGATGAGTGGCCCGCGAGATTGAAGCAGTGTGTGAAGGCCAAGGGGGGACATTTTGAATAAAACTGTTTGATTATGAATTCTAAAAATGTTGTCGAATAAATAACATCTTTCATATAAATATATCTTATCTTGTTTCATTTTTATCATGAGATTATCATGGGACAGAACTTATGGCACGACTACGTAGTATTGGGACCTCTTGCACCGATTCTTCTGTCCACTTATCAATTTACATTTTTATACGTGGGTTTGCGTGACTTCAGAACTCCATGTTCTTCTAGCCAAATGAAACCGCGTACAAGGGTGAATCAAATATGAACCGGACTTTTCTGTTTAACGCGAATGTAGTGAGGCGACGTCTCGGTTTGGCGCGAAGTAAATGAGCCGTTAGTAGCATCATGTCTGAGCAAGAGGTACTGTTGCGCAAAGCATTATCATAAAATTTTGGTCGCGGGAGCGCGTAAAACCTTCCGAAATTTTGCGTCGATTAACAGCACAGTTCGGCGATAAGACAGTTTCGAAGATACAAGTATACGACTGGCAAAAATGTTTCCTTGGAGTGGCGAAAGCCGAGAGGGGCAGCGCCGCGAAAAGCCAAGACCAGTCTTTCTGCAGGAAAAGTTCTTGCAATGGTATTTTGGGATTCCACAGGTGTACTACTATGTGATTTTCATCACACTTACTACTGTCAACTGTTTAAAGAAGTAAAACGGGCCTAACAGCGCAAAAGGCGAGGCATGCCTATTCGAAGTGCCATTCTGCTCCATGACAACTCTGAGCCACACCGCTGTATTGACAAAAAAATATGCGAAATTCATTGGGAAACACTTGAACACCCGCCTTATAGTCCCTATGACGGGGACAAAGGTGTGGAAACAATTGGCTACTGACACGATCAGCTTCATCCTTTGATTGGGGCATTGAAAAACTTCCGATACGATGTGAAAAATGCATCAATAAGAGAGGAGATTATCTAGAAAAATAAGATAAGATAACTTGTATTTACTATACCAATAAAATTACTGAAACAAAAGACCAGTTCATATTTGATTCACCCTTGTATGTTAGAATTACTTTTCACTGACGTTTCGCTCACCAAGGTAGACTTTTGTAAGTACAGATAGTAGGAAGATTCATTTTGCGCAAATGGCTAAATGAACAAGTGAAAGTAATATATAATAATAATAAATTCATACCATATGGTGCCTCATCATATTTGTCGTTCTATCATAAAGTTTCTCAGTTTTGATTTAAATTTTGTTAGGCGATTTTGACGTTTTATGTCTGAATCTAATTTGTTGGAATCCATTGGACCTCGATGTAAAACTTCGTACATATACTGCGCTTTTTGCATTTAAATGGAAATCATGCTTGGAGTCAGGTATCATAAAAATGATAGTAGGCATTTACAGATGTTAGTGCAGATAGATGGCAATAAACTATTTTTCATTTTATAAATAAAAATCTAGTCATGATTTTCAATGAAATGTTCAATGTTAAGCCATTCTAAGGTACTGAGCATATCATTTTTTGGCGTATATTTATTTTTATTTAGTATTATTATCATACAACTATTTTTGTATATTTTGCACTATACTAAAAAATTGGCAACTCAATTGTATTATAATTTATATATTTCTTACTGTATAGAGTTAAACTCTAATACTGTCAACTACTATGCCAAGGTATTTGAAAAAATCTATAACATCAATGTTTTACCGCTAATATTTACGTATACATTTATACAATGTTTTTCCCAATAATCCTAGCGGTTGTTTTGTCTGTGTTCAATTTTAATTTGTTAGATATTAGCCGTTCTGTCACAAATTTATAGTCACTATTAATAAGAAAAATAACGGATTAAAATTTTTGAGTATTTACATAAATTAAATTATCAACAAAAATTTGGATTTTCCAATTTTTTTGTATACTGGACAAATGAGTTATATACAAGATGAAAAGAAGTGGTCCCAGGATACTATCCTATAGGACTAAATATTAATAAATAAATAATATAAAAATATTTTTTATATTGCTATTATCATAATATTTTTCTATTGTCATTTTTATCGATCCTTATTTTGAAAAGGCCACGATGTGACTGAAACGTCAATAATGTGTAATTTCGACATATGTGGTTTCATATGGCAAGAGAAACATGGAGTTCTATCAGCATGAAAACTATAGGATATGTTTCAGATGTTACAATAATAATGTGTTTCTGCCTTTACTGTAGATGGACAGCGACATTTTTGAGTAAAAATGCAATTCAGATGTCAGGAAGGCATGCTATTAAACATTACTTTCGTCATATATACCTAATACGCACTGCACTGATTAACGTATTCTTTAAAATGTAGTGCAAGCTATGGTTAATATTATCTATTCCAAATTTTACATTTAACAGTTACGGCTACTGTCACCTCAACTGGATTTTTTTACGTAATAAAGATGCTGAATTAAGCAAAGCAAATATAATGGTGGCTTCTCACTACGCGTGCTACTACGCGTCGCGCCGCTCCACGCGCAAGAACACGCCACGCGACACGCCGCGCCACCCGTTTGTGCGGCGCGGCGCGGCGCGTGCCTTCTGGCTTTACACCTCAGTTTGATTCAGTCTGTTTAGCGCAGCGCACTATGTCTTGTGAGTCGAATTGCCACCTCCAGCCATGGAGCAATGCCACTGAAGAAGAAGGCATGGCTGTTGCATCAGCCGTTTTTGTCTTATTTTGTGGATATCGTTTACTTAATAAAATTAACAAAAACAAGAAGAGGAGACGCTGGTGGATGTCAACGTTCAATAAGAGCCGGTCAAGGTAATCATTGTTTGTATTTTGAGATAATTACATAGGTACGTAATTTTTAAGAATCCTATCAATATATTTGATGGTATCTATTGGTAAGTTTGGCGCGTTTTAAAATGAAACTTTGCTGCCGGAAAATTTAGTAAAAATTATTGTATTTTTGTTTCAGATACAATGGATCAGATATGCTATCGGATTTTGTTAAAGAACCGAGCAGAAAATTTGAGAACTTCTGTAGAATGGCACCAGAAGATTACAACTATCTAATGAATAAAATAGGCCCTATCATTGCAAAACAAGATACCCATATGAGAAAATGTATTCCAGTACAAGAACGGTTTGCAATTGCTCTCAGATTTTTAGCAACCGGAGATAGTTACACAAGCCTTTCATATCTTTTCAAAGTATCTATCCAAACAGTTTCAAGTTATGTCACGGACGTTTGTAAAGCATTGATAAAAGAACTATCACAAGAAATAAAAGTAAGTAGTAGAATTAAGCATTTATTTTTTTCAAATCGTAAACAAATAGAAATTGACATCATCCATTTAAACTAAATTACTACCCTTCTCTTCATAGAAATCTTTTAATAGACTTTGCGAAGCTGATGTTTCGACTTGCGACAGCTGTGGAGATGGATAGTTTGGGGATGGCTGTGGAGAAGATAATGAATGATAGGTTGGGGATGGCTGTGAAGAAGGCGATGGATGATAGGTTGGGGATTGCTGTGGAGAAGGCGATGGATGATAGTTTGGGGATGACTGTGAAGAAGGCGATGGATGATAGGTTGGGGATTGCTGTGGAGAAGGATATGGATGGTAGGATGTGGATGGCTGATAGTAGAGATTGCCGGAATGTCCAAAATTCGTGGGCTGTGGTGGGTTGATTAGTATTTGTGCATGTGGGTTTGACGATAGTTCTGTTTGCTTCAGATTGAAAATCAATCTATCAATTTCCAACATCGCTATTTCACGTGTATTTTCTGGTAAGCCTCTCAATTTTTTGCACAATAATTGTGTGTATAATGAACATTCATCTTGCGGGATTTGGGGTTTTTGAGTCATTTGTTTTATATAGTCGTATGCTTCGTTCATTTTATTTTCTATATCAATATTTTTAGCACGTTTTTTAGGAAGAGGTTTTGGTCTTTTAAATTGAACTGATTCTTCATCATCCTGTTTACTATCTTCAGAGGCATCTAAATCACGGTTATCTTCTATTTCTTCTGTCGTCAGTGACCTAAAAATAAGAAATATTCATGATAATTTACAATATTTCTATTTGTTTTAGCTGCCACGGACATCATCTGACTGGTTAAGGATAGAGAAAGGATTCCGCAGAACTTGGAATTTTCATCACTGCTTAGGAGCTATCGACGGAAAACATGTGCTAATACAAAGTCCTATTCATAGTGGATCTGAGTTTATCAACTATCACAAAACATTCAGTGTTGTATTAATGGCTTTAGTCGACGCGGATTACAATTTTATTTTTGTGGATTGTGGGTGCCAGGGCCGAATAAGCGATGGTGGTGTATACAGAAACACCAACTTATATAAACAAATCTGTAGAAAGGAATTGGGTTTTCCACCGCCAGACTGCTTACCGCTGAAAGTAACACCTCTACCTTACGTATTTGTTGCAGACAGTGCATTTGCTCTAACGGAAAATATGATGAAACCTTACGCTGGAACTCATAATAAGGGATCTAAAGAACGCGTGTTTAATTACCGCCTTTCACGAGCTCGACGGATTGTTGAAAATGTCTTTGGCATTATGTCTGCGGTGTTTAGAGTACTAAGAAAACCCATGCTTTTACAACCAGATATTGTAACTGATATTGTGATGACATGTGCATTGTTACACAATTTTTTGAGACGGTCTAAAAGGTCTAGACTTATATATACCCCTCCTGGATCCTTTGATACCGAAAATGATGATGGCGAGATTCAGCCCGGTTCTTGGCGTGATGACCAAAATGGAGTTGCTTCCCTACTACCACTCCAAAATCGGCCAAGAAGAGCACCTCTTTCCGCCAAGAATATAAGAGACCAGCTTGCAGAATATTTTATAACAAACGGTGCGGTTGCCTGGCAAAATAATTATTAATTTTTTAAGTAAATAAAGTACTTACCTCAGAATCCTTCGTTTTCTTTGGAGTATACACATCATTCAAAAATTGGGCCATCACATTATAAAATGGCCAGTCAGGCTTATAGATTTCATCAGCACCGCTTCCAGACTTTATTGATTGGCAAACTTTACTTCTTAATTTTCTATAGGTTCCCATTAAAGAATCCCTTTTCTTTTTAATTTCTTGTAACGGTATGGTACCACCTTTTAAATTCTGTTTAATTCGCAGCCAGGCATCATGCTGGTCGTTTTTGTTTTTATGCTCCGCATTTTTCGAATTCCACAGAGAGGGTTCGCCTTCATACAAAGTTAAAAATTCGGCGATCGTTTCATTCGGCCACTCCATATTCACCACAGTACCTCAACGTAGGACGAGTCAAAATGAAATGAACGAGTTCAATCGTGTTCGTCTGTCTGGGTAGGTACACGCCGCGCCGCGCCTTTGAAGTTACCGACTTTTAGCGGATAGGTCGCGCCAAGCTCTTCACACTGCGCGAGGCGCGTGCCGGCGCGGCGTGGCGCGGGTCAACACGCGCAGTGAGAAGCCGGCATATGAAAGATGCCACAAACTCCATTTCACGAGTATCCATCACGTTTTGACCTCTACTGAGGTGAACAGCTGCAAGCAAGTGACATCTTTGTATTGGTAACGTTGCCATGTTGCCAATAATGAATCGGGTGTAAATATGGTAAAACTTGCTTATGGCGATTTTTCTGTATGCAAGTAAACTTTTCTAAATGAAAGTGTCTTCAGCAAGTACAAAATGAATCTGTAGCATACAAAAACTAAACAAAATACGGCTATGTCTACCTGGCGTTGACGGATCAGTGAGAATTACGTGTCATTAGCCGATATGGGGAATTTTGAAATATTAGTAGATAATCAGCTGTTATTTTACCGTAATGGATACTCGTGAAACAGACAATATAGCTCAAGTGATCTGGTTTTCACTAACCTTCAATTCCAAGCCGTATCTTCTTTAAGCCCCGATCCTTCAGCACCTGCTTGGCGACGTCTCTGTTCTCGATGTACTTAAAGAACCTGTACATGGCGGTACTGTTAACTGTCTGACTATATTCCTCGCCCATTTGTGGCGGGTACTCCTCGTCCCAGTCAACCGTATCGTCGTCTAACAGTACTACCACATGACATTCTCTGTCGCCACGCTGAGCAGAGCTCACCATCAGTGGAAGCACGAGGTCTTCCAGAAATACCTCAAATTGACATCGGGCGCCTTCGTTTGACAGCTCGTGGAGGAGACCCCCTATATATTTAAGAATTCGTTGCAAGTGTGGTGAAAGGAATCGACAGTACATATGTTGTTGGACACAAATTTTAATTTGGTCCAGATGTTTCTAATTTCAAGAACTAGAACTTATATAGATTCTCAAAACATACGTCATCCTATAGCTACTATAATACACGATTTAGTTTAGTATAAAAAACAGAAATATCTGCATGAAATTCATCTTTTTTCGGCCTGACCCAGATTGTACCGAATTTTAATTACAATGAGGAAACTTTAAAAAACCGTTGAAATTTACTTTGTGCAGCCTTAAGAAACGATTGAGGTTTTCCTAATATCTTTTACCTAATAAATTACATATATTGTGTTGACTAAAAAAATGCTACCGCATAACTTCAAAAATGCTACTTTAGGTCCAAATTTTTTGTTCTGTGATTCACACTGCCGTAGCAAGTGTATATTCGTACAGCCCGCAAAAAGTAAACACAGACACAACAATCTATGTACTTTTTAGGTTTAAATGTTTAGTTGTACCATATACAGGGTGACTTTGAAGTTGAGTCATTAATTTTCAGATAATGATTGTAGAAGGAAGATAAACCAAAATATGTGTGTAAAAATAAAAAAAAATGTTACCTTGTTTTATAAAGTATCCTCCCGACAAGTATTTCAGTGCGGACCTGTATTTGATCGTGAGGTCCCCTGTGAGGTCTGAAGTCACCTGATTCACGAGCCCGTTGTACTACATTAACAAAGGCACGAGGGGTTGGTTGCACTCGATTGGGAAACCGATCCGCATAAACATGTGCCATTTTTTATTTCGTTTGAGCCACGCAACAGACACTATTCACACGCGACTGACACTAACTGTATGTATAACTGAACTGAATAAAATAAACATCGTTCCAAATTCTTTCGCTTTTTCGTTTCCGATGCGATGAACCGATAAGGTGGATTATATCCGTTGTTGCCAAACACGAGTACATGATATTATTGAGACAGGGCGGTACTCAAACTTCCAAAGGGCTATAACTTTGTTACTTTAATTTTACCAGAAAAATGGTAAAGGAAAAATACATTTCTTTTGATCAGATCTACTCACTGTTAAAATAAATGACTCAACTTCGAAGTCACCCTGTATATCTATTTATTCTAGAATTTCCTCTCCTTTGAATCGACGCCGCTAGTGCATTTGCGGTCACGTGCGCTATGGAGTTCGAAGTCTTATATGATTTTCAAATTATACAACAAAAATATACCTTATTTCAATGAAGAGATTTTCACCTTCTACATAATAGTGGGTATGTATTTTACATTTTACGTTTGAAATGATTACTACTACTACCTCAAAAAATCAAAATCAATGAATTTGGAACACCATAGAGTATTTTTATTTTTTTTTTAATTTTACGTGCAGTAATACAAATTCGATAAAACACGGGACCACCAATTTTTTACCATCAAATCGATTATTTTTGTTATAGTTATTTTTGGATGTACTTTCTACGCTATAAATATACCATTTTCCGAATCCCACGGTATATGATCTTAGAATGATGCGGTATCCTTTAAAATGAAGGAAAACCCAAGTGTTGGCAGGAACGAAAAAACACTTCAAACGAGATTTTTAGGAATTTATAAGACCTGCAGAATGAGACACGTAAAAAGATCCGAATAATAGTAAAAAAGTTATGGCCGAAAACCGAGGCAAAATGCAGGTTTTGGTACTTTTTGCTAATGCTTCGATACTTTCACGCAGCTACTTGAAATTCTGCAGATCCGTACGCTTCATACTTCTAAATTACCGCAACAAGATTGGAGCCGATTGGTCAAGTAGTATTTGAGAATTTCAAATTGTTTATTCCAAAACACCTATCTTATGGCCATCACTACTAGTTTACTGAGCAATCTACAGGGTTCGTTCAAAGGGCATTTTATAGCAAAATACACGAGTTTTTTCAAACAAATTCAAACATTTCGTATTTGTGAGTAATTGAACAGATTCGCTATGATATTCGAAAAACATGCGTTATTATTCACATTTTAAAACAAAGCGGATGTGGAATGTGGATGTGCGCAAATTTGTGGATTCGAAACCTCCGTACTGTGGTTCTGCAATCGTTATTCCTTCCCATTACACTACGATGCCTCTGGGTTTACTGGATATTTATACCACTATAGTTGACACTTTCAAATGTCAAGCGAACGTTGGAGGCATATCAAATCTGTTATAAACAATTAGAATACTCTTAAAAACCATACTTGATACAATGCTGAAACTTCAAATAATGTGTTAGGGTCTAATACCGAGCATCTTGCTTAATTTTTCAGACGGTCAGTTCGCTACAATTGGTTTATATTTGTCTACGGTTTTTTCTTTTTCTCGAGTTTATTTTCCAACATATTGAACTCGCAGTCGTTTTAATCGTACGAGATTTCGAAAATAGACGTATACTATATTAATACTTGTAGCAAAAAGTTCCAGGGAATTACATTACTTCGGGAAGAAACTGAATTATGTGACCTACTTGTTTGACAAAGTCATCAATAATGCAGTCATTTAGCCCATGCTACATACTAACTAGTCTAAGACTGTTTGAAACATAATTGTCTTCAGTTTGCGTGCTAACTTTATAAATAGTTCAGGGCATTTCAGCTATATACTACACAAGAGTATGAAGAAATCTTGAAACATTTATTTTTCTTAGCAATAAAAGATGATAGACACATCCGCTTTGTTAAAATGTGTATAATAACGTATGTTTTTCGAATAATGTAGCAAATCTGTTCAATTACTCACAAATATGAAATGTTTGAATTTGCTTAGAAGAAAATAACGTAACCCTTCGTTTTTCGCATCTTTTGGAATGGCTTGTCGGCAAGGTAAACTCGTGTAATTGGCTATAAAATGCCCTTGGAACGAACCCTGTATATTTCTCACTAAACCAGTGGTGATGGCTGGATGACATATGTTTTGGGATAAACAATTAGAAATTCTCAAAAACTACTAATCGACTCTAATTTTGTTGTGGTTAGTTAGAAATTTGAAGCCCACGGATTTAAAGAATTTCAAGTAGCTGCGTGAAATAATCGTCGCATTTTGTTTCTGTTTTCGACCATAATTTTTTTACTACTAGTGGGATCTTTTTACGTGTGTTCTCATTCTGTAGGTCTCGTAAATACTTGAAAATCTTATTTGAAGAGTTTTTTCGTTCCTGCCGACACTTTCGATTGAATCCCCAAAAACACGTATTCTCATTCTTTGTTGTCGAATCAAAATAAGATAAAAAACAAAAGTTTTCCCCACCATCTTATATGGATTTTTTTTTTCGTTCCTGTCAACACTTTCGATTAAATCCGAAAAAGCACGTTTTCTCATTATTTGTTGTCAAAAAGTTTTCCCACAAAAATTGGTGTATCCATTTGATGCGTATATGCTTTAAATATCCCGTTGAATAACTTGCATCAATAAAACCAGACTTCACAATTATTTCGCAATCCAGGGGTATTTTCGTCTAATATGATTAGACTATCATGCAATGAAAAAACGACATGCATAAATTGTTATCAGGTTTACTTTTTGTTGCAGTTTCCATAATATAACATTGGGAGCGTTCAGCCAATGTAAAGTGGTCCAGCTATGTAGGGCTTTTATGCCGAATAGCAGTAGTCGCGGAATAGCTTCTACAGTTCGCAACATTGATCAATACTATCAAATCTGACAGCCAAGTGACGACCTGTGTCAAACTGACAAAGTTATCCCATGGCTATTCATTTTCAGCATAAAAGCGCTGTACTGCTGGTCCGCTTTACGTTGGCTGAACACTCCCAATACCTAAACTAGCAGAGTTACTTCAAACGTCCTCTCCCATGCAATACAGGTTGGAAATCGAAGAAGGCTTAGGTAACGGACAAAAAAATCAAAATACTTCAGCGCCTCGTTTCAGTTGTTCCGTGTAGACAACTTCGCGTGGCCATATAGTAAAATTGACCATTTCCTGAAATGTATCATTATCTATTGGCCAGATCATGATGTGTGTTGACTAGATCAATGAAAGTAAATCGTTTAACAAGATGATCAACTAAAAGCGCGACTACTTTGTGAGATGGTCAAGTATGTTTGATGAAATCGTAAAATATTCACACTAATCACCGATAACGCTGGCAGCTTTTTGTTTACATTTCAACGCCGTAGTCATTAACAAACTTGTTATCAAATGGGGACGAAAGTAAGATCAAAAGACTTGACGACAAAAAGGTACTCGAGTTCGAGGGATGTCTTTTAAGTTTTGCATATGGAAAAAAAACAACACGGTAGGTAGTTTTAAACGACTTTATTGTTTTTCGAAGTATTCTCCACGTAGATTAATACACATCTGCATGCGATCGAACCAATTTTCGAAGCGCTTATTCCACTTGTCTGCTGGCAGATCCAAAATGGCATTTTTGAAAGCGTCAACTGCTTCTTCTGATGACTGGAACCTTTGACCACGCAGTCTGTTTTTAATTTTCGGAAAAGAAATCGTTAGGACTTAGATCGGGACTATATGGAGGATGGTCCAATAATTCCACGTTTTCTTCCGTTAAATACTGCCTTGTTCTGTGTGCGAGCTTGCATTGTCTTGGTGGAGGATGATTCTTCTTTCAAGGTTGATTTTTCGAAGCTCGGTGATGATTTTTGGCAAACAAATGGTGGTATACCAATCCGCAGTAACAGTTCTTTGCTCATTAAGAGGAACTGTTGCAATATGACCCGCTTTTGACACAAATGTCGCGACCATCTTTTTCGAAACACTTCGAGAACGGATGACTTTTGTTGGCTTTTCTTCACCTTAGAACACCCAAACAGCCGACTGTCGTTTATTTTCTGGTTCATAACAGTAAATCCACGATTCATCACCACTAACAATGCTGTACGCATTTTTTGAGTTTCCGGAATTGAAACGGTCAAGCGTTTTTTGACACCAGTTAACCCTGGCTGCTTTCTGCTCGTCAGTCAACAGGGGGGGTATCCAACGAGAAACTAATTTTCTTACTCCTAATTCTTCATGTAAATTTTTTTGAATTGAGGTCTTTGAGATCTCCAACGACGCCTCAATCTCGCGATATGTCACATGTCTATCTTCAATGATGAGTTTGCGCATAGCATCGACGTTTTCCTGGGTGAATGCCGTTTTTGGTGCACCCACCCTGGGATCGTCTCTAAGACTCACCCGTCCACGTTTGAATTCTCCATACCAACGGGAAATTGTCGACTGATGTGGCGCTTCGTTGCCGAAAACCGACAGTAACTCAGCAAGGCATTCTTGTTGCGATAATTGTATCTGAAAGTTGTAATAAATTATGTCGCGAAAATGTTCTCGGTTGAGTTCCATTTTTCTAATGACTTGGTGACACTTAAAAATTCACTGTAGTGAGAACACTGCACGTATTGTTGTGAAACTTTGAATGTAAGTTTACTAAAGAGTGAGGTTCAGATTCAGTACTGACGTTCGATCCGCGCGGCCTACTATGTTTCTATATGCTAAACTTAAAAGGCATCCCTCGTACTAGGCGGCTCACGCAAGTATCGAACAAAACATGAAAAAGCCGTAGCGTTAAGAACGCAATTCACAGGTTAGTACTTCTCTCTTCAATTACATTATTATTCATTTATTTGAAGTCAAAATCGTGTATCAGCTAAAATATGATTTGTCTATTGAACTATATATTATTCTACGTACCTATGTAAAAGTCATCGTAATTTTCATTTCATTTTTAGGTTATATGTCAAAGAAAGCAGACTAGCGTGACCAGGCGAGGTAATAATTTAATTTGTGATATATGATATGTTGAAAAATTTTATTTGTGAGACGTTGGGCAAATTAAGAATGTTTTAATATAATCATTTTATTTTGATTTCTTAAAGTCACTAGTCTTAATCACAATAGATGTCGAACCTGAACAATAAACAAGTTTGTAACATAAATTCTGGATTTTTGTTAAATATTCTATCGACACCCTACGTCAGGATATGATCAATCGTAGATGACCGATGTTGACGATTTAACGATGTGGTCAAATTTAGTGTACCATTTCATGAAATACTCGATCGTTTCATGGAATGGTCACTTCTATGAAATGGCTAGGACATCAATGTGTCTATTCAATTTCCGTCTTTCCTAAGAATACCTTCCCTTATTTCCCTTCTGCTAATACCGAACAACAGTGCAAAATGGTGGAGAACGGACTAAGTCACCCATCTCTTGACTCTGTGTTCTAGACTACACAGTTTTCATGGTACCTACTTAAATTCTGACATCTGACAGTACTGGCGTCAAACGGCACCAACAGATAATCGCATGCCTCTCTCAACTCTTGCACAGACACACTAGGCGGGCATTTAATCATTCCCCCTTTATAGTATTCCAAAATGGCTCTAAAAACGGACGCGGATATGCCTTCAGCCACCTCGTACTCTCCCCTATCGTTGGGATGCGTAAATTCTATCGAGGTGCTAAACATTCTGCCTAGCATCGTATTGGGGTGCGCCGTGAATATAGCCGGGTCTACGACAAACCTCGTGTTATCCACCACTACCGTCACCCTGTCATCTGTCATATTGGCTAACGCGGTGGTCGGTTGCGGTGACTTTTGGCTGGGTTGACAACCGGAGGTTCGAGATCTGGAAAATAAGAGAGTTTAGTTTAGATGCTAGACGAGGGAGGGATGGTTCCTTGCCTATTGCGAGGAGCATTTGGACATTGCTTAGGAGTAGCTAGAGTATGGCAGCGTGTTTCTGTTAGAGATGATGAACGTTGTACAAGGCACGGTTTTGGCTTCGACATTGACCCATAACTAGGCAAAGCAATAACAGTGTAATTAGATATGTAGTTCATTGTGGTGCTGTATATTTCTTAAATTACATTAATATACCTGAAAAGTGACTGGTGATAAGGTAGATTTGGTGGAAGAAATTTAAGTTTGAAATGTACACTATTGGGAAAGACAAGAGCCACGCCATCTGTCAGCGGAAAACGGCCACTTAAGGTATTTTTTAACGTATTCCATCTCGCAAATGGCTTAATTTAATGTAGTTTGTCCACTGTAGCCACAGCAATTGGACTGCAGACGTGATGGCTATTTGCATTCTTATTTTCGGTGTAGCATTCGGATTTTTGTCCATGATTTGCACAGTTGATGGAATAGCAATGAATCCACGCCGTCAGTGCCGTGAACGAAACGCGTCCATTAATCGCCCTTTCCAGAAACCCTACTGGATCTCTGATGATGCGATATATGGTATGCCATTCATCCGACGAAGATCAGTGGGCGTAGACGCACCTGTATTTGAAAATAAGGAAACGATTCGAAAATCCTTTCAATAAAATGATTAATGGTTCTCTTCTCAAAGATAGGATGATCCAATTCTTCGAGAAATGAGTACAAAACAGATGGTCATGTAGAAAGGTTTCAAAAATGACCAAAAGCAGACTTTGCTTTCCCAATATTACATCAATGAGTAGGCAAAAATTATGCAGCAAAACTGGGAATTGCAACTTCTTGGCCAATATTATCATTTTCTATGGAAATATGAAAAATCTACACATCTCCAAATAATAGGTGTAGTTAGATAAGGCATAGAGGTATTTTTTTTTCTAAAAGCTACAAATGTAAAAGTGCCATTGCTCACGTTGTGAGAATTTTATATGAGAATAGTGTCGCATATTTCATTTTGTCCACAGTTTCACAATTAAAGACTTTAAAAGATGAATGACTATTGTATTTTAGCCAAAAAGTAACAATTCTAGATCACTGTGAGGTCACCAAGTGCGGTCCTCAATGTGTGATTAGTGAACCTCATAATTTTAAAAATCTAATTTATTTTCACTGTTATGAGTTTATAAGCCAAACAGTCATAAACCACCTGAAACATAAAAATAAATAATGAAAAGTCAACGAAAAAGTGAATTATAACTGAGAAGTGAACATAAATTGCATATGGGCTGTAGAAAACAACCATAAAACAGATAGAGCTTGATGAGTTCACTCGACAATTATAATCCATATGAAAATATGCTAAAATATGTGTTAAGATATGTTTAATAGAGAAGAACAGGGTAATTCAAGACAGCACTAACATGAACAAACAATAAAATGAAATTTATACACTTTGTATAACCTTTATCTCATCACATATTTAATTAAACAAAAATTAAGAACTACATCTTAAATAAAAAATAAAGTATTGAAAAATATCTGCAACACAAAAAAATATTTTAAGTGAAACTATCAAAACGTGATGGCAAGAGAAGTGAGTTATTAAAAGAGTAACAGACCTAAAATTTTGGGAGTAATAAATAATTCAACAAACAAAGCTGGGTGAATATACAGAATTTGGGATTTCAATGTTTCACCAAAAAAATCTTACGCAAATTAACAAATTGTGGAAATTAAGCATCCAAATACTGTAAAATTTCATCCATTATTTGGAATATATGATGAAATTGAGGTAACCATTAAGATTTAGACACAATATGCTTAACAAAATGTATGCTTCCCTAGCATGCTAAATTCCTGACATCAATACATCTCTGTTCATATTTAACTGATATAAGAATATATGAATACTCTTTGTATTGCTAAATACGTATTATAACAAATTTTTAGGAAAAGAGATAATGAATAGTTATATAAACACATAACAACTACGTTTTTAGTGGTTCCTGAAAATTGTGTCACACTCACCTGGCGCAAATTGCATATTATCTTGTAAAGGGAACTATTTCAGAATATGACCTTAATCAATAAGTAGAAAATCAAGAAATGTCAGTTTGAAAACACAGGCATTACCCTGAGAGCCAGTAAGCTCTCAAGCTATATGATTCTCTTATTTCAAGAAAGTTGGAACTGAAGAACTAATGAATTTATTTAGTTGAAGGTATTTGTATTCTGTTTGAAGTATATCTTTCATAGTTTAAATGTCACCCTCCTGGTCACACATTGTTTCCTGGTACTTATAAAATCTATCAAAACCAAGATATTATCTGACGCTGTCAAGTAAGTATCACATACCATATAGACTTGTGATAATGAACATGAAAACAGGATATTTTTCTTAGTTGGAACTGAAAAAGAAAATACTGCATATTCACCCATATAAAGAGTTAAATTATTATGAAACACTTAACACTCAAGTTAAATTAACAAACTGAAAAGACACTTTTGGACCCAAAGCTGGCAGGGACCATTTTGATTTCAAAATATAAATACACGCTGATTGTGAAGAATTGTTCAATGAATAAAATATGAATTAAATGACAAAATAATTATGCAATAAGGAGAATTTCAAGATAAGTATTAAATGAGGTCTTAATTTTGTTATTTAATCAATGATTTAAGTCAATTCTATGATGAGTCAAAAATAGTATGCTCAATAAAGAAATAACTATTTTTATAGACAAAAATAACAAAGGTTATCAAATTTTTTCAACAATTCAGATATATATTACTCAGTACCTGTAAGTGAGGAAAGAAATGAGAGTGATTTGGAAAAAAATGTATTTTATCCATGAACATTTCTGGAACTGTAGTTTTCAAATATTATGACTCACCTTAAATTAACAATAACATTGATGAGGTTTAAAAATAAAGCATCACTTATCTGACCAAGCCAAGTTTATGTATGTACATTGGTTCAAAAATAGTACACACTCAAGGAAGAATATTTTGAGAATAATAAAGCAAAAACCGATTCTTGAACAGCATGAAATGTATTGTCAAGGAAAATATATATCAATGTAGTCTTGATCCACCAAATATACCAAAAGGACTATTGGGGAGATACCCAAATGATCTTTAAACATATGTATAGTCAAATGAAGCGTATTCAAAGCAACAGTTTTTAGGATGAATATCATTTCCTGATAATTCTGAGCCCAAACTTTAGATCATTGTCAGCTCCTCCCATTGTCCTATTTATATAAAGCTATTGTTGAGTGTGAGAAATAAGGTGTACCTCATGCGATTTTTGAATACCCTTCTCCTTCTATCATCCGTGTAATCTTCTGTATCGCTGCTAGTGTCGTTGTGATATAAGTGACGGTCACTCGCACCAGCCATTTGTACGCTGGGCAACAAACACTTTAGGAACATATAAACATAATCAAAACAATGATAAATCTCTCTGGAATTGATCCAGAACATAGAACGGAATCATGACATGAACGTGGTGAAGTATTGATTTGATGACGTTTTTTGGGTAGGTGAAAGGTTGTTTTTTCTAGTTTGAAGGCTGTCCACTGTCAGCTGCTTTCTGACAAATGTCAACTGTCAAAATGGAAGAAGTTATCGACCGCCTTCCTCAAGGAATATACGAGTGGGTGGGGTGGGTTACAGATTGTGGATTATAATTTGTAGGCCAGGGATTTTATTACAGAAATACGTTTATTCAAAATTGTAGCCACTCTTGAAATATTTTACGTAGCTGCTGTTTTATTGCTGTTTTTTAACTTCCAAATGCATTTTCGAATGACATTAATATTTACTTACATCACAATATCTGCTTCGCCCATACAGTCTGGTACCGAAATGGAAGAAAGTAGTGAAACACATCGTGCACCACTGTTAAGGCTGTCTTTGAATACGCCGCGATCCGCGTGCACACACTTTACCGATAAAAAACTACCGTTTTGGTACTCGAGTATACTGTAGTCCCATCCACAGCTTTGCGGATGATAGGACTTTCCTTCCAGGCATTCAGAGCGCCAGATATATCCCTGCGGTTGAGGCGGGGACAAGTAGAACGATAGCGACTTCTCTTCTGGCAAAGAGCCTGATGCCTGATGGTTTTATCACTGTCTCGAGATGCAATAATTTCATGCAATTTGAATTTTTCTAAGCCACACAATAGTAACAAGAGGTGCTCAAGCGCACATAATATTTTGACAGATGGCCGAGCTTTGAGGGAGTTATTTGTTTCGGCTTGATGGATTTCAGATCCATGACAAATTTTTAGTACGTACAAGCAATCTCGTCAATCGCCTCAGCTGCTGCGAGGAAGTTCAGATTTATTTTTAGAAACAAAGGATACCTTATTTTGCATGAACAAATGGAAAGGCATAGTGTAATATAACTTTCCTTCGTCCGAACACCGACGGCCAACCATGGACAGAGTGAATAGACTATAGCTGTTAAGCTTTCGTTCGTTGCCCACCGAGACCTAGCCTGTACCATACTGATGAGCTGTCAAATAGCACGAAACAGCGGTCCCTGGTTGGCCGTCTGTGGTCGAACGAATGGAAGCCATATGTATTACTAGTTTTTCCGATGGCGAGTAGTACCGTTATCTACTATATCATCAGAATCGGCGACATCTAGCGGCCACAGTGGTGACCCGGCTGATAACGCGAACTGGGATGCAGTTCCAACGGTCAACTTGATTTCTTCACTTTCGCATAGATCAGTTCTGGTAACAGATGATACTTTGTGCTGTAATATTTCATGGAAATGACAACGCAGAAATATGCATTATGTATAATTGTCAGCTACAATTGACAGTAAAAACTGCGATTCGCAATAATTATCAGCTGCAGGTCGCTATTAGCTATAATCATCAGTAGCAATTAGCTATAATTGTCAATTTAAGATTGCAAATAGCTATAATTGTCAGTAACAAGGTGCAATTAGTTATAATTGCCAGTTATAAGTTTCAATTAGCTTAATTGCTGGCTATTAGTGACAATTACCTATAATTGCTAGTTAAAATTGCAGTTACTTATAATCGCCAGCTAAAGGTTGCAACTGACTTTAACTGTGAGTTACAAGTTACAAGTATTGAGCTGTAAATGTCAGTTACAAGTTTTTCAAACCAATCTAGCTGTGACAGACCGAAAAATACGCGAATAATTCAAGTTGTTGGAAATATGTACCAACAATAAATCGACGCGGACTTGATATGCGATCTTTTCAAGGTGCGAACGCAATACAGAATGTCCTCCACTCAGGACTTATACCTCTCACCCTAGTAACTTTCCAGCCACTTGATGAAATAGATACAAGGCAGATATAACATTTTATTATAGGCGGAGGTCTCGATAACACACCTAAGAGTTTTTTGCCCAGTTTTATTTGTTATTAATCTCTTCTGGTAGACATTTCACGTATCCTAGAAGCAACGATATAAAAGTTAGGCACAGGGTAATGTCGCAGCGCAATGGCAGTCGGTCTTTCTGAACGCTGGCCAAGCAGATTCAAAAGAACTTCTCACACAACAGCCTTCCACCACTTACGTGTCAGGATGGAACTATTGTATTCGACTCAAAGGCCAACGCGGAAGTGTTAGCGAAGATCTTTGCTGCCAACTCCACCATGGCCGTTCCACCCCAATGCTCAAGTGCCGTTAATTCAAAGGGTTCCCTACACTATGCGGGAGGTAACATTCAGGCATAAGACCGAAAGACGAGTGCTCGTGTACTGATGAGGTATGCAGCAGAGCTTGCTCCAGTTATTTCGCGTCTCTTCCAGATACCTTATGAACTGGTACTTTCCCTGAAAACTGGAAATTTGCTCATGTCCAACCCATCCCAAAAAAAGGATCTAACACCGACCCTTACAACTACAGGCCTATAGCTCTGCTGTCTGTTATAGAGAGGTGCATAAATCGCGACCTTCTGGACTACCTCGTACGTCACAGCCTGATTAGCGACAGGCAGTATGGTTTCCGTTATTAACGATCCACAGGTGACCTCTTAGCTTACATACGCATTTGTGGAGTAAACTCATCCAGTCTTATGGTGAGGATCATGTCGTTGCTCTTGACATCACGAAAGCGTTCGATCAGCTGTGGCACGCTGCCCTCTTAAGCAAACTTCTATCCTATGGCCTCCCAGAAAAGCTTTGCAGATGGGTGGCTGATTTTATCTCTGGCCGCAAGATATCCGTCGTAATTGACGGGTTCTCCTCTTCATCCCACAACGTCAACGGGTGTTCCCCAGGGATCGGTCTTGGCTCCAACACTGTTGATCTTACATATCAACGACATCTATGATTATGAACGACCTTTACGATCAACCCAATCCACAGATTCGCGGATGACAGAATTCTACATGCAGGAATTCAGAGTGACAAGCCGATCTCTGGAAAAAAGAAGACTAGCGACGACTTCCTCTCTGACAAGAGACCTGGAGGCTATCACTGCTTGGGGACGCAACAATCTTGTAAAGTTCAATGTTTCCAAAACACAGTACTGTACTTTGCCGAACAAAAAGCTTCTTAGCGCTCATTCAGTTTCGATGGATGGCCGAGTTCTGCCAAAGAGCCATTCATTTCGGCTGGTCGAAGTCCAGATCACCGAGGACCTAATCTGGAACGAACACATCTCGTCAATAGCTGCAGCTGCTGGGAAAAGCTAGGGTATTTGTTTAGGGCTAAGAAGTACTTTTCTCCGCATGACCTTCTCACTGTATACAAGGCCCAGATAAGGCCTAGCCTCGAGTATTGCTTACACGTTTGGGGTGCTGCCGCACCGACTACATTATCCATGCTCGATGCTGTCCAGAGGAGGGCGGTCCGACTGATCGATGACTCTTCTCTAACAGACAGTCTCAGGACTCTTTCGCACCGGCGGGCCGTCGGCGATCTAGCTCTTTTCTATCGCTACACTAACGGGCTTTGCTCCTCAAAGCTCTCTTCCATGATGCCGCCGCGCGATGTGCCTGCCAGACAGACCCGCCTGACTTTGGCGTCCTATCCTAACCGTATCGAACTTTGTACATCCAGATCTGGCCGATAGGACCGCTCCGTTGCCCCGGGAGTATCGAGATTGTGGAACAATCTAAAAGAGGAATCTTTTCCCAGTTCCACTAACCTTAGGCAGTTCAAAAATCGTATTAACAAAATTTCTTTGGGATCACCATAGCAGACGCGGTGTTCCGGCATTTAGGCTTCTGCCTGCGCGGCTGCTTCGATATAAAAAAAGGAGCAATCGTCCGAGCCAGTTTTTGATCGAGTAGGACTGAGGAGAATATGGGTTTTAGAGGTTCAATTGCTGCCCCCATCCTCCCCGCAAGCTACAGATATTTCCAGCGAAACGTATTTCTCCTCTCTTCTCTCACTTCAGCGGTTACTACGCGAGTAACATTTTTATAATTTATATTTTACATATAGATTTATCTTGCCATGAGCAACAAGTGACAAAATGGTCAGGTTTTTCTGTTAAGTTTTTGTGCTGGCTGCGTGTATTGTTTGGTGATAAAGAAGCATTCAATTTTCGTACATTTACGGTGTCAGTTAAATGTTAAATTTCGTGTAGCTTATTGAGAAGCCTTTTTGTGATTGCCCAAAATGCCTAGAGTGCCTTTGAGAGTGAAGCCGATTTATCGATAAGAGAAGTTTCTAGGAGGACCAACAGATTCTTACGCAGTATATGCAAGTGTGAACGAGCGTGGACTCAGGAACGCCGAGGACAGCGAGCGAGGGGTTCTGGACGTCCCAGAGGGATCACAGAGCGACAAGACCGCCGGTTAAGATTTCTGGCTCTGAGAGACAGATTCAGTAGTACGAGCCCCTTCCCACTTCAGTTGACCCACTTCAAGATTTGTACCAAAATATGCCTTTATAAACTAAACATGACGAAACTATGTACTTCTCAAACAATTTATTTTCTCAAAAACATTTTAGATACACTCTAGTCGTAAAAAATACATATTTGAAATCACTTAGACCTATAACTAATAGAACATCTGAACAAATAAACAATGTGCGAATAAATGCGCGAAGTTTACAAAGCAACAATTGAAAGATTACCATTGGTACATCACCTTTATTTTTTATCACGGCTGAAATTCTTTGGGGCATAGTGTTAATTAAGTTTTGGTAAAAATTTAGTGTAAAACAATCCCATATTTCTTGAAGCTTTTGTCTCAGTTCGGTGATTGTACGAGCAGGATGTTGTCGTAGAACCTTTTTCATCTCGTGCCACAAAGTTTCAATAGGTGACAGATCTGGACTGCTAGAAACCCATTTCAAAAGTGGTACATTATTTTCTTCCATCCATTTTATAGCCTTTTTTGAGGTATGGCACGCTGCACCATCTTGCTGAAACACAAAATCTTGGCCGGATGTCAAACATTCTTCCATCACTGGTAAAAGCGATTCTTCTAAAATTGCCAAATATTTGTTTGCATCCACATTTCCATCAATAAAATGAAGTTTTCCTACTTCTTTTGATGACATACTGCCCCAGATCATAATGGATGCTGGAAATTTCACTTTTCTCTTTAGACAGTCAACACGGAATGCTTCATTTTTTTACGAATAACTCTACTGCGACTGTCACCAACACAAACTTCGAATCGGGCCTCATCACTCCATTGTATTGCACACCATTGTTGAGGTATCCATTGTCTATGTTCTTTAGCCCATCTAAGCCGATTTTTCTTTTGCAGTGGAGTTAATAGTGGCTTTTCTTTGGCCTTTAAACAAGTTGTGTAACTTTAGGGTTTTTACTTCACTTCTTTTATAAGAAAACTTACCTTGCAAGTGCTAAATACCAGTTTGTGGGCCTCTATATGAGTTGTGGACCTCGAAATTCTCCTTCCAACAGCGTCACTCCACAGAGCACTTAATTGTAAATAATTGGCACGCCTGTTTTTCACGATTATTCTTCGGTCGGCATTTGTGATATTACTTTTTTTCACATATCGTGGCTTAATATTAACTGACCCAGTTACGTTATATCTTCTACCAATATTTCTCACCCTGTCCCGCGATAAGTCTAACAAAGTTGCAATTTCTGAGTTTGATTTCCCAGAATTAAAAAAATTAATTATCAGTAACCGAATTTTCTCACTAATAACCTTTCCTCTACCCATTTTGAAAACCTTAACTACCCAAAACTATTTTAAATGTAGTCTGACAGCTGTGATTAATAAAAACAATTGTCATGGCTTTTATTTTTCTCAGCCACCTATGCGTTATAGACTTATTTTGCATTGAATGAAAATAGGTTGATATGTGTTATTTTTATGCTGCAAATTTGATTAGGGAGTGATAAAGTTGGTGTTGTCTACTATATATTATCAAAATATTCATTGTTAATATTTTAAACCTATAACACCCTGCTACATTTTTATTATTTGTGTTTTATAAGAAAAAACTAAATTTCAATAGTTGGGCCAACTGAAGTGGGATGGGGCTCGTACTCGGCCATCGCTAATCAGTGATTTGAAGAGCATGGAAGGAAGGTTGGTATACGTATGGTATATCGCCGCATACAGTTAGTTAGTTTCTTATCGCCCACATTGGGTGCTACCTCGCACAGCTGAACGTCGGCGCAACCGTTTGCTCAGGTGTAGAGAAAGAATTCTATGGGTCCAGGAATGGAATCAGGTGGACTTCAGTGACGAATCCCGCTTCTGTCTGGCCAGGCATTTTACTAGTAAGGGACACTGAACATATGCTCCAAAAATTATTGAAGTCGGATAAGCATACGAAGGTGTTTACCTTTTTTGTCACTCAGTATAATAGTCCGTGGCTACAAACAATACAGATGGTACTATGCATATATTTCCTGGTCTATTTCAGAGCGCTTGGGGTCTGCCCTCTACGTGCGCCGAGCCTCTACCTCTGCGCACAACGGTAAACAAAAACAAGCAGAAACATCCAAATAAACCACGTGTGTAGAATAGAGAAAGAGTGTATTTGCGATCGCATGTCTGTTCCCATACGTTGAATGTGAAGATCGTCCAAATCCAAACCGATTTTTATTTTTATTTTTTATAGAGGTGTAGGCAGGTGTGATTATGATGAGACTGTAAACAACACATTTACAGATAACGGTATTCATCATTCTCATATTCGGAGTGTTTTGTTTTTTCCGAGAAGCTCACATGTCTCCGATAAATAGAAAATAGTAGCTTTTCAGAAATATATATTTTTTCGAAATTATTCGTGTGTGTATCAATTCTTTTCCGAGGATAAGTACCTGGAAGAAGGTAAGTGAACGGTTCTTATTTTTATTTATCTCTCATCTTTGTGCAAATATCTCTTCAGGTGCTAGTAACCTACTTCTGCGTATGACACAGTTTTCTATTTCTGGATCCCAAAAGTTCATCTCGGTACACATTTATTCGTTACTGAACATGAATTAAACTAAATAACGTCTACATTTAGTGATATTTGTGATGGTATCTATTACCGGTTTCAAAATACTACCTGCAGAAATGAGGAGAGATCAACAAATATTAATAAACCTTTCATAATTTTAAATTCATTGACCCGGTGTCTACCACTTATTTTTGAGCACAGCTAGAGCATTACGTAGACTCTGAAAATTATATACCTATAGCTATCTAGAAAGTAAATAAACAACAGTGTGCGATTCCGTGAAGAGACAAAAAGATACGGTAAATTATCTGCTCATTAGTATGAAGAACGCCTACACGGTGATTACGTTACGCAGAAAATAAGGAAGGCCTGAGCTTGATAACAGTCAGTATAATGAAATAAAAACAAGGTTCCGTCAAATTTTTTATTCACCACTGAACACGATAACGAATACGTGGTGCCTGCGAAAAAAAAATTGAAATTTGTTACCTGTGAACAGTAATTTTTCAATTTCCTGAAGTATTTTACATAATTTAATGTACGAGGGGCCTAATGCCCTAATCAAAGTAATTTTCCTGAAATCGCCTCCTGAAATGTCGTAAATAAGACGTGGACTTTGGACTTTGAACTCGTGTTCAACGTCTTTCTAGCCAGTGGCGTAGGCAGCTGTAAAATTTCCTGAAAAGAGTAGGCTGGAAATATACTTTTTTAATACCAATCTGAGAAGTCGCCAATAGAGTTTTCAGTCCTGCTGTCTTGCTGCATCTTATAATCTGCTTCATTGCGATTTTGCGCAGTAGCGAGACAATCCTCTGTTATCCTTTACCGAAATAAGAAAGCTCCGTTAGTTAGGGAGAATATGGGAGGTCTTTTTTCATAAGGTTATATTTTCATTATTCAGACTGTCGTCGGAATTTGTTAATCGGATAAGCTTAATTAAAATAATTTTAAGTTATGTAAACATATTGGTTAAAATATAATAGCAATATGACAATATGAGTTTTAGATCACAGATAAAAATAAATGCAAGAAATAGACAGTGAGACCTACAAAATGAGTCCATACGTAAAAAAAGTTATGGTCGAAAACCGAGGTAAACTGCAAGTTTTGGCACTTGTTGGTAATGCGTCGATGGTTTCTCGCAGATATTTGAAATTCTTCAAATGCATAGGATTCGTACGTCTAAATAACCACAACAGAGTTGGAGTAGATTGGTCAAGTAGTTTTTGAGAGTTTCTTATCCCAAAACACATGTTTTCCGGCCAACACTACTAGTTTATTGAGCAATATACAGGATTCTTTTAAAGGACATTTTATAACAAGATACAGGAGTTCACCTTACCGACATGAAGCATAAGGCATTCCGAAAGATAATTGTTATTTTTATGCGAAAAACGAAGAGTTACATTTTTTTTTCTAACCAAATTCAAACATTTCGTATTTGTGAGTAATTCGCAACAAAATATGATAGACACATCCGCTTTGTTTTAAAATGTGTATAGTAACGTATGCTCTCCGAATATTGCGCATTTGTCGAATTACAAACACGAAATGTTTGAATTTATTTAGAAGAAAATAACGTAATCTTTGTATTCGCATAAAAATAACATTTAACTTGCACCAATAAAACCAGACTTTACAATTATTTCGGGGCAATTTGCTAATATGATTAGTCTATTATATGTACATAACGAAAAAACATGTCGCTCACTTCCATCCGTCTGTCTGTCGGTCTGTCCTCTAAGCCTTTTCTCGCCAATACCGGTCGGATTTTGATGAAATTTCTAAACAAGATTACTACTATTCCAACGATGAATTATTTTTTGAAAATCTGCCCAGTGGCGGCGAAGAAAAAGGACAAAAACGAAGAATTAAACATCGCTCAAACTTCGTTATTTGACGTTCCAGAGCATGACCGCCCATATAGCAAAATCAGGTTGTGCAGGGTAAAAAATGCTGAGAACTAGCCAACCCGTTGGTGGGGGTGCAACTATTCAAAATTGTAGCAGAAATAATATCTTTTATGTTGGGATGTTTTGAAGAGCAAAAAAACTCACACGCCGCTTCTTACTCAAGGATTGGGTATCTTATTAAGAATATTTCACTTTGAAGCAGAAGCCAGGGGGGTATATGCCCCTCCTTGATTACCCCCAACCCCAATGGGCACCCACGTTCCAGAGGATCCTGGTCATTTGTGAAAACGTTTTTAGAGGTAAATTATTGGTGGGGCGTTGTAGGGGGTGGTCAGAGAAATTACTCAATTTTTTTGATGTTATAATAATAATAAATTGCTTTTATTGCTCATGTAAGTACAGAAAAAGAAAAAGTACATAACTCTGCAGTGAGCAAACGGCAAGGTTCGCTTGATTGACAACCATTAGTTGTCAATCCGCGCTCTTCCACCTGTTAGTAGGGCTCCCTACCTCGAAAGTTCTGCGCATCTGTTAGACATACTTGACACAATAGATTTCCCCTTAGAATGATAGAAAAATGTTTTCGACACGCATACTACCTGCTTCTGCTTTCTGGGATCACCGGTAAGCATGCCGGTTTAGGTGAGTGTTCGGCCTGACCGCCGCTGTTGACTACCGGTAGGGTGGGGAAAGAATGTCTATGGAGTAATTGTGTGCACTTATTTGACTGAGTTAATCCGTTAAATTTCCTTGTTTTTTGTTTCTCATGTTCTGAACATAATCCTTTATGAACTGATGGCGGCGTTGCGTGAGAAGTGCAGAGTCGACCTACTTGACGTCATTTTTTGTTTATTGGCCAGGATAAAAAGCTTTCTTTATTTGGAAATTGGAATCGACCCAGTGGATGCACAGTTGTCCTCAAAGGTCGCAGAAAATATAATGTCCAATTTTTTGATAATTTCTGAAATCTCTATTGTCATTCTGATGAGCTAAAAAATGGGGCAATGAATTGGACTATGGCTATAGAAATTAAGGGGACGGGCGGGTGTTTTTTAACCGTAAACTGACATCGGGTTCAGAATTAAGAATTTACGCTCCCGATTTATCCAGATTATCCAAACGAGTTTCTATTCAAGTACAGGGTTATTAGAAATTTTCTCATTGTCATAGCAAACCTCAAAACATTGTGGGACCTTGGTGGACAACATTTTTTCATTTTTGATTGGCGTTATTGCAAGAAAATGAAATTTAGGGCATCGTGAAAAATGAAGTACCTATCGTGGATTCGAATTTGAGGTAGAAAAGTATAATGTAATGTTCGAGGATTTAAAAACAAAAAATAACTCTTCCTTGAAGAAACTTCAAGGGGATTTCACAGTAGGCTGTAACAATTGTTATCACGGGCTTTTAAACATTTGCGAAAATTTGCATGATTTTAAACAGATTCATGATTTTCAAAGCAGCCAACATTTTCAAAGTTTTCAGTAATTTAAAGAATGTGATGATTTTGAAAATTGTGGGAAGTTGAAAATTTTGAAAATTGTGCGAATTGGAAAAAAATTTGCCAACTTTTGAAACCCTGTGATGTTACAACCTACTGTGTGAGACACAAATGTTAAATCCTCTTTCAAATATTCATCAAAGAAGCGTTATTGTTTATTCGAAGTCGTCATTCCTCAAACGGCACTCAATGACTCACTCATCAAGGAACGCAGGCAGTTGACTCGACCATGTTGCATGTGTGAGATACGCCTTAATTAGTACTTCATGAAAATTGAAAAAAAAACACATTATCGTGAATGAAAATAAATATTACGCTTTTATTTATTTTGTGTGTTCCATTATAGTGTTTAAGTCGGCTCATACATGTAGTTATATAAGGCCAATAAAAATGAATAGTTTACAAAGCAGTGATTTATGATTGCGTCTAGTGTGAAAAAAATATAAATTGTAGATGATTACTTGGTCTGTATTATCCCTGCGATTGAAATGTGGTATCAGAATTTTATAAGTGGAGGAAATAGAGTCAAATAAGCTGACGCTCGGTGGAGCCTAAACAAAAATTGCTATTACTAATGCAACCCCTGCAACTTATGACGTGATTTCCGTGTTCATAGAACTCCATTAATTGAGCGAATCAAACAACATATATGTTTTAATTTCTGTTTATTTTACGAAGTTTTGGCCACCATGGTGACCTTTTTGTACTTTAACTGTTAAAATAATTGTTTATTGCAATGTGCAATTGTTGGTCATAAATACAAATTACAATTGAAGATTTTGGACCATGACCTATGCATATGTGCTAGCTTCCACTTCATTGTACTTGAGAAACGCCACCGCGGTGCCAGAAACTTCGTACAATAAACAGAAATTAAGACATGTATAGGGTTTGATTCCGCCAGACAATGGAGCTCTATTATACAATAACTACTCTGTGCCATATTCCGAAAATATGTTTTATATGCAAGTGTATGACAAAAGACTTCAGTAAAACATTTTTTCAATTAAGGGCCTTCAAGATTTGAAACACAAATCAGCATAAAATTTTTCATAGCATCCAATTTTTATATTGATTTTTCAGGTAAACTTCAGTTATGGCGGAAGCCCATTCTGCGGTAGCATTTTCTTTCCAAATCACCCATGAAGGTTGGGATGTGAATTTGGATAGAGAGGTGTTACACTTAGTATGGCAGTCAGGAATAAGGTCCTGGAAAAAGAAGGTCGCTAGGTTTGGGGTAAGTATCCAAAATGCAGGCATACATCATCTGCAAACACTCTTCACCTCATAAATTGAATAACTGCATGTTCTGATCATTATATACAAGTTGATTTAATAGGCTACTTGACTCATATCTAACTTCATAGAATATATAGATATAAGGTGTTCCTTACAGTATTTGGCTTACGAAAACGAAATATATGGATTTCAATTTTTAAAACCGCTGGATGTATGTACAGGGTGTTAGGGAAATGACATTCGTAACTTTAAGAGATGATTCCTTGCATTATTCTAAGCAAAAAAATTCATTATAACGTATGTCCGAAAATCAACCGTTTCGGACCAAAAAAATGCTGAACTTATTTCTTTTTAGCGATGAAATAAATTCATTTTGCACCTTAATAATTTAAATTCATCTGTCTAATAGCGTAACATGTATTTTTTTATACTCCAACTACCACGAAGGCCTAAGGCCTAAACACCCATTGGGTACCGTGGGGCTATAGGGGGATACAGGGGAAAGGAGGAGCGCCACACGGACTCTGGCGAGGGAACACGTGTGCATGCAACATGCACACATTCTGGCTCCGCCTACGAGATCCGCCGGGTGGTACCTCCACGTTCGACAGTCAGAGACCATCTACCACCTACGGACAATGACAACATCCATAGCCAAGAGAAAAATTTCTCCTGGGACGGGACTCGAACCCGCACAGCGCACGGCGACTGATCAGGACACCGAAGAGTCTACTATTCTGTAATCAATACATCTATTTATTAATTAACTATCTCTAAAAAAATAATTTTACTGCTTATTAAATACAATTTTCCGAAGAAAAACAGACAAACAAAATCCCTCACACAACTGGCCCAGGCAAAAAATAAATACCTACTTCAGGAAAAAATTATTTGATACTTTTTTGTATACGTTAATGGAAGTAATGTTTACCCTAATTGAACATTTTACACACACTTTATTATTCAGTATGTATTGCTGTATCAGTGCGTGCATTTTGATACGAAAGAGATGTTTTCGGTACGCGAGTATCACGATATGCTTATTACTTACGGAGAGGCTTATTGCAATTCTGAAGAGGCTAGGCGCATTTACGAAGAACGTTTTCCTGATCGAAGGCTACCAACTAGAACAACGTTCGTAGAAGTATCCCAAAGACTTCTGGACACAGGTAGCGTAGTACCTAATTTTAACATCGTGAAGTTGGAGTGGAAACCGAAGAACAAATTTTGAATTTAATTGACGAGGATTCGACACGGAGTACGAGAAGTATTGCTCGTCAAGTCGGTGTCTCACACTGGATTGTACATCGGACACTTAAAGAACAGTTATTGTACCCATATCATGTCCAGAGGGTTCAAGCTTTTTCGCCTGAAGATTTTCCACGAAGATCACAATATTGTAGCGAACGTGTTGTCAACACATGAGTCTTGTTTGACAAGAAATGGTATTTGGAATTTTCACAATTTTCATAATTGGGCGGACGAAAATCCCCATGCAATTGCACAGAAAAATTCGCAGTATCAATTTTCTGTAAATGTGTGGTTTGGAGTAATTGGTGACCAATTAATAGGACCATTTTTTGCCACATCGTTTTAACGGTGAGAGCTACTTAGCTTTTCTAAGAGACAATTTGCCCGTTTTGTTGTAAGAAGTGCCATTGCATACAAGAATGAATATGTGGTACTTGCACGATGGTGCTCTAGCACACGGTAGTCGAGTAGTTATGGAACATCTCAATAATACCTATGGGAATAGGTGGATAGGATGAAATGGTCCAAATGCTTGGCCGGCTAGATCCCCCGATCGTAATCCATTAGATTTTTTCTTCTGGGGATTCATGAAAAATTTACGCCTCTGAAATAAGGGATGAGAATGATTTAAGGATTGCCGCCGTTAATGAAATACGTAGTATGCCTGGAATTTTTCAACGAGTTAGACGAAATTGGGTTCGACGGTGTCAAGCTTGCATAGATGCCCATGGTTCCCATTTTGAACATCTATTGTAATTACTAATACATTTAACTGTAACTTTATGTGATTTACGGATGTTGTTTTTTTTCTTTTTTCGTGCATCGCATCGTTTCAAATAAGTGACTGATAATAGTGGGAATTGGTGGTAAGTTCTGTCATTTCTTTTAAGTAAATGTACTGTACTGAAAGTGTTATTAAATAAAAAATATTAGCCACAAAAAATAAAAGTATTCAATAATTCAAGGCATATTTTCAACAAAAATATCATACAGACGTAAACAATTCGATGAATCACTTGCGGTCGTCAAGCGCTCGTATCGCGGTTGCGTTGCCGCGTTGCCAAATGTTTGAGAAAATTTAATTATTTACGACTCACTTTCCTCGAAAACGATTGATTTTCGGACATGAGTTATAATGAACTTTTTTGCCTAGAATAATGCAAGGAATCACCTCTTAAAGTTACGAATAGTATTTCCCTAATACCCCGTATAAGTCCAATTAAAACAATGATGAAACGGTGAAAACACTTTGGGCCATGATGTGACGTCATATGAATTGTAAACAAAGATATGTCATCCATATGTCACTCGTGGACTAACGTCGTCTTCTTTAAATATTGCAAGACGCCACCAGAGAAGTAAACAACTCCCAATACCGCGAGTTAAGTCCCTTTTAGATGGACGCAAGATAGCTGGCATGGGTTTTTTTTAAACTAGGCATTCTGCATTGTACTTTAACTATTAAAATAATTATTGTTTATTGCAATGTGGGATTGTTGGTCATAAATACAAATTACATCGGAAGACTTTGGACCAAGTTCTATGCTACTTGCACCCGATAACAAATTAAAATGTTGGAACTATCACATATGGGTGCGTTGAAATATGAAACAAGCTCATATAAACATAGGACCGGAAATGCTTCGTTTCCATAATACGGGAGTGTTAAAACTTGTGCGGAGGTAGGCAAAAAATCCGACGATCTCCACCTACCAATGGTTTGTTGATCTTCATCCCGTACGACGAGAGATGACTGAAAATCATTACGTTACCGGCCTATAATTACTCGTCCTTCTGCGCAATGCACAGCTAGATGTACCACCACAATGGTAGACCCAGCTAGCAGCTGGAATACCAAATATCTCAGAAAACAGACCTTTCTAAGTATATATCTATATGCGACAGCGATTGAAATGGGCATGTTTGATTTCCGTTTCTGCAACCACGACCAAATGCAGACGCGCTGTTTCGTACTCATTCTACATGCCAATGTATAATGGAACAATTCCGAATCTATGCTTATATGATTTTTTATATACTTTTACTCGCTGGATATAACCCTTGATGCCCTAAAAGTATTGAGATTGAAGTTGCTTTGTATGAATTTGATAAAAAAACTCGATTGGTGGCTTTGATTTCCGCGAGTACCAATTAATAGATATATTGCTAATGTTACGGCAATTAACTCATAAGGGAAGCTGTCATGTGTAATTATAAGAGCATAATTGCAAAAAATTGCAGACACGCACTTTAGACCGGGGAGCATAAAAAGCAGAAGTTATAATTTCGTACTGTTATGCGGTACTTTGGCATCATCCATATGTGATTTGTTATGGGTTGAATAATGCAGGTAATTTTAATTTTAAAATTTGTTCGATACCGTGCATGTTTTCAATATTTTCACTTAGTAGATGAGTGTCTATTATTTAGCTGTCAACTAGTTGTGGCTAATATGGCTAAAATTAAAAAGAGTACGTCGCGACCTGAGGTCTCGGTAAGTAGTTCCACATTCCATCCAGGGCCACCACAGTTTTGTTTCCCGATTGTATCAAAAGTTTTGTTGAGTCACATGCATGCCTCAAAATGGGAGTGGGACTAGCGCGATAGTCGAAGATAAATTTTTCGTAAATCATTGAGGTCACGCTTAATAGCAACGAAATCGGACTGCCCTGTGTTGCACTTTTCCATCGGTCGAATACGACGACAAGGTGAATTTCAGTTTTGAGCAAAATATTTCAAAAACTCAGTAGAGAATCACCTTCTAATTTTACAGAAACGTTTATTTGATTTTTTTGCAGTCAGTTTTTCGACATTTTTTATATAGTTTCTTAAAAAACGATTTAGATACCGTTTGATGATTCCAATACCCAGTATTGTACCTGACTAACCAGAAGCGCTCTAGCGCTCATCCGGTTTCGATGATGGGCAAGTTCTACCAAATAGCTTCTCACTCTGCACAAGGTCTACATAAGACCCAGCCTCGTGTACTACTCACACGTTTGGCGTGCTGCCGGCCAGACTGCATTATCCATGCTCGATGCTGTTCAGAGGAGGGCGGTCCGCTTGATCGATGACTTTTCTCTAACGAACAGTGTCGGGACGACTCTTTCGCATCGACGATGTCGCCGCGGATGTGCCTGCTAAAGACCCTTACTCGCTTCCCACCTAACCGCGTCGACCGCAGCCCAAACTTCCAATAGACCGTCCTAGGTATAGAAAATCGGACGACAAGCTAAGCTCCTCTCACCGGGTTAGTATAGGCCGCCTACGCGCGCGCGAAGAAAAAACACACGCGGCAAAAAAAGTCTAGCAACACGCAGTCCAAGTCCGTATATCATAGATCCGCGACTGACATTGCGAACGAAACGAATTGTGCATTTTTAGGTCTTCCAAAAACACTTTACTAAAATATTTCCTTCCAAATGTATTTCTTTTCTTTATTATTCCACTCATTTCAACAATGGTTAGTTGTTTCCTCTACTAATTGCTGCATTCCACACTTTGATATAAAAGCAAAGGTCCTGCGGGCCGCCTTAATAGAACAACGAAACTGTCATTTACTGCTGACCAACCATTTCAGTCCATAGCTAAGAAACATCATATATCATTAATTTGTTTGAATGACTGTATTCCACAGTTCCTTATAGTCACTAATTGATAATGTGATAAAATATCAATATGTAATGTGATAGTCACTCGCATTGTGGAACTTTCGGAGGGCAGAAGGGATTTTGACTGTATACGCATTATACATACAGGGAAAACTAAATTTGTCTGACGGCTTGAGTTTAATCTGTACTAGAGAAGTGTATATCAACACATGTTAGAAAGAAATAGAAGCCGGCTGAAGTGCGAAGGTCATCACCACATTGCCTAGCGACGGTGACGCAAAAGGTCTTGCTGTCTGCCGCGTTGCCAATATGTTAGAACAGAAAATAATCGCACAGGTTTCTACAATAGGTTAGGTTACTGTCAAACCTAAAAAGGATGTCTATTCGAATGTCTAAGTTAATATTTTGTTTTCATTTTGCCTTCGGAAAACGTAACAATTACATACATTACGCAATACAAATTATCCCTGCCTGCGTGTACGCTGGTGTAAACCATTTCGAAGCAGGCCGACACTCCCCAATGAGCGCTAGAAAGGTACTGGCCAAAATCGCTCATCTATGATCATGGAGGTGGAAACCTTGTCTTGAAATGTACGAGATCCGGTGTTGCCAAGCGAACCAATGATGCAATGTTGCAGAATTTGTGGCGATCCTGACCTTTCATTTCAACCTAAAATGGAGCGCCGTTAGGTAGTAAATAAATAAAACTACCATTTGTATCAAGTTTCGAACGTAATATTTCAAAAATTGGTCAGTGGATTTATTTCACTTCTTGAGATAACGTTTTAATGCTTCTTTGATCATATCTGTAGTATTTCATATGATAAGTTCTCCTGAGCCCATCTAAATATTATATAATACATGAACAAAGTGCTCGATTTCATTTCGATTCAACACCTTGGACATATAAAAATATCAGCCATTCCTATAAATTGTGACCAAACGCGAGTACTACAGTCCGAGTAGATATAAGTAATTTTACAAATTGAAATATAAAATAATCGGAAAATAAAAAATATACAGTACATAACAACTCATTACGTTTTTTACTCATCACTGGTCTAAACCAGAAGCAGCAATTTTCTCCTTTTATTTCGCGCTACATAATTTAGAGCATTTTCAAGTAGTATAATCTATGGTACAACCTTGGTACTACTACAGCTGACGTTGCGTTGCCAACAAGGTGAAATTACAATTAATTATTATCAGATTTAATTGCTAATGAATACACAGGTATACGGTATATACAGTACAGACAGTATGTACAATAGCAATGAAAAGCATCCTCATTTAGTCAGTAAACACTATAACATATATATTACTTGCATGTTTCCATAGACTTTATCCATACTAATTCTTCATAGTTTGGAATCCAATGTATGTATGTACCACGATATAATTTATGCACATCTGGCAGGTCATACATACAACTGTGGGCGTTCGATTAATGTACTAAGTATGTCCAGATTAGTCATAAGTTCGAATGTGATAAATCTTCAATCATTAATCCTAGAATCATACCCTGGAGTACAAATGAAAACAAATATAATTAAAATCGTTCTTAACTTTTTTGCTATAAGTCGATTTGTTATTCGCGTCGCTTTATTGACGGGGGTCAGGGAGATGCGTTAATGCCTCAGTCTTTTTCTTATTAGAGCACAGCTATACCCTAGGGTATTGTTAATTTAATTCTGTTATGGCTATGGTGCTGGGGTTAAAGTCCAAAACTTTGAAAATGGACCAACTGACTGATGTACATTTGATAGGTTTTGACTTGAACATACTTGCATCTGTAATATGAACAAGATAGAACCTGTACCACAAAAGGAATTTTGGCAAAACATCTAGACGTATCTGCCACCTTTCTTGAATAATAATCTTAATAAATGCTCCTTTGGAGGCTAACATATGTTTACACTGAAACATTGAAGAATCACATGCTTGCAAAGTAGTTATGAGATATCAATGAATATTGAATTGCATATTTGCGTATGAATTTACATAGAAAGAAATCACTGTATGGAATTATATGTTAGCGCAGTTATTGTTAGTAAATAGTCAAAATTAATTTTACTAAATTTCGCACTGATGTACTTTGTATTTGAATCTAGCAAATTAGCAAATAAGCCAGTAAGGCGTCAAAAAGGGTTTTACTCTACAACAGGTTAGGTGTTCTGATATTTTTCAATCCTGTGTATTGGTCTATATATCAATGGAACCCAAACAGAATAAATTATTGGAAAAATACGCTCCATCATAACAACAATAATCAGTATGCCATCAACGTTTTTATTTCGTTTTTGCAGAATAGTATCCACAATGGAGTCTATCCAGGACATTATAGATACTTATGTTTACTCATAGGTATAGCAACAGCTGTACATTTTAACGGGTATAACGTGCCTTTGAATTTAACCAACAGACTATTACATCTACTACCTGGGTAAGTATACGTCGGTCAATCTGAGGACATAGTTAGCTCCGTTAGTTTTTGTTTTTTTTAGGCAGCCGACGCCTGATAAAAGGATTTTCACTATTAATTTTTGTCACGATTTGATCGAAAAATAAGCGTTTACTCTATTTGTAGCTTCTGTGCTAGGTCTGGAATTCCTACCTATACTGTACTATACGAGCATGCCATCGGGTTTTAATGTACTTTATATGCACATCTTATCAGTGCTAAATATTTTGCTAGTTTTGCAAATATGACGAAATTGAGATATGAAAAATGTAAAATCTATCAATAGATGTTTATGACGCTTTTTGAAATGCGTAATGGTTTTATACAGGGTTTTATATTACGATTTTTTATAATGATCTTTTTTGTTTGTTTTTTTATTTAGGTTTTTATATATTAGTATCTTACTTATAGATCAATTATTATTCATGCCCTGTTTAGTAATAGAAAAAATAGAACACAAGAGTAATTATTTGTAGCAAATTGAAGGAATATTCGAAAAATTGCGCGTTTCGAAGAAAAAATAACACAGGCGTACTATGTTTATTTGGAAAAACAATGCCACTAATACCCTGTATCTCCGCCACTGGTGCACTTTAATTTTAAGTAAAGACTTTTGAATGTAGACAAGGTAAATCCACATAACAAATTTTAGTTCATTCCAGTTGACGGTTTTGAAGATATTAAAAAAAATGTTTTTTATTTTTAAACTGCAACGCATCTTTTTAATGAAGCCCTTGAGGAAAAAATGTTACATACCCCTCTTAAAATGCTTTCCTGTGTACGAGGGATATCTTTTGAGTTTTGCATATGGAAATAAAACAACACGGTAGGTAGTTTTAAATGACTTTATTGTTTTTCGAAGTATTCTCCACGAAGATTAATACACATCTGCATGCGGTCGAACCAATTTTCGAAGCACTTATTCCACTCGTTTGCTGGCAGATCCAAAACGGCATTTTTGAATGCGCAAACTGCATCTTCTGGTTACTGGAACCTTTGACCACGCAGTCTGTTTTTAATTTTCGGGAAAGTAAAGAAATCCTTAGGACTTAGATCGGGACTATATGGAGGATGGTCCAATAACTCCACGTTTTCTTCCGTTAAATACTGACTTGTTTGTTGGGTTGTGTGCGAGCTTGCATTGTCTTGGTGGAGGATGATTCTTCTTTCAGGGTTGATTTTTCGATGCTCCGTGATGACTTTTGGCAAACAAATGGTGGTATACCAATCCGCAGTAACAGTTCTTTGCTCATTAAGAGGAATTGTTGCAATATGACCCGCTTTTGACACAAATGTTGCGACCATCTTTTTCGAAACACTTTTGTTGGCTTTTCTTCACCTTGGAACACCCAAACAGCAGACTGTCCTTTATTTTCTGGTTCATAACAGTAAATCCACGATTCATCACCACTAACAATGCTGCACACATTTTTTGAGTTTCCGGAATTGAAACGGTCAAGCGTTTTCTGACACCAATCAACCCAGGCGCTTTCTGCTCTTCAGTCAACTTTGGGGTATCCAACGAGAAACTAATTTTTTTACTCCTAATTATTCATGTAAAATTTTTTGAATTGAGGTCTTTGAGATCTTCAAGGACGCCTCAATCTCGCGATATGTCACATGTCTATCTTCAATGATGAGTTTCCGCACAGCATCGACGTTTTCCTGTCTGACTGCCGTTTTTGGTGCACCCACCCTGGGATCGCCGCTAAGACTCACCCGTCCACGTTTGAATTCTCCATACCAACGGGAAACTGTCGACTAATGTGGCGCTTGGTTGCCGAAAACAGACAGTAACTCAGCAAGGCATTCTTGTTGCGATAATTGTCTCTGAAAGTTGTAATAAATTATGGCGCGAAAATGTTCTCGGTTGAGTTCCATTTTTCTAATGACTTGGCGACACTTAAAAATTCACTGTAATGAGAACACTGCACGTATTGTTGTGAAACTTTGAATTTAAGTTTACTAAAGAGTGAGGTTAAGATTCAGTACTAACGTTCGATCCGCGCGGCCTACTATGTTTGTATATGCAAAACTTAAAAGACATCCCTCGTATGATGTTTCATTTTTGGTCACGACTTATGAATCACCCTGTATATGCGAACTAACTAAGTAGCATGGATACAAAACGAATAGTATACGTATTCGACCCTAATTTTTCTTTTTGATACTGTCTAACCGCAGCTAGGGACAACTTACGAATACTCGTAAAACGTGTAAGTTATCCACTAGTTTTAGGGCCTTACAAGTGATCACACGATTTAGTTTGGCATCAAAAGAGATAGAATTTATTTTTTATATCCTCAGTACATTTTGACGGTGATGGTTGAGGATTTCTAGGCGTTTCCCATTTGCGAATGTAGCTACCATAAAAATCCTGTTGTAGAGAATAGAAATTTAAAATAAGATAGAAGGAAAAAATGGTAGCAAGAGAGAGTAGATAGTAGTTTTATATTCATGTTAGTTAGTTCGGATATGTGCATAATCTGGGTGCAGCGACTTTATGCTGAATAGCAGTAGCCATGGGATAACTTTGTCACTTTCACAGCAGTTTTCACTTCGCTGTCAGATTTGGTAGTTTGCTGATTAATGTTGCAAACTATCGAAGCTATTTTACGGCTACTGTTAATCAGCTTACAAGCGCTGCACCGCTGGATTGCTTCATGGTGGCCGGACGTTCCCAATGCTTTTCAGATAAAAGTGGAATTCGGTACGACACATGAAGTGTTTTATTGTGAAACATGTACAAAAAATTTTGATATTTTGACACGTTGATATTTTTATTTATTATTCATATCCTAACACGTGTCTGACATGAAACTAATAACAGTTTCAAAATCAAAACAAATGTCAACACTCCCAAGGATCGGTTCTGCGTATATCCAGCAGTTGTTATTCCATACACGAGCTGATTTTAAAGGTTGTTCAGCTGCTCAGTCCGTCAATCAAGTGAACGATATGTACGATCACCATATTGAATCATCTGAACCATTGACCTTTAGTAGTGTACACACTGCACGTACCTTGGCACTCGCCAGACATATCATTTTTACGGTATATCGACCGTTTTGAGCTTTCGGCTGCGGTTCTACCGTACATCACTTAATCAAATGTAACATGTGATATATCGTTGAATTCGTAGAAAAAGATGCTATCAGACACAGGGTGTACTTTTTTCAGACCATATAAAAAAATAAACTTGATAATGGTTTATCAAAAACGTCGGACTCAAAATTTAAAAACACCATCATGTAGTGCCTAAACAGTGCCAATGGAAGTCCCATTAGTTTTTTGAAATTTCTTAAAATGAAGTCAGCAAAATTATTATTAATTAAATTGATTTGTCCATATTTTAGTTTTGCCAAATACCTCGATAAGCCATGAAAGTTTTACAAGTTTCTCAACGGCATGTAAATACGCCCCAAAGAACGCAACTTTTTCCTAATTTAACGTAAGGTGTATCTACCTCAGGTATTGACATCCCCTTGCATAATGTCCTTATCTTGGATGCGCTGTATATGGCTAGGTTATCTTCAGTAAAATGGAGCAAATTACTGCATTTTGTAAGATGGAAGCGATACTTTCAATTATCATCAACGGCATTCGCTCTCTAACAAGGCTCAGCTTAGCAAGCTAAAAAACCCTCTGATCTGTACTTTGAAAAAGTGGTAGCCAAGATGTTAGTAAAAAGTGTAATTTCTCATATGTCGTTTTATTTAGCCAGAAGAACTGCATTTCTAACAAGGCTCGTGTTTTATATTTTTTCCTGGTATTTGAATCTGTCACCACTTCTTTTATTGCACGCCCTGAATACCAAACTGCCGCTACGACAAAAATATTGTATTGTATTTGGACGTTCATTCAGAATTTTGATCGTCACAGCCATATTGCGAAGTAGGATGATAGTAATTACCTTTTGGAAGTAGAAAAAACATACTCCATTTTTCTTTTAAAAGAAAGTAGTGTATTCTGAAATAACCTTCCAAGGAAACATCACCCCTCAACCTTCTTCATATTAATTGGTTAACGTATTCTACATGAAGATAGCCAATCATGTAGAGTATTTCGGGGTTCACAGAACTATGCGATATGAAATAAGATACCCTACATCATCTATGAGTTCTATGTCACCTTGAGAATTTCTCGTCAGATCACCATGTGATTCCTGACGTGCAATTCGGTTTTCGGTCTGAACATAGTGCGGAGCTAAAGGCGGTTAGGCTGGTGGAACGAGTAACCAGAGGATTCACCCTTAACGAAAGTACTGGAATCTTGCTTTTGGATGTCTCAAAAGCATTTGACAAGGTGTGGCACGCGGGCCTCCTATATAAACTAATTCAAAAGGGCTTCCCTTTTTGGCTTCTAAAACTACTGAAATCCTTCCTTGAAGGTAGGAAATTTCGGATCAAAATTGACGATGTACTGTCGACAACACGGCTGATTACAGCCGGCGTCCCTCAGGGTTCGCTCCTTGGACCTATCCTTTACTCACTGTACATCCATGACGTCCCAGCAACTGTAAAGTCTATCTCTATGCTGACGATACTGCATTGGTCTGGTGACCTAGTCCTTGACAGGCTGCAAAATGCGATGGAGGAAGTATTAGATTGGGCGGATCGGTGGCTAATTAAAATTAACCATTCGAAAACGCAGGCAATTTACTGTACAAAAAGACGTCGCGGCGTTCCGTCTGAAGTTTCAATGAATGGACTTCGTATACCATGGGAATCCTCCGCTAAGTATCTCTGTGTCATTCTGGACAAAGGGATGACTTGGCGGAACCATATAGAAGTGCTAAAAACTAAATTCCAAATTACGTTTCGACAGCTTTACCAATTATTATGTAAACGTTCAAAATTAAGTTTGATTAACAAGATTCGACTCTATAAGGTGGTCATAAGACCAGCAATGATTTACACATGTGCGGCTTGGTGTTTTATTGCTAAAACACACATGCGAGATCTGCAGGTTCTGCAAAGCAGGACGTTGCGCACTATTGCTGACGCCCCATGGTATGTCTCTAACGAAACTCTACATAGAGACCTCGATGTCCCTTACCTAAAGGCGCAGCGGCGCTATAGCCTAGCGGAATCGCACAGCAACCCTCTGTTGCGTGAGTCGAGCAAGTTCGCAAGCACAAAAGGCCGTAGCTCGCACTGTAATCAAAATCAATTCGTGAACTTAGAACCAAAATTGGAGCATTTTGACAAAATCTTTAGAAAAATCGAATATCGAATATTTTTAAATTTAAATCTGTGACGTGATTTTAACAATGCCTAAACGCTGCCTATCCTAAAAGATTCTATTCTTCCCCTTTGCTCTCGTTCTTCCTTCTCTCCTTTCCTTCCCTTTTTTCCTTAAAATTGTCTGGTTTCTGGGTTATCAGACCTGACAGACTTACAAACTGACACTGTGACTCAAGAGCTAAGGTCCCACGGACCGCTCTGACAACCAACGATGACTTGATCATCTATGAGAATTGTCAAATCTATGTTTCTCCTCTTCGAAATAATTATAAATCTTGTTTCAATCTTATAGATGGCGCTCTAGCCAACTATATGCTCATATCCTCATATAGTTGGCACCATCTAATCGACACTAACCTTTTCTAATCATTGAGGAGAGGAGAAACATACCTGTGACAAACTCTTAGATGACGCCATGGTATCTCATTTCATCTCATATAATTTTTTGATCGCACAAATACAGCATCAGGTTGGATATCTTCAGGTAGAATACGACAGGTGATAAGTATGTTTCTTTTCGCGCAGCCACAACGTTCAATCGGGCTGTACATCTTCTGGTAGAATCTGTGAATGTATGGTATTTTACATGAATTTTACGTGTATTCTTTGTTCAAGATCTTCGTTACTATGGCAAATGGCAGCATGTATACTGACTTCCCTTTTCTACTGGCTAACGGCAATATACATGCTTAGATACATTCTAAAGTTGCTGTTAATGTACAAAGGATGGATGTATGAATCAAGAGCCAGAGGTAGTCAGGTATCTCTAAAAACGAAAATATGGTTCAGCCTTCTGAAAATTTTTAGTGGTTGGAACACTCCTAAGTTGTACAGTTATCAGGGCTCGTTGCCACGCTTGCCGCTACCGTCTCTACAAGACACTATGGAAAGGGTAAGTAAACAAGTGAAACTTTGATCATCTCATATCTGCGACAACAAAATTTTTCATATTAACGTAACTATCATAAGAATAGAAGTGAGCACAAAAAAATGAACATGAATATTGTACAAGACATAGTTCAATATCTAAGTATGCCCCTAAGCCACTCAAAAGTATAATGCAGAGATCATATCCATACCTGGCTCCAAAGCTATATAATATCATTCATTCGGATATCAAACATAACAAATTCCCTTTCAAGAAGAAATTGAGGATTTGGTTAAATGAGCAACCTCTTATTGAAATTCATAAACAAGTCATTTCAAATAATTAATACTATTATAAACGAACAATTATTTTATATATCTTCTAATAGAGGCATTCTAGAAATATACATTAAATAAAAAAGTTCATGTAGTTGCAATTCTTACCTCATGTACAGGGCTATCCTTCTATGAGGCATATATGCTCCAACATTATTTTTAACTGCATACCATTATTTCAAATATTTCTTATGTATTCTTACAATGTTTTAAATAATTTTAATAATCCATACACATGCTTTGCCTTCTATGGCGTTTCATGTTTATTTACTTTATAGGTTCATGTAAACAATAATAATAAAAATTATTACTGTTACTAGACGGTAACAATTACTTTATGAATAGGTTTTACGGCAGTCAAATCTCAATTTCCAACATACGAGTTTTTATCAACCGATGAAATATTGAACACATTTGCGGCCACGGGGACTGACCTCGTTTATTCGTTGGTAAGCGACCGCGATAGTAGCTGTGGAAATAGTAGGTACTGTTCTAAACTTCCTTCGGATCTAGTTTTGATTTCCCGAAGAGTTGATGTCGTCTGTAATCCAGGGACACGCCATATGACATGTAGGGCTGATTATTCGAAGTTGGTTTCTACTCGTCAAGAGCAGTTCCGCAGCCGTATTAGGAGATGGTCCCGAGATAACTTCTTGCCCAAGCCTTCATCCAGTCACTAAGTGCCAATATTCCTTGTGTTGGTTTCTTACCCATTCTTTGTCTTGGTTCCTAGATCAGTGCAGATTCCACTCTAGGGCTCTTAGCGCTATGAGTTACGCCTGACTGTCAGTGTATATGGCGATCCTTTTATTGTTATACGCTCGCCCATTATTTACTCTTGCGCAATGTAAGATTGCTTACATTTCGGCCTAAAATACAAAGGCGTGTCTTCTAAGTGGTATGCCATGCCCAGGATTGCACCTGTTTCCATATATTCCTGCACGTGTTCCGATATATTCCTGCACCTGTTCTCTGCTCAGTTTTTGACCCGTCTCTGTAGCAGGTTAATTCCCTTTGCAGGTTGCGCCTTTGGTGTTCCGTTCGACGACCTATTTTGGTCTCGAAGTTCTTTTAGAATACACATCTGGGAACTATGTGGTATTTATATACGTCCAGTGTATCATGGATGGGCTTAATCCCCGTGTTTTGCCATGGCAAATCTACTTAAAAGCTGTTCTAGATTGTTGATTTTAGCCGATCTTATAATAAAATTGAAAAAAATATTTTATATCGGGGGGTAGTCAGCCTTTATGTCCCTTCGAATGTCATTAGCCTGCGACACCGCACGTCTTGGGCTCAAAATTAACGCAGGGGGTCTGTAAACGCCCAATTAACGCCCTAGATACATTAATAACTGTACTGACAACAACTGACGGTTCATTTTCAGTATCTAAGAAGTGTGAAGCCGCTTCTACCGGAGGAAAAGTATCAGCGTATGGAAAAACTAGCTGAGGAGTTCCAGAATGGAATTGGTAAAAAGCTTCAGTGGTATTTGGTGCTGAAATCCTGGTGGGCGACAAACTACGTTTCTGATTGGTGGGAGGAATACGTTTATCTACGTGGTAGATCGGCACTTATGATTAATTCGAATTTCTATGGGATTGATGCACTCTTCATGCACCATACCAAGGTAGATAATCCGTAGCGTTAACATATTAGGCATACAAGTTATGTGTTGATTACCTAGACAAAATGGCGTTTTTAGTAGCCGTAATAGATTCTTTACGTTCATTTTTCAAGTAAGGGCAGTTTATTCTCGTTTTCCGTGTGTTGAAAAAACGGGTTTGTAATGAATGTAAAGAGAACTCATTCAAACCTATCGTATTTTTGCTGAAGGAACCAGCCAATATGATTTGATTATTATTCCAGATACTGATATAACTCTGTTCTGTCAGAGCGGTCCGCAGGACCTTTGCTCTTGGTTGAAGTATCGTAAGTCAGTAGGTGTGACCATCGTTTTTATGTCAAGCTTTCAGCATCGGAGAATTAAGGTTATTTTTCTTACATTTGACATTGCACTTTCTAAAGTCAGGGCATGGTAAAACTTATTGCGTCACAGTGGAAGTTATTACTTTGCAGCTTTGAAAATTTGCTCTTGAAAGGACAAGTTTTGCCAATTCTTGTCCACAGAAAAGAAACACTGAGAATAAACGTGAGACGAAATATTAATATTCCTTCGAAGAAAAAAGATTTTGGGAAATATCCTTTTACATTGTAGACATCATATTTTCACATAGCGTGTTCCATACATTTTGTCAAGTGTCACCGTGACTGTAGTGCTAAAAGCGTCTACCTAGTATACAGGGTGTGCGGTAAATAGTACGACAAAAATATAGGGACGATAGGCGAAGGGCAGATCTGCAACATACCAAAAAAAGACCCTAGTAAAAGTTTCACTGTTTTTGGGATATTTAATTTTTTTGTCACTCTTTTTTAATCTATCTTTTATTGCTGTACCTAGAAATAACAGGATATGTTTGCTTTCTTTTGCAAAATACTCTCAGATAGTTCTGCCATTTGAAATATCATTTTCGATAAAAACAAGTTGGTAAACTTGACAAACTAATTTCTTCTTCGTAATTTATATTTTAGAAAACCGATGAAATAAAACTGGACTAGACTGCTACTGCAAAGTACTGAGATTACCTGCTTAATCAGCAACAAAAGATGGATCAAACGAGTAAATTTTTCGAAAAAGAAAAATAAAACAATATCTCAAAAACAGTGATACTTTTACTAGGGCCATTTTTTTTTTTTGGTATGTTATAGATCTGCCTGTCGCCTATCTTCCCTATTTTTTTGTCGTACTATTTACCGTACTGTATAAGAGGTCGTATCCCTCCGATAGCAAATGTTTATTTTATTTTTTTGATTTATTCATAATGTGCGATTCTTCAGAACACGGTTTTCGATATTTTTCCTTATTTCAGAATCAAGCAGCGAGAGCAGCTTCTTCCATATACTCCGTTCTAGTCTTCCGTAGATTGATAGAACGCCAGGAGCTCGAGCCAATTAGAATACAAGGCGTAGTTCCTTTATGTTCTTGGCAATATGAACGCACGTTCAACACGACTAGAATCCCTGGCATAGAAACTGATAAAATTTGTCACTGGTCTGACTCAAACCATATCATTGTGTACCATAAAGGAAGATATTTCAAAGTAATTATTTATAAGGGACGGATACTCAAGCCTTGTGAACTTCAAGTGTAAGGATAAGTATTATATTTTGTGTGACATTTTTCCAAAGACTATTTGTTGTTTTATGTGCTAAGTAGTACTCAGAGTTAACATCACACAAAAAATCGCGTAAGGTAGGTTATCTCTGCACTTCCCACGGAACATGTACAGCAGAGGAATTAAACGGTTCAAGTAGGCCTATAGACATTCGTCCCCTGCCCTACCGGTAGTACCGTCCATCTGACAACGTCGCCTATCTCTCACACCTGATCGCACCATGCGGCAGTAATGGCAGGACACTCATAGACACCGACTCGTACGCCGGTGAACCCAGAAAGCTGAAGCAGGGACGTGTATCGAAAACGGTTTTCTATTATTCTAAGGGCAAATATACGAGGAAATCTATGATGTGTGAAATATGTCCAATAGGTGCATAGAATTACCGGGGTTGGGAGCGTATAAATACTACTAATATCAGAAAATTGCGATATTCCCTCCCTCACCACTTACAGCCCTCAATATTTAACCCCTATAATTTTTTTTCTGAAATTGATCCGGAGTTTCTGAAACGTTAAAAAACGAAAACTGAGCGATTTATATTTTTTTCGTGTTTCTGCTCCTAGCTCTGCCGCCGCTGGACCGATTTAAAAAAAACTACAAAGCTTTGTGTCCTTGGCATAGTAGTAACCTTGTTTGAAAATTTCATCAAAACTGGAGCGGTTTTTCGCAACTTCTAGTCGGGCCAATGTTTAACGGACAGATACACAGCCCGTCAAACAGACCAATGGAAATGAGTGATATGATTTTTCGTGATTTACATGTCATATATCATCCAAAGAACATATCTCATTTTCAAAAAATTTCCCGTTAACAATACTTCGTTCATGCATCAGAATAGTTGCCTTTTTCCAAAAATCCTATTCAGATTGCGATGGTGTGTCGTAAATGTAGGATTTATTTAGCGCAATGCGGATCTGTAGATACATATCTTCATGTAGAAGGCGATATGATCATTGATGAGATAATGCGGTTTTTTTTTAGACAAATGCAACAAATTTTGGATGACAAATCTACACCTCTTCCACTAGAGGAACAAGTGGCAGTTTTGACGGCTGCTGAACGAACTCATTGGGCCCAAGTGAGAAGGAAACATTTCAACCGGGGCGTTAACAAGGTTTCTCTCGATGCGATCGAGAAAGCTGCATTTTTTGTGACTTTGGACAATTTTCCATATGAATTTGACATGGTGAGTACACACATCAACTGTAAAGCGTATTCAAAAAGGTACTTTGTTTTTAAATAAGACTAACATGCATATTTTGGAAATTAGTGGTATTTTTCGACCGAAAGGACATACTTACAGGGAAAACCAAATTTGTCTGACGGCTTGAGTTCAATGTATACGAGAGAGAAGCGCGGGAAGTGCGTATCAACACATGTTAAAAAAGATAGAAGAACGCTGAAGAGCGGAGGTCATTACCACATTGCTTAGTAATGGTGACGCAGAAGGTCGTGCAATCTGCCGTGTTGCCAGTAGTACAATATTTTATTTATTCTTTCCGATAGTTACGTGCGGTAAATATTAACATCAGTGAGAATGGCAAAACTAAAAGAATTTTTAAATGATTTAAGAGACAAAGTGATTAAATTATTTAGAAGAAAGATTAAAAATGAACAAAGGGACGATTTAGCAAATTATTGGTAAATAATTTTTAAAAGGATCAACAGCAACGCGGCCCTGGTGCGGATGTCAGAGAAAAACCGATTATGTGTTGGATCGCTACATTAAACGTTTGTCCTATGAAGATCCTCGGATGCCAATTCAACGTGTTTGGATCTGACGGTACGCCATATGTGAGACGTCCAATACTAAAAAGATCCGACAAAAAGTATCAATCGCCAACAGTTAAACACGGTGGAGGCAACATCGTGGTTTGAGGCTGTTTTTCTAGTTCTGGAACGGGTCCAATTGTTAAAATTGTTGGAAAAATGAATCAAAAACTTTACAAAGGTATTCTTAGAGAAAACATGCTCCCTTTTGCTGAAGAAGAAATGCCTTTACGATGGACATTCCAGCAAGATAATGACCTCAAACATACTTAAAAATTCCATACTTTTGTCGACTCATTTTTGGTCATAAAATAATGTGAAGGTATTTTAATGCTAGTCTGTAGTACCACAGCAAACACAAATTGTCATTTGAATGCTTAATAATAAACCATAAA